GGTTTAAGGCCAAGCGCTTTGGTATTGCTGCATTGTGGGATTGGGCTTTGTGAAAGGACTATAATTCTTTGCCAGACCTTTGCCATGGATTATGGGGTTAAGCCTCCTGGCATTGTTGTGTGACTGCTGTCTTTTGGAGAACTACATTAATGTAATGAGTTTCAAGCGTGAAGAAATGACCCAACTAATAAGATAGCGTAAATCCTTTCTCCACAATGACTTTGTGTGTGTCATGCTTACAGCTGGGTCCACTCTTATCTCTGAGGAAAAGAAGAAAATCAAGAGCAGCGGTTCCCAATGGCACAGAAACCATGAAGGAGAAATGACTGAGAAGATTGTCCGTTACTGATAAACCAATTGAAGTGGTTAGTAGAGGAGAATGTAGCAATCATCCTGCCTGCAACAGGCAAAAACTTCACTTTCTTTCAGGTTAACTGAGCCTATGGGTTACAATAATATACCCAATTTTTTTATAATTCCATTTACACTACCAGTGTTACTACATCCACTTAAGTTATGTAAATAAAATGCTTACACAAGGACATTGTCAATAATGTTTGTGTGCGTTTCGCTTTTTAAAACTGGGGGCAATCAAATAGATTGTTACATAAAGAATAAAGTGGAAATCTGGATTTTCTTTTTTAAATATGACAGAGAACATGCATTTGAAGCTTTATTATATAAACAAACTTCTGTTCAGATTAGCCTAAACTACAGCTGAGGCTGTGACAATTGCCCCAATCATAAATAAAGGGTGCCAATTGTTTCAGTGGCTGTTTGTTTATCTATATTTTGGTGTGCTTATTGATAGCCAAGCACTTCTGACACCACTGAGCTGCTGACTTGATAGAAATGAATGTTCACGAACATTCCAAGTTCTCAAAGGACAACATTTCAAAAGAGCTTAAAAGCACTGTTTTGTGAGAGAACAATGGAACACATGCCTGTAACAAACTGAGACAGCAGAGCACTGAGACATTCCTAATAGTTAATGTAGGCTAAATCCTATATCCACTTAATCTGTGCTCAACAAAACTTATTTCTGAGCAGAGGACTGTACTCTGAAGTTACTAAAACTTTGGAAGGATCCATGACAAAGTTTTATACCTCTCCTGGAGAACTTTTGGTGTGTCTACCAACAATGCCTGACTTGTACTGACCTCCTGGCTGCATGGCTTGTAGGAGCAGGGAGTCAAGAGTATGGCTGCCTTTGACTGGTAAGGGAAGCTCACTTCCATTTGGTGCAAAGAAGAGAATCTGCACCTCCTGAACAGCTCTTCGAGGTCAAGTGATAAATCTGGACAGAAGGTTCAGCTTCTTCTTCTTTTTAGCTCAGATTCGATAATATTGTGCGGGGATGATGCTTGCAGCCACCGATGTTTCATGTGGTCAGGAGTGAGGTGTCGCACGTGGGGCACCATTGCTCCCCTGACTTTCCAGCACATCAGCGAATACTCTGAGGAGGGTAAATGTGGATTCTCTGGGGACAGTGGTGGACCTACATTGATGATGGAGGGCTAATGGTTTCCACTTCTGGTTTAGGAGATCTTAGATGTTGGTTTAAACTCTTGCTTGCAGCAGCACTCTGAAACCAATTTGCACATGATACTTTCTGCACATGCGAAACATGTTATTGATGAAGACGTGTGGGGCAAAAGGCTGAGTAAGTATGGAAAGGGGTTCTGTGTTCAAAAAGGTCTGAGAGATACAGGCCTAAGTGACCCAAACCAAAAGCCAAGCATTAGCCAGAGAGAGTTGCCATATCTCCTGAATTTCCCAGACATATCTGGAATACTTCAGCTGGCAGCCTGTCTGGGAAAATCTGGATGTATGGCAGCCCATGGCAGCTGTGTCATTGTTGCCAATTTCCCATTAAAATAGCTCAAAAATAGCATTTTTTGTGCACTTTTGCCAAAAAAGTTCAACAACTTTGCCCCCCTCCTCATAAAGAAAGCTCAACAACAGGTTTTCACTTCCTGAACTCCAAGATTACATTTATTTAGCACATGGCTTGGCTGAGATCTAACTTTGATTGAAAGCTGGGAACAACCCAGTAATAGCCCTTTGACTTTCCTCGTAGCTCGAGATCTTCATAAAATGTCTGTACATTTCACAGGCAAATATTGACAATGCGATCCAACTGACTGAAAATGTTTGGTTTGCGCCAGATGTGTCGCGTGGTACGTCTTGGAAACATTAGCTAAAGGAGTGATTTGGGAACATAAAACGTTGGGTGGGTATGTTGACTTTGCTGAGCTGTTTGCATTATGTTCCTATCACGAGATGATGACATGAGAATTTTAACGATTAAAAATCTAAGCCAGGTATCTAATCTGCAGCACTTTAAAAATCAACACATCCTCACAGTGGAAAGATAAATCGTTTTAAAAAATTAAAACCTCCAAGGGAAAAAATCAGTATCCGTGTAGTTTGTTACAGGTGCTAAGAGTTGTTAGGAGACCCCTATTCCTCTCACAGAGATAAAATTGCCAGAATTCTTAGGAAGAGGGATTGACTGTTCAACCCACACTGGAAAATATAGTTTTCTGAAGGAAATAAGGATCTCCTAATCCCCGCGACGGGGTGAGCTCCCGTTGCTCGGTCCCTGCTCCTGCCAACCTAGTAGTTCAAAAGCACGTCAAAGTGCAAGTAGATAAATAGGTACTGCTCCAGAAGGGAAGGTAAACGGCGTTTCTGTGTGCTGCTCTGATTCGCCAGAAGCGGCTTAGTCATGCTGGCCACATGACCCGGAAGCTGCACGCCGGCTCCCTCGGCCAATAAAGCGAGATGAGCGCCGCAACCCCAGAGTCAGCCACGACTGGACCTAATGGTCAGGGGTCCCTTTACCCTTTACCTTTAACAACTCTCAACATCCTTAACAAACTACACTTCCCAGGATTCTCTGGGGGACGGCATGGCTGTTTAAAGTGGTATTTTGTAGATGGAGCCATACTTCAACACTGCTAAATGGATAATGTTCTCCACCACCTCTGAGGCCCAATTAAGGTGCCCAGGAAAGACCATGTAACAATGAGGAAAATGGCTAGAGGGCTCAGAGATGAAATCAGGGGCAGCAGCTGCTGCTGTTGCCCACCACCTGCACCCTGGGACAGTTGTCCCATTGTGTCTAATGGTAGGGCCAACCCTGAACATAGCAGACTATTGAGGTAATGAAGTGAGGGATCAACTGCTGTTGCTTCCAGTGATTGGTGCACCCCAATGTGCAATGTTTGGGCAAAGCTGGCTTTGAAATGTACATTAGTTTATAACCTACAGTATAGCATGTGTTGATTGACCGACTGACCAACGGATTGATTGGTGTTGTCTCTGTGTTAACAGATTTTTAAAATCGTGGCACGCTAATGAAACGCAAAAACTTTGTAGAATTGTTCCTTCTTCAGCAAACAGAAACAAGAGTTGTAAGATCAGATACAAAAAAAGCCACAAAGCCAACATTTCCCCCGCCACGTTGCTACAGTGGCAGGATATGTTCCAGTCAGGGTTGCCATTTAGGGAGGGCAGGAAGCAGTAACCCAGAGGTGAGATCACCTGCGATTATTCTTCAGAAACACCCATATCTGGTGGGTAAGAGGCATAAGAAAGGAACCACAGTAAATGCCCTGACTTAAAATACATTGCTTATTTCCCCCACCCACCAAATTTATCTTGAATTTAACCCCAATGTTATCTCTGAAGCTTTCTTTGAACCTTATCACGTCTGCTGTAATCTTTTCTTCCCTCCCTCTACAGCAGATTTTCTGGCCCTCCAGATTTTGTTGGACTGTTGGACATGGTGGCTGAGTCCAATGGGAGTTGGGAGTCCAGGAACATCCAAAATACCACGGGTTCCTCATCCGTGCTCTACAGAAACTTTAAATGATGTCCCTTGTGTGAGGCACAAGTGCTACAAACCCAGCAGCAGTAAACAAGGAGCAAACAACTTCTCTGTACAGTGGTAAAGGTAAAGGTAAAGGGACCCCTGACCATTAGGTCCAGTGGTGACCGACTCGAGGGTTGCGACGCTCATCTCACTTTATTGGCCAAGGGAGCCGGCGTACAGCTTCCGGGTCATGTGGCCAGCATGACTAAGCCGCTTCTGGTGAACCAGAGCAGCGCACGGAAGCACCGTTTACCTTTCCGCCATTTATCTACTTGCACTTTGACGTGCTTTCAAACTGCTAGGTTGGCAGGAGCTGGGACTGAGCAACGGGAGCTCACCCTGTCGCGGGGATTCAAACAGCCGGCCTTCTGATCAGCAAGTCCTAGGTTCTGTGGTTTAACCCACAGCACCACCCACGTCCTCTGTACAGTGGTACCTCGGGTTAAGTACTTAATTTGTTCCGGAGGTCTGTTCTTAACCTGAAACTGTTCTTAACCTGAAGCACCACGATAGCTAATCGGGCCTCCTGCTGCTGCCGCACCGCCAGAGCACGATTTCTGTTCTCATCCTGAAGCAAAGTTCTTAACCTGAAGCACTATTTCTGGGTTAGCAGAGTCTGTAACCTGAAGTGTATGTAACCTGAAGCGTATGTAACCCGAGGTACCACTGTACTTTGTTCTTTCTTTCGGAGGGGATGTTAAATGCATAGTCGGTTTCCGTGCTCAGTCTGCAAAAGTTTTAGGCTTTAATTACGGAAATATAACTTCTTCTTCTTTTTAGCGATCAAGTATTTTATACCCAAGGACCATCCTATGTTGCACATTCGCTAAACTTTGAAGTTTCTGTTAATTCTGGGGGAAATATTCAAAAGAAGAGCTTTTCAAGCCTAACAGTTGCATTAATTAGCATTGGAAGTAATAATATCATTTAATCATTTTTGCCTGTAATTCCTTAAGGGGGGGGGGTGCTTTTTCTCTTGGCCTGAATTTTCCCTGTAAGCTCAGCCTGCAGAGACTGGGCTGTTCTCTTTCCTCACCAACACCTTTCTTTATTTCCTGTGTGATTTTCCATCCCATGCAATTTCTCTCTGTTGTGAGCCAATTTGCGGTGGCAAGACAGTTTAGGTGTCCTCAGCACTCCGTTTCCTTACAGGTTTAGCAATCTCTAGATTGATTTTGTGGCCGGTAAAGATAGCGTGATTGCTTCGTCGTCCGTTTGCCACCTCTCCTTTGATTCCAGCCCAACGGTGAGATGTTCTAAGAACATGTATTTCCTCCATGGTTTCTTCCCCAATCTGAGTTGCATCACTACGCTTCAAAGAGGATGGGATGCAGCCGTTGCCCATTGCCTTTTTGTTTTGCTGCCCTCGCGTCACCTTTTCTTCTAAACCCACTGGATTCTGTGCATTGCCTCTCTCCAGGGGTGGCTGAATCTATCCGTTTTGGTTTCTCACAGGTTCTAAATTTTCCACTTCTAAACTCAGTTCTCCACATCACGTTACTGTTTTGTTTTTTTTAAGTGGCTCTCATTTCCATTTTACCATAAATTTCTCCTAATGATAAACCTTCTTCTGCAGTTTTGCCTAATATGCACATTCTTGCAAAGTGACTTTGTCTTGCATGATGCATTTGTGCATATTATTTTCACTAAGAGATGCATTTGTACAGTTTGCCCTACTTAATTCACTCTTCAGTATATGCATTTTTGTACATATTACTTGACTGTAGTGTAGAACAACGTTGCAAAGTGCCAAATTCGAGAAATGGCTGTGTATTGGTTTGTTTATTGTTTCAGAAAGTGAACTTAGCAGCATCACCTGCAAATGTGAACCAAATCAGATTTTTCCTCCATTCTTACTCCTCACTGCTCTTTTTCTTTAGCATCTGATCACTGGCTTTATTATTGACCCACATTCCACCCAAATAGGTATTAGTGCATTTCTCTGTTTTGTGAATGGTGTGTTGTGCTTTCATTTGGGCTTCTATCCTTTTGCCTTTTGAATGTCCATTTGATGTGTCATGTTTGAGAAACTCTTTCATAGAATGTGATTTACCGCACATGGCTGACAATTCCTCGTGACAGGTTTTCTTAAGACTCTTTCAGTGTCATCTACAAGTATAATTTAAGCTAGGAGACTTTTCTAAAGGCTGTTTATTTCTGCTCAAGCCGGAACTACTGAACTGGGTTACAGACTGAAGTTGGTGGAGCAGGGCCTCATTCACCGTAATGGACCAGCTTCCATGGGCACTAGCCATGTATTGGGGCCCCTGTAAATGTCTACCTCTTGACACCTGCCTAGAGCTGCAAAAACAGGGAGCTTTTGAAAGGAAGCTTGATGATTTGCACTCAGCGAGGTGAGTCATAAGTTGTGTAGCACAGGTCTGACCTGTGAATTGGCACCTCCAGGACAGGAAGTGCTAAACCAGCACATCCTCTGTTCTAAGTAAAAGGGAGGGAGGGGGACACACCAGGACTTCACAACTGGTTTTGGTGTCTGTACCATGCACAGGCACTGGGTGCTGGAAAGCATGTGCCTGCACGATACAGTAAAGCCCCACTGAATTCAAGGTGTTTCTTCTGAATAAATATTCAAAGGACAAACACTGCACAATCATTTTAAATATTTCATTCAGTGAGCTGGTGTGCTATACCTGATGATAACCCTTCAGACGTCTCTCAACTGGGAACATGACTAAGTTTGAATCTATTAAATCTTTATATAACATTTTATTGATTTTCCAAAAATAACAAAAATAAAAAACAACAACAATACAAACAAAAACAAAAAACAAATGGACTTCCCTCTAATCCCTTCCTTGGTTCTATTATTTATCAAGATACTGCGTGTCCATTGTTAAATTTGTAACATATTTAAATTGCCTATTATCCATTCATAATAAAATCACAAGTAATCTTAAAGGTAAAGGTAAAGGGACCCCTGACCATTAGGTCCAGTCATGACCGACTCTGGGGTTGTGGCGCTCATCTCGCTTTCTTGGCCGAGGGAGCGGGCATACAGCTTCCGGGTCATGTGGCCAGCATGACTAAGCCGCTTCTGGCGAACCAGAGCAGTGCACGGAAATACCGTTGACCTTCCTGCCGGAGCGGTACCTATTTATCTACTTGCACTTTCACATGCTTTCGAACTGCTAGGTGGGCAGGAGCTGAGACCGAGCAACGGAGCTCACCCCGTCGCAGGGATTCAAACCGCAACCTTCTGATCGGCAAGTCCTAGGCTCTGTGGTTTAACCCACAGCGCCACCCATGTCCCACAAGTAATCTTAAAACCCTGTTAATGTATTAACCTGTGTACATTGCTTCTGTATATATACAATATTCTTCCACAGTTATCAAGAGAATGCAAACAAGTCTGTAATGATTTGGAAACTCTGGGCAATGGTATCCCATGCAGTAGGTCAGCTAGTTAAAGGATTGCCACTTGCACAATGGAACTTCCCTTCCTTCTCCCTCTAGATTAAGAGTCTCATGCTCTACCAGATGAGCTATCCAACGTAGCTGCTGTGGCAAGCTAACATGATAACGCATGCTCATGTCTTCACGCTAAACCATGGTTTGGTTTAACGTGATGTGTGAAATCAGGCCTATATCTGACATGAAGACATAGTGGGCAACTATAAAGGAAACCTTGTCAGTCACCTTAGACAATTGGATTTAGCAACACATAGGAGTCAAATCCTAGGAACCGAGGTCCCTTCACACACACACCCCAATTGTTGTTGTTGTTGTTGTTTTGAGAGAGGGCCAGCCCCCGCAAAAAAAGCTGATGGACACTGCCATTCAATTGGTGCATCTTGTGATTGATTATGTGAGTCAGGGCTTACCTGCCCACCCCTCCAATATTTTGTTCAAGTTGGCAACCCTGTAACAAGAGTGTGGGAAAAAGGCAGAGCAGGATGAGGGCATAGAAGTAGCAGTTAAGGTGAAAAATGGACACTGACCAACATCAAAACCACACAGGTGTTGGGTGGTGTGTGTGTTTTTCTGTCATTTGTTCAGCTGCTTTGTGTGAATTTCAAACCATATATGAAGGGAATGTTGCCTGCTGTCTTATTTCCAGTTCTGTATCTTGTGCATGCTACCCAGGGAGCAAAAATGGAGATTAAAACCCAAACGTTAACAGATCCTTTTAATTTCCAGGTGCCCTCCTTGCCTTTCTTTTCATTGTGCAGAAGAAACTAATTATCAGAATTCTGGGGCAGTTCCCCCCGAAAGTGCTCCCTTTCTTAATTTTTTTACTGAAAGATTTTATGGCCAACACCAAGTTAATCTTTGTCAAGCAATGGGCAGTAAATATCCCTGCTAGATGTGTGCCTGACGTTTTTATAGATTCAGGCTTCCACAACCACCCCCAGCTTCCTATTTGCTCTCCGTGGCATTTATATGCATATAACGAACAGGTGTAATAAAAATTGATCAGATGAACTGGAGTCCAAACTAGATGAGATGCCAGGGGATGCAGGCTTATTTTTAAAAATAAAAATGAAATAAATTTGCCTTTCCCATGTGGTTGGGAAGCCAGCTGAGAGGGCCTGATTTTGACTGGCGGGTTCTGCACCCCCTCTCCCAAGCTGCTGCTGGTCTTATCAGTTTCACAGCCCCCTGCAGGTGCGCTTCAGTAATAATAATAAAAAACAACGCAACTGTTGGAAGGCTGATCACTGGTATCCAGGTGTCTCGGATAACCCGGGCAACCCAGCACCAAGAGTGAAAGGCAAATTCTGGCCAACCGCAGCGGTGTCCATTCAGCCATCACTTTAGTTATCCCTTATATGGAAGAGAGTAGAAGCATGCCTTCAGGGACATGAGTGGGGCAGTGACTTAACTTCTGTTGACTTTCTGCCCAACTACCAGTTGGCAGCACCCACAACCTCGGACGACAAAGGTTGAGGGATCCAGTAGGATCCATTAAGCAGGCTGGAACCCTGCGCACCTGAGGGCTTGGTAGCGCTGACTGAGAAGCCGCTCACCGTTTAAATATTCCCTCAGTCCCCTGGAATACCTGACAACAGTGTTGCTGCTGTGGTGTTTGGGGAAATTAAAATGGCAGGTGGCTTTCCACATCTAGCTGCTGCTGCTGCTGCTGCTGCCAAATGTGCCCGTGGCCAGGAGCAGGGGAAAATCATGGCATACTGCTGCCTGCAGAAAGTAGAAGGTGACGTGTACACATTTGGGAAGAAGAGTTTGGATTTGATATCCTGCTTTATCACTACCCAAAGGAGTCTCAAAGCGGCTAACATTCTCCTTTCCCTTCCTCCCCCACAACAAACACTCTGTGAGGTGAGTGAGGCTGAGAGACTTCAAAGAAGTGTGACTAGCCCAAGGTCACCCAGCAGCTGCATGTGGAGGAGCGGGGAATCGAACCCGGTTCACCAGATTACGAGGCTACCACTCTTAACCACTATACCACACTGGCTCTCAGAAGCTAACTGGAGCGGCGGTTGAATCTTACTTGAACTGTGGCTGTGTCCTCTATTGTATGGGATGGCAGCAGGACAACTAAAGGGGTGCAGGGCAAGTTGTATGTCTTTCATACATAGCTGTATCCTCCTTGGAGCTACTCCCCACCCACTCCCTGAGGCCGCCACTTCCTACTGGTTAAAGGTTGGGTGGACACTGGCCATGAAAGTGGACAGGAGAGCACCAATGTGGGCAAGGCCGGGACAAGGTCCCATCATAGGACATTTCTAGCCCTGCTCCAGAACCTGGAGCTGATCCAGAACGAGCCACATGTTTCATATGGACAAACAGAGAAGCATGTGGCAAATTCTGGATCAGCTCCAGGTTCTGGAGCCGGGCTAGAAATGTCCTGTGATGAGACCCTATTAAATTTTCTGTTTTACAATTTAGAATATTCATTTAAACAACTTTGAAATATCAACAACTTCCCTTCTTCTGTTTCCATGGTTCATTTTGCATATCATATATCCCTGCATATTTTACATAAACTAAACCATTCTGTAGTCCATTTTTGCATCCATCAAAACTTATTTACACTGCTGAATTTACCTTAATGCTGCCAAAGTTTTCAAGCGTACACAATTCCCCCACATATATTCAGTAAACATTTTCCAATCTTCTCTAAACGTATGTCCTTCTTGTTCTCTTATTCTATATGTTAAGTCCACAAGGTTCGCTTAGTCCATCAGCTTAAGTTGCCATTCTTCTTTAGTTGGGACCTAGCTCGTTTTCCATTTTGGGGCTAACAAAACACGGGCTGCAGTAGTAGCACACATAAATAACCTTTTTGGACACCTGGGAATTTCTGTCTAAATTATCCCCAACAAAAAGGACTCTGGTTGTTGTTTTTTTAAAGTACTTCTAAACATTTTTTCCCAATTCATTATGGATTATTGTGGCCACATGCTTCTCTGAATAGTCACCATCCTCTAGATAGATCAGCGTTTCCCAAACTTGGGTTTCCCGCTGTTTTTGGACTACAACTCCCATCATCCCTAGTTAGCAGGACCAGTGGTCAGGGATGACGGGAACTGCAGTCCAAAAACAGCTGGTTAGACCCGAGTTTGAAAAACACTGATCTAGATGGTATTGGCCTCTAAGCCCCATCAGCCCCAGACATCCAACATGACCAAGGGTCAGAGATTATAGTTGTACAGGATGCTTCACCAGATGGGCCATTCCCCAAATCCAACAGGCTCTTCTTAGGTTCTTAAGGCTGCCATAACACATTTTAAAGTAAAGCAATACACCCATTGCCATCTAAATAGGCCCCATCTCCTGTAAGACCGTTAAGTCTGGAGTCTGAAATTCCCCAATTGTACCAGTGAGCCAGGAGACCTGGGTTCAGATCCTGACTCAGCTATAAAAAGCTTGTTGGGTGTCTGTCAGTCTGACCCAGGGGTCAGCAAACTTTTTCAGCAGGGGGCCAGTCCACTGTCCCTCAGACCTTGTGGGGGGCCGGACTATATTTTTTGGCGGAGGGGGGGGTGAACGAATTCCTACGCCCCACAAATAACCCAGAGATGCATTTTAAATAAAAGGACACATTCTACTCATGTAAAAACACGCTGATTCCCGGACCGTCCGGGGGCCAGATTTAGAAGGCGATTGGGCCGTATCTGGCCCCCGGGCCTTAGTTTGCCTACTCATGGTCTGACCTAACCTACCTCACAGGGTTATTCTGATGGGGAAGCAAGGGGAAGGGGCAGGAGCCATCCAGAGCTCCTTGGAGGAAGTGTGGGGGTGGAGTGGGGAATGAAAAATGTTAACGCTAGCAAAATAAATAATCATTCCATTTTCTGTCAGGATCAAATGATAACATCGGCAAGCAGGGGGTGGTTTCTTTGTTGCCCATTCTTTCCCTCCGCTCTTCTGTTCCTCCCCTTCCCCATCCCATCTCGCGCGTTTCAAATCAATCAGGTGAAATCCACCTTGTTCTCCCGTGCCCTGAATCATGATAGCTGAGCACACTCGATAGGTAATTTAATCACCGCTGGCGTGAATGAACACAAGCTCAAATTAGCTCCTGAAAGGGTTAGTCTTTCTGAGATAGCTCTGCTTTTCCACTCTTGTGTGGCCACAGAGCTTCACCAACTGGCTAGCTGGAGGGGCCATGAAAAATTCAGTGAGAGACATAAAGGTGTGCACAGCCGTTGTCTCCTCTTACCTTTTCCTTCAGTTACTCTGGCAGACAAAAGGTATGGAACCCGCTTCATGAATAATGAGTCACATAATATAGGCGATGCATTTTTAATGCAACCAAGTAATAACATTAAGGAAGATATTTGCAATCTTCAAATTTCACACTGTAACAGCCTCAATAATTTGTTCTGATTCCTACCTGCCTAGATTATTACGATATTTCCCACCCCAGCACTGTTTTTCACTGCAAAAAGGTTATTTTTAAACAGCAGTTTTGCGTGTGACTTATTTTTGCCTGTCAGGGTGCAATAATACCGACTTCTAACATTCCTCCTGCTTAACTGCAGCTGATATTTCAACGTAGTTCTGTTGTGATTGAGGTTTTAACATTGTTTTGTTGACTTGGTCTTATTGTGTTGTTTTGCTGGGGTTTCCTTTTCGTTTTGTTTGTTTGGTATTTCCACACGAAAGGGCAATACATAAATTCTTTTAATAAACAATGAAAATAGAGATACTCACCTGCATTGCAAAGAGATGACCCAGTAAACTACATCCAAAAGTGGCGAAAAAAGTGACCATGTGCCATAATTGCATTGAAAGGTTACCACATGAATTCAATTTTTAAAATGTCTCACATCATGGACTTTAATATTTGGGGGCACAGAGAGAGTGTTGACCTGAATCCACACTAGGCGTTTGGTGTGGTTAAGATTTTAATGCAAACCTACCTAATTCAAACTTTCCTAAACACTATACAGTATGTTCCAAAACACAGCTGCACTTCTCTGAATTTTTTGGTGCAGTTTTCCCACCAAATAAAGTGTTTGTGTGTGTGTGATAGGGGAAAGTATGTATTGAAATGCATATATTCATGAAAATGATATATAAAATGTATTCTATTTGGGGAAATCGCTTGCAAAAAGACAGTGTCTTATCAGGCAGAGTTGTATAAAAATGTGTTCATTAAGATAAATGTGTTTTTTAAATGCTGGTGAAATTTATATCAAAAGGCAGACTTGTGCAGATAGCTGGAGAACTGAACTTGAGACTGCAAAAATGAGAAATGGAAAATTGACAGATTTGTCCATCCTAAATCCATAAACTTTTCCTTTAGGAGTGTGGCACATTCTGACAAGCCATTTGGCCAGAGCTTGCAGACAGCTGGAGGTTTTCATGTAGAGAAGGACCTTTATTTAAACAATTTTTTTATCAGTAACAGTGTGAACACCAGTTTTCATCCCAAGCCCCTACAGAACGAGGCAGCCATAGTTCTCAAAAGGAGAACCATGTCATTTAGTGCCTTAGGACAACACAACTGGAAGTGCAGAATTATATCAAGAAAGGAGCAGGTGGTTTGAATAGGTCACAGGCATGGGCAAATTCAGCCCTCCGGCTGTTTTGGGACTACAATTCCCATCATCCCTGACCATTGGTCCTGTTAGCTAGGGATGATGGGAGTTGTAGTCCTGAAACAGCTGGAGGGCCGAATTTGCCTATGCCTGGAATAGGATTTTGTTGCATTTTCCTTTATGTTGAGTTGACTATCCGTACTGCCCTCCAAATGCAGAAAACCTGTGCTGGTTTTGTGGATATCCTGAGTGTACAGCTCCAAGACCTGGGGGCAGGAGTTATGTGTGTTCAAAGCCCCATATTTAGAGGAATCTTATAGTATGGCCCTCCTGAAAGTGTACTGTTTCAGAATGCCTAGGGAGGTGATGGGAGTGAATATTTCACATCAGGAAAACTTATTCGCACTAACCTGTCGTGGGGGACTAGAGGGCAGGCTAGACTTAGATCCCTGACAGGCTAGCTTTCCACAAGCGGGGCACATTGAAATATTCCATCTCCCACAGAACTCCCAGGCATTTTTTTTAAAAAAAAACACAATGGTATAACTTTATTATTACAGAACCAGAAGCTTTCTTTTTCTCTCATGTGCCTTGTCTTTTGGATTGTAAGTCTGAAGGCAGGAACTGTCTTGATACTGCTCTCTGTCTGCTGGTCTACTTAGCACCTGATGTTGCACAGTCCCTGGTTATTACTTCACACAAGATCTCCTGGCTATCCCAGTTAACAGAACCCCATTTCAACACTCCAAGCCTGATACTTTGGCAACCTATCACAGGGTTTCGCAAACTTGGGTCTCTAGCTGTTTTTGGACTACAACTCTCATCATCCCTAGCTAGCAGAACCAGTGGTCAAGGATGATAGGAATTGTAGTCCAAAAACAGCTAAAGACCCAAGTTTGTGAAGCCCAGATCTATTATAAAAATGAACTGTGTCTTGAACGAGCAAGGTGGGACTATTCAGACTCTCCTAGTTAAATGGATTTATTACACTAAATTCAGAACTGCTAATTATTCATCATGATTTAAAACCAAACAAAACAAAGAAACGCCTAGAGGTTCTGCTAGGAATGTAATGAGCTAGGCCGCAGGTGGGCAACCAGATATTATTGGACTGCAGTTCCCATCTGTCCTGGTCAGCAGTGCCAATGGCCAGGGATGATGGGCATTATATTCCAGCTAAATCTGGGGGCCACAGATCTGCATCCCTGAACTTGACCGTCTCCTCTTAGGTGTGACCAGTGATCATCCCCAGTCCTAAACAACTCAGCATTCATTTCTCTGAGCTTTCCACATGCTAAGCCAAAGAAAGTCAAAAGTGTGGGTGTAAATCCAGCCCTTCTCTGAACCCTGTGCTTCTTTAGGTCTCTTTTCTCGTTCTCAAAAAATGTGTCACATCCTGGTAATATGCTGAAATAGCTTCCTTCGCATGCTCTCTAAGCCTGTATAATTGCCACGTAGGTTACATGCGCACAGCTTGCGGAGGAGATCAAAAGACTGCAACCCTACACCAATTTACCAGAGAGTAAGCCCCTACTGAAGCCAACGGGACTTGCTTCTGAATAGGCATGTATCAAGTTGCACCCTAGAAAAAGAATCTGCTTATCTATGATCCTGCTCAGTCAAGACCGTGCGGGCTGATTATTATTTTTTTGTATCATGTGCAATATAAACTCCTGTCCAGGCAGTGACTGCATTGTCGAGGAGGAGGGCACCGCTGTGGGGGAATCAGATTGTTTTGCAGTGCAGCTGTCCATACCTTTGTACTGTTTGGCACTATATTGGTGTGTGTGTATATATATATATATATATATATACGGTGCACAGGCTGATAGGATTCCAACTCTGGCACTGATTTGACATGAATATGCCTGTCAAAGTGTGGCCTTAAAGTGACACCTTTTTGGCTGATTTGCGCTTTGTTTGTCTTCCTCCAAGCTTCAGTGTTCTGTCTTGTTTTTTGTCTGATCGTACAGCGAGCTTTGTTAACTGATTTGCTGTAATTCCTACACCGTTGGGGAAAATAACTCCATTGATTTGTGGACCCGATTTCCAAGTAAATTCAACTAGAATCCCACCTCTGGTTTGGTTAATACGTCCTGTTGAAATAAATACTGCTTCTGAGGATCCTCGGGACTTTATTAATTTAAAACATTATTCCAATAAATATGCATCAATGAACATAAGACACACTGTAAAATCTAAATAAAGGCATTTACAATCCTATCTATAAAGTAAAAACAGATTCTTCCCCCACCCCCGCCCACAATGAGGTATGCACAGGATTAGTTAAGGCAAATTCATACTATAACAAACTGATACTAATTTATGGGTCCTTCCAGGCATGAGACCATCTGAGAGCATATAACCTAAATATTCAGTCCAGAGTAACAGGAGCTCCTCAGCTATTTCTCACCTACTGGTTATCTAATCACAGAATGCCAATGACATTTAAAAGCAAAAATCTGTCCTCATCCCTTATTTCTGCCCTCTTCAACAATTTTTAATAATAAGGCTCTTTCTTATTGGCTCTTCCCAACAGGTGCAAAGGAAAAGCCATACATGCACTACAAAAAAACCAGGACATAAAGTAGGTAGACTGAAATTCTTGGATAGGAGCATTGTGTTGTCCTAAAAGTTGCAAATCCCTGGCATGAAGGGAGCTACTGGAGATTAACACTTGGCCTGGGTGTGCAACGAAGATTAAAAATTAGAGATGACATCTTGGTGAAACACATATGGGGAGCATGTGGGGAATGCCGGACTCTGCACAACATCTAAATGCTGACCTCCAACTTATTCAGGCATTCTCAACCAGGACTAGGCAAGGTTGGCTGAAGTAGCCAAGGGGTTCTTTCCCTCAGCTGGAAAAATGTATCGGGCCACAATTCAATACTCTTAAATTTGGAGCCTAGGACCAGTTAGCTGGGAGCAATCCTAGGAAGCTGCCTAATAGGAGCTCTATAAACTCTGAAAAAGGCAGGACCTTGAGGGTCCAGGTCCAATTAATCGATGAAAACCAGTCGCAAGTTGTTAAACGGTAGAAAATCAAATACAGTCACTCTCTCTCCTTTGTCAAGCTGCTCAGTGTGTTGACCATGTAAACTCAGGTAGTTTAGATTTCCCAGATAAAAAATAACTTTCAGGAAATCAAAGGTTAGCAGGGAAATTCATTTTTAAAGGACTTTCTGGTTCATAGGCACCAGTAGCTTATGTTTACAAAGACTTTGGGGGCTTTAAGGCGGTGGGGTGCGCATGTTATTTTTCCAGTGTTTAATTTTAAAGGAAGAGACACAGAGTGGGGAAAAAAGACTTCACCCCACCTTACTTCAGCCTTGGCGTTCCATTTTCATTCCAAGACCTTTCGGTGAAGTTCTACAAAATGCTGGCCAGTCTGCTCTGGCTTCCTGTTTAGTGAGAACATGGCAGGAAGTGGCCAGACAAGAGAGGCGGGGGCAGGAAGAGGGCAGCCCACCAAGGGAGGAGGAAAAGTCTGTTGACATAGTGTTTTTGGGGGTTCCCTGGGTTCCCTCCCCCTCCCCGCCCAGATTCTGCATGGCTCTCATTTCAGACCATGTTGCGTCTCTCGGTGCCTCCGCAAATCCACTTTTCTCTGGAAGCCTTTGCCACACAGATCGCAGCCAAAGGGCTTGAAGCCCGTGTGCTTCCGACTATGGGTGATGAGGTTGGAACTCTGGCTGAAGGCTTTGCCGCACACCTGGCACTTGTGGGGCTTCTCACCTGCGGATTACAAAAGGATGGGCACAAAGTTACAACAACGTAGCACCCTTTACAAACCAGCTTGAAAAGTCCAATAGAAAATGCAGAATTGGACAAAATGACAGGAAGGATTCGAAACCTGCGGGACCAGAGATTTACAGAAGATTGGAAGAAGTATATGAATTATTTGAAGAGCAACTGTAATCAACAAATTACGCTAGTAGGACTACAAGGAGTTTTGTAAGGAGAAATATACAAAGTGTTACAAAATAGGAAAAGATAGAGATATTGGTTATGAGTTTGAAATGTAATAGGGAAGATAAGAAATGCATACTGAGAGATTAGATTGGAAAATTTTCAGACAGGATTGATGGAAGTCAAAAATTTGAATAAGATGTAAAAGTATGTTTAATTACTGTTGAAAATGATATGTTAAAAAAACTAATAAAAAATTATATATATAAAGAAAATGGCACCCCCAGATATCCAATACGAGTGGGTGACTCGGAATAAATACTAAGGATAGCATAGGGCTGCCATATGTCTGGACATTCCTAGGATTTCAAAAGGCAGACATCTGGAGGTGAATTTCCAAAAGGCAGCGCTTTGTACTGGCTCTTAGGCAAGTCAATTGGAGAATCGTGTTTTTGTAAAGAAACAAAAAATAAACAAACCTTCAACTCAACAACTTTGGGGTTTGTCTAAAAAAAGCTGAACAACTTTCGGGGTGCCCTGGTTTTTACTTTTTGAAATATGGCAACCCTAGGATAGCATCCTTAAGATCCTTCTCAAGTTTTGTGCTGATTTTAATCGCCCTAGTTTAGGACAAGTACCAGCCACTCTCTGACAAGGCACAACTGGAAGAAGAAGACAAGGGAGCTCTCACATTACCCTTTCAGGTAACTCAGAGCTTGGCAATGATGTCAGAGGGTGCAGCCCCTAAACAGCCAGCTCAATGCGGATCTCAGCTCTCAGACTTAGGAAGCTATCCTTTTCTTCCCTAAAGCATCCTTGGCAAACTACTGATCAGAGTTCCCTTGAAAACCTTTGGAGGAGAAGATTTCCACCCTCTTCCCCTAAGCAGCTCGTTCTTCATTGCTCACCTCCTCTTCAGATGAAAAGAGCATTTCAGTAGCCCCAGTCTCAATGCAGTCGGATCGTTCGTTTCTATTTCCAATTGCACAAATAATTTCCTCTCCCAAACATGCACACAGAGAGTGGCCCTCATTGCTCACTAAGCCAGTATGCATGTCTGGAAAGTGGAAGAACCTGATTTTAAAATCCGGGCGCTGCCCTTGTCCTAACCACAGAAGGCCTTTTTCTTTCACTGCCTCCTTCCCTGTCTCTGAAATGTTAATGGTCACGCTTCCTGGGGAAATAATTGTGCAGCCATTTGTTCTTACACGTTGCGAGGTTTTGCTGAGGGGCATCTAGTTTTCCATCAACACACGCTCAAAATAAGTGGCATTACGCTGAGAGTAGACTAGTGCACTTTGAAACCATGACAAGCAATTGGTTTCTAAAAACCAATAAAAGTTCACAAAAATGGGGCAGGACATGGGTGGAGAATGGAGTTAGCAATGCGGAGATGGACAATATCAGTGACGCTCTTGCAATCAGATTGCACATGGAAACTCACAACAGCAGTGACCATGAATTGCATTTTCCAAGGTGTAATATGCGGCGTTTTTTCACATCAGCCATACAGAATGACATAAAGCTTTGGAACAAAAGGCTGTCTCAGAACTGGGTGAATGGACATTAAAACGGCAATTTAAGCAAGTGCGAAGTCATGCAGAAATCCTTATTTCATATATACGTCAATGTGATTTAAGCTGGCACTGAGTGAAAAGAGATCTTGCATTTGTGGTGGGTGGCCAAATGAAAATGTTGACCCAGTGTGGTACTGCTGTGAAAAAGGCAGATTCCATGTTGGGAATCATTAGGATACGATGGAACCACCTACACAATGCCTTTACACAAAACTATGGTGCAACCACTCTTATAATACAGTGTACAGCTGATATTTTAGAGCTGGAAAAGAGCAGCCAAAATATCAGGGGGCTGGAGCAACTTCCCTAGGAGAAACAGGTTTGGGGTTTTTTAGCCTAGAAAAATTGTGAGTGACAGGCAGGACGGTGAACAGAGAGACCATTTTCTCCCTCTCTGAAAAGTACTGGAATGGGGATTATCTGATGAAGCTAAATTGTTGAATAGTAGAGTTTGCTACCACAAGATGTAGTGCTGGACCAACGTAGACATTCTTAAAAAGGGATTAAGCGTATTCATGGTGAATAAGGCTCTCAATGGCCACTAGCCATAATGGTTTTGCATCGCATCCAATAACTGAGGCAACATGCCTCTGAATATCAGTTGCCAAACAGCAAATGGTAGGAGAGGCCTATTGCCCTCACCTCCTGCTTGCGGGCCTTCCATAGTCATCTGGTTGGCCATTGTAGGAAACAGGTGTTGGACTCTATAGATCTCTGCAAAGCTCTCCTTCTGTTTTTTATTCGCATGGGGGATAATATCTTTGTTATTTACTCCCACTTCAGTGAATACAGAAGGCTGCTGGGTCAGAAGACATACCCCCTGAGAAAAGCTCCATTTAAATCTGCAGTATGTTTTGTTTGTCTTTCTCCTAACAGTTTTCCTCAGCTATTCAATCTGCGTTTTTGTTTTGTTTCCATGTTCCCCAGAAACTCAAAATCATGGTGCCTTGCCTACCACTGAAAATAGCCCTCAAGCAGTTCGATTGGAAAAACTCAAAATACACAAGAGAGCTCCAGAGCAAGTATCAAGACTGACTGTTTGGATCTGCATCCTCCAACTTTCTGGCTGGGCCTACCATTAGGCAGAACAAAATGCAGGCAGCAAATGCTAGGGCGCAGGGATTGGTAGCGACGTCAGCTGAATTCTATACACATGCAATGGGGAGGGCGCCATCTTGTATCTTGCCTCAGGAGTGTGGGTAGAAATAACAATACAAAGGGAAAATTGACATTCATTGCTCCAGTGCTTTCCCCCCCACCCCGGGGTACGCAGGGGTAGACATACCCCTAAACATTTTGTGAATCTAAGTTTGGCCTCATTGAGGGGCAGTACAGTGGTACCTCTGGTTAAGAACTTAATTCATTCCAGAGGTCAGTTCTTAACCTGAAACTGTTCTTAACCTGAAGCACCACTTTAGCTAATGGGGCCTCCCGCCGCCGCCGCGCCGCCGCCGCCGCGCAATTTCTGTTCTCATCCTGAAGCAAAGTTCTTAACCTGAGGTAATATTTCTGGGTTAGCGGAGTCTGTAACCTGAAGCGTCTGTAACCTGAAGTGTCTGTAACCCAAGATACGACTGTATTTCAATATGAGTAGGAAAATGAGAGTACTCCTAAGCATTTTTTTAGGGAGGGAAGCACTGCATTGCTCTGTCCAGCGGCTCTTTCTGCCCCTGGCATGTGGCCCTCAGAATGTTGCCTAGAAAGGAATGTGGCCCTCACATAGAAAAACATTTGCCACCTCCTCTGCTTTAAAGGAAGAGCTGAAGAGGGCTTGCGTGTCTGTCTTTCTAAAACTACTTGTACCTTGGAGAGACAAAAAATAAATTTGCCAGCTAGTCCACCCTGCTTTCCCGGCATCACTCTGGAGGAAACCAGCGGATAAAAAGAAGTTTAGAATGTTAAAATCGAGATGTGGAAATATGGAAATAACAACGAGAGGCAGGATTGAGATTTGGAGATGTGCTTCAAGGTCCAAACTATGGGAAGTCCCAAAAATTAATAATTCTAATTTGGAAGATAATTAGATCTTTGTTATTTTAGTTTTTTATTTTTATTGGATTATGATTTGATATGCTAAATTGGATGTTTTTTAATTGGAAAATTAATAAAAACAATTTAACAAAAAAAGAAACCAGCGGATAAAGATGTCCATTTATCCCAACAGCAGGGGGTGGGAGGTGGATTGATATTTGTTTGTTTGTTTGATTGATTGATTCTGGGAGGCCAAGAGGGAGGTAGCGATTCTCACCTGTATGGATGAAAGTGTGCTTCTTCATGTCGGATTTCTGGTGAAATCTCTTCCCACAGTACTGGCATGGATAAGGCCGGGTGTCTGAGTGGATGAGAAGATGGGTAGACAACGTGGAGGACCTCTTGAAGCTCTTACCGCAGATCTTACAATCAAAGCTGCGCTCCTGCCGAGAGAAAGCAGGACCTTCATGTAGATGCACCATCTTCTTCATTTAATGCGTTTAGAATATCTGTTCATAGCTAACCACTTGCATAGAAGCAGCTTTCAAAATGAAATCTGATAATTGATTTTCCCCCCTTTGGTTTGAGAAGATTGACGTACCACTTAAAGGCGCTTACATAAAATAATACAAAATTCACAAGGAAAAAACACTTTGGAATAATACAATTATATCAAAACCAGAAGTTCTGAAAGCAGATATCCAGTAATTTAAAAATACATTTATGGGTATTCTTGCCTAAACAAAACTGAGAATTATTCAAAATAATTCAGATATACGGTGGCCATTTGCTTTGTCGCAAAATATAGATCCCATAGTGACTGCATTGGATGGGGGGTGGGGCGGAAATGGCTGAAGTTGCCTCCTCCTTCAAACCTGGGACTTTACTTATATTTCATTATATTGAAATGTTCTGTTTTATCATGTAGTTTTCCCCTGAACCATGAAAACATCCCCAAACCACTCTGGAGATACTGAGAATTGAACCAGGAAACATCTGCATGGGATACTTGTGTTCCACAGGTTTTACATGTGTATTACAGAAAGAGTTACATTTTGTGATGAAAAGCCTTTAGTGTTCGTCCTTCCAGCTCCAATTTTTAAAAGCACCTAGAGTTCTCAGGCAAGTGTCTTTTCGTTACCAGGGTCAAGAAAATCTATGTACATTTCTTTCCCACTCCAACTGCACCATACATTTAAAGTGCACCCAACACACATGACGACCCCCTCCCAGAGTCAGAATTCCTATAACTTTTGACAAACTACAGTTTCCAGGATTCTTTAGCGGAAGTAATCAGCTTTAAATGTGTGTTGGATATGCTTTAAACTTACGGTATATATCTGCTGTCCCCGTCCCCCACAGCACTTCAACAGTGTTGAAGAAAAGGTGAAGCTTTTGAAGGGTGCATAATTTGGGTTTGGGGACAAGAACTCTTTTTTTTTTTTTAAATACTTTTATTTTGCTTTAAACAAATATAGATAAATATAAAGAACCAAAATTACAAAAGAAAAATCCTTAATAATGGAAAAAGCTAAAAAAACTACAAAAAATATCAAAGTACATGGCACAGAGCATAAGTCATTATAGAAAAGAAAAAAGAAAAAGGAAAGGAGGAGGGGGAGGGGGGAGAGGAAAATGAGCCAAAACACAAGAAGGCTCGTCTATTGTATGCTTCCGTCAAGGTCACAACAGATCATTATTCTAACTCTTTTAAAGGTAAAGGGACCCCTGACCACTAGGTCCAGTCGTGGCTGACTCTGGGCTTGCGGCACTCATCTCGCTTTACTGGCCGAGGAAGGAGGCGTACAGCTTCCCAGTCATGTAGCCAGCATGACTAAGCCGCTTCTGGTGAACCAGAGCAGCACACGGAAACACCGTTTACCTTCCCGCCGGAGTGGTACCTATTTATCTACTTGCACTTTGACGTGCTTTCGAACTGCTAGGTTGACAGGAGCTGGGACCAAACAACGGGAGCTCACCCCGTTGCAGGGATTTGAACCACTGACCTTCTGATCAGCAAGTCCTAGGCTCTGTGGTTTAACCCACAGCGCCACCCGCGTCCCTTCTAACTCTTTTATTTGTATTCTAATGCATGGCAGGAGTGGGGAAGGAAGAGAGATTTACTTAGATTTATTGCAGTGATATTAACGCTTCTCCAAATCTAGATCGCAAAACCCTCAAACTTCATTTTTGTGTTCCAGGATCTCTAATAATTTTAAGAAGGGAAATTTACGCGGGCACAAAACCCCACACATACACTAAGTAGAAGAATAGAAGCATAATCACCTGACCCCCACCCCACTTACTATTCCCCCTTCCCCCCTCTCTTGTCTTCCTAATATTTTTAACCAATTAATGAGCCAAGAACTTATACACTGACCACTAATGATGAACCACATGTTGTAGATATTACTCCACATTTATTATGCTATTTTTATGATAGACATATGACATGAGAAAACTTGGTATACTTATTTGTATAACATTATTCTTGTTTTTAAAACCCAATAAAAAGTTATTTAAAAGAAAGAAAGGCAAATTTGATGGAAGTTTGTGTGTGTGTGTGTGTGTACGCGTGCATATGGGTTTGTTGTGCAGGGCGGGGAAGGTTGCAACAAAAACATATGAAATATCACTGTTTCGTCTTTTTGGTGAGCACCTTTCAGGTTGGTTGTAGGATTGTAATCAGGATTAATTCCCACCAGCCCTGCATGATAACCCACACACCTTTCCCTGGCAAGGAGACTGCTAGTCCCATTAATCTGTCACTCTGGGCTATACTGTCATTTAATGTAGATCTGGGTTTCCCAAACTTGAGCCTCTAGCTGTTTTTGGACTACAACACCCATCATCCTTAGCCAGCAGAACCAATGGTCAAGGATGGTGGGAAATGTAGTCCAAAAACAAGTTTGGGAAACTCTGATGTACTGTAGATAGTGAGTTTACTGTACAGTGGTACCTTGGTTTCAGAACATCTTAGTTTATGAACAACCCAGAAGTAGGTGTTTTGGTTTGTGAACTTTGCCTTGGTATAAGAACATGTTTCGCTTCCTCTTGCGTGTGTTCCATTTGTAAACTGAGTCCCCCCGCTGCTATGAGAAAGCACGCCTTGATTAAGAACACTTTGATTTAAGAACGGACTTCCAGAACAGATTAAGTTCGTAAACCAAGGTACCCCTGTATATCCATTAATTCTTCATTGTCTGTATGACATTCTCCCCCAATCACTGCCTCTCCACACTTTCCCCTCCCTCAAGCCAGATTTCCTCGCACCCTCTCTGTTTCAGAGTATCCCCGGTATGAGTAAATCTGGACTGAAGGAGGGGAAAGTGTGAGGAGGCAGTGCTTTGGAGGAGAACGTCAGAGAATTAATAGAGATACAGAAAGCTGGCTCCTTGCATTAAGCCACCGTGTGGATGAACCCTCTCCAACCACTTGCCACCTTCCCCGGGGTTCTCACCTGTGAGTGCACAGCTTTATGCTGCTCCAGGCTAACTGCATGGCCAAATGTCTTGCCACACATTTCACAAGCGAAGGGCCTGGTGCCGCTGTGCGAACGACGAACGTGCACCTCCAGGCCGTGGGGAGTGGAGAAGACCTGAGAAGCAGCGGGGAAGACAAAGAGAATTATGGTTCAGGAAGGCCTGAAGCTCACAGCAGGTCCTGAACTTAAGATATCAGAGCTGTTTAGGAGAGTGTTTCTCCCCACAGAGGTTCAGCCAATTAACATTATTGAGTATTGGTGCCATCAGGGTGGGGCAGGTTTCAATGGCCCAAGCCACGGAATGAGCAAGAGGGATTGCAGCCACAGCCCGGCTGGATGGCCACATTTTGAAACAAATGAGGTAATGCATGTTACTATCTAAAGAGAGGGGGACCTCATAAGACAATTAAGTCCAGAGCCTAATATTTCCTAGTTGCAGTGGTGTAGCAAGGGTTGCGAGTGCCCGGGGCCACGTGGAGGGAAATGGATGAGGCATGCATGCACATTCAACTCCCTAATAGTGCCTGCGTCACCCAGGCAATCGCAGCCACAGAAATAAGAAGAGTCATTTCATTGTCCAGAGAGGTCACTTTCTGGTTCACATGGAGAAGCCTTTTTCAATGGAGCTCAGCGACAAAAGCGCACAGCTGTTTTGAGGCAGCACCAGGTGCTGAAATTTTACGCTCCTAACAATTTTGGGTCTGGGGAAACCGCCCCAATGCTACACCACTACCTAGTTGTGCCACTGTTACTGCAAGCTGAAATGCTGATTGACAGGTATGTAGTCTCCTGTAATAATTGATACTGTTTTGTCGATCAGTATATCTATCTGATACTGCTTCATATGCAGTTTATAATTTTAGGGATATATATATATATATATATATATATAGTGTCAAATGTAGCAGGTTTTTTTCATTGTCTAAATTGATTGATGATTTAGAAATGCTACAAACAGCTTAGAGTGTCTGTGACAAAAGCAAAGTTTAGAAATGTTACAAAACAAGGACAATTGTGAAGTCCAGCCAGACCTGCAAAAGGCTATTGGTCAGTAATGGCTGTATACTATGTCTAGGATCAGAGACAGCAGGCCTCTGGATATCAGTTGCTGGGGAACAACAGTGAAAGGGGTTTTGCTGTCATGTCCTGTTTTGGGGCTTATGAGAGGCATTGGGTTGGCCACTGTAGGAACCAGGATGTTGGGCTCATGGGCAAGAATCTTCTTATGTTCATAAGAGCTATCTGAACAATTAATATGCCATGGCTCCACCTTCCCTGTACAAGCTTCCTAGTCACACATCCTTAAATTAAGCAATAACGAGGGGCCTGTCTCTGCCTTGACCAACCTTGCCCAAGCCTTCAGACCTCACCACCCCTAAATAACCCCCACCGAAGCTGACTGAGTGGAGAAGGGTGGAACGGAGGAATGCCACCAAAGGGGGTCAGTCATAGAATATGGTCCATACCTTGCTGCATTTGACACACTTGTAGGAACCAGTGCTGATTAACAGGGGGCGACAGAGGAGCTCTGATTCCAATTTGATGCTACTTGCACTCTTCTCCTGCTGGAGTCCAGGTGGGCCTTCCACGTAGATCCCAGAGGCTGCTGCTGGTCGCTCAAAGAGTCCAGAGGAGCCAAAGTCACCATAGAGTCCCAGCGCTGAGCTGCGTTCCGATCCATAGAGAGCAGGCTCAGATCCCCTCTCGCAGAAGAGACCGAGGGATGAGCTACGTTCCAGACCTGGGCAGGGCCTGTAGCTCTGGACCAAATGTCTCAGCTCAGAATTCCCAAGGCTACTCCAGGCATAGGGCTTCAAGGGCACGGAGAAGGGGGGAGCCTCATCCAAGGAGGGGCAGATGGAGCGCTCAGAGGCTGTCGAGACACAAATTGAGTGGAAGCAGTTAAACGGGGTTCACACAGAACATGCACTCGACCTCTTTGTTGTGTTAGCTCTTTAGTATATAGGGTGCTTCCAGGCTTATCTTACAAATAGGTTGTGCAGATCCTGTTTCTCTTTGTTCATGATTGACATGAGTGTCTACATACTCCATTTTCTCCAGTCATGCTATTGACTGCTATACCACCACCTGACATCTGCACCACGGGGTGGAGCTTGATGGAATGTGTCTGGGCTGAGTTTCTTTGTTAATAATAATAATAATAATAATAATAATAATAATATATGCTGCCCATCTGACTGGGTTACCCCAGCTACTCTGGGAAGCTTCTAACAAATTAATATGCAGTAAGACATCAAAAATTAAAACCTTGCCTATACAGGGCTGCCTTCAGATGTCTTCTAAACGTCAGGTAATTATTTATTTCCTTGACATCTAATGGGAGGGTGTTACAGGGCAGGTGCAACTACCAAGAAGGTCCTCTTGTCTGGTCCAGTCACTTCTCTTCCATATATCCCCCATATATATCACACATTTCCTCAGGCACTGCCTCTTTCCATATGAACCTACCTGGACCCTGAGATCATCATCTGAGGCCCTTCTTCATGTGCCTCCTCCTCGAGAGGTCCAGAGGGTGGCAACACAAGAACGGGCCTTCTCTGTGGTGGCTCCCTGTCTGTGGAATGCTCTCCCCAGGGAAGTTTGCCAAGCGCCTTCATTATACACCTTTAGGCGCCAGGCAAAAACATTCCTTTTTAACCAGGCCTTTGATTGATTTGATTGACATTCTATGTCCTTCTAAAATGTGGGTTTTTGGAGGGGTGTAACTGGGTTGTTGTTTTTATTTTTATTACGTATTTTGTGGTTAGTGCTAAGAAGCTTCCATACCAGCAGTTGCTGCAGAGGCACAATGGGTTGTTTTTACTCATCATATTTGCCGTGGAAGAGGAAAATCCAGATAAGACAAAGCAACATAAGGACAGGGTTGGGATTTTGTTGGTGGCATCCTTGTATGAACAGTGTAAAAAAACACACCTGTGTGCATGGGTAGCTCACATTTCGCACTGAATGCCTGCCTGGAAGCACCCACAGTCACTAACGGCCGCAGTTCATGTGTGAGAGAACTACTCCCTCCCTCCCATTCACCCACAGGTTGAAATAAGTTCAGGTGTATTTGACCAAACAATAATACACTTCTGTTGTCATTAGCCTAAAAGCTCTGTCAAAATTAAAATGCAACAGTAAGGAAGCAAGCCCTCCTGGAGATAATAGAATAGGCAATAACAAGAAGCTCTGTTAGTCAAGCATTTCAACAACAGCTTCATAACAGTTGGCTCATTTTAAAAACCACTGGAGATTTTCACGAGTTTAGTGGCAGTGGTTGCAAGGAACAGCCAAACGTTTTACATCTTCATTTTGCTCCGCACAAAGCTACTTTAAAATTCACGCTCTGCGCCGTCCAGTTCATAAACATTTGAGATTAAAGGATAGTTCTCTTCTTCGCCCTGATTTCTGAGACAAAACTAGGGAACAGTGAGGCTAATTCTGTCATTCACGAGTCTCATCTCAAACCTGTTTCCTTGCAAAATCATTCAGGAGTGAATCATTTCCCCCGCTTTTCAGTTATATGAGTGATTAGGAGCACAGCACCACCATTTTGGAAAGGAAAAAAAACCACATAACACAAGGCGCTGATCTCATTTTGGAGACAATCTAAGAATTTGCACAGTTGCAGATGCTTTCAACCACGTCAGATTTATTTTGGTAATTCCGCCCACCTTTATAAACCACCCTGCGCTGATAAAGATCATGGGGTGATTCACAATTCATCATAAAAACAAATGCAATAAATGTATGTAGTTCACCAACCCAGAAAAATGAAGTAAAAGCCCAAGAAAGTAAGCTCCTAGGAAGAGGCAAGCAAGTCAAACAACTACTCCAACACCACGCAAAACACCTTGGGAGACAAGTACATCTTTAGCTGGCAATGAAAACTCCATGTTGAAGATGACTGATGCACTTCCAGTAGAGGGAAGTTCCACAGATAGGGTGCTGCCACAGAGAATCAGAGAATCTTAGAGTTGGAAGGGACCCAATGGTCATCTAGTCCAACCCCCTGCAATGCAGGAATCTCAGCTAAAAGGCCTTGTCCCATCAGCGGGACCATGAGAACGGCCTCCCCATGCAGATCCCAAGGTCCAGGTTGGCAGATGAAGGGAGATGTTTTAGATACTGAAAGCCTCTGGGAGAAAAGGAGATGCAACTTCCCAAATCAGGGGCAACATTTGAAAATGCCAAGCTAGATTATAAGGTCTCAGACAGTAAGGGAAGAGAATACTTGCTCTTACAAAAAGACCAGTAGTTATAGCTATATTAAAGCATGGTTTGCTTTTTAAAGATCTCCCTTATTTATGACCAGGTGACTCAAGAGGTCAAACTTTTCCTAGACCACAACATTTTAAGCTGTAGGCGTGGCAAGGGGGTTGCATGTTTTTCCCCTTGGTTTGCCGTGAGGTTGAAATCAGCAGGTTGTAAACTAGAATGTCCCTGAGGAAGACAAGGTGCTTCTTCTCCTTGACATGCTAGTGTTCTACCTGTGGGAAGCTTATTTGTAGGAGAAGGGTTCAAACATTCCGGCTCCCATCCCTTATGCATTTATCACTTGTGTTTATAACCTTTACCAAATGGTCTCTGGGCAGCTTACAAATTACCTGGCAGGGAGACCACTGATCTCAGGTGGCCTTACTTCTGAGTAGATGAGCCTAGCATTGCACTGACAGCCTCCCACCTGCAGCAGCAGCCAAGGAAGCTTTGACCACTTGGTGCTGATTTGGGGGGGGGCATATCTGGATGCCTCTATTTTGGTGCTGGAGGAGACTCTTGAGAGTCCCATGGACTGCAAGAAGATCAAACCTCTCCATTCTGAAGGACATCAGCCCTGAGTGCTCACTGGAAGGACAGATCGTGAAGCTGAGGCTCCAATACTTTGGCCACCTCATGAGAAGAGAAGACTCCCTGGAAAAGACCCTGATGTTGGGAAAGATGGAGGGCACAAGGAGAAGGGGACGACAGAGGATGAGATGGTTGGACAGTGTTCTCAAAGCTACCAGCATGAGTCTGATCAAACTGTGGGAGGCAGTGGAAGACAGGAGGGCCTGGCGTGCTCTGGTCCATGGGGTCACGAAGAGTCGGACATGACTAAACGACTAAACAACAACAAATTTGCTTCTAGCGTGACGTCGAAGTCTCGCAAAAGTTCACTTGCATCATTTTAAATCGTAACCAGCCCAGTAATGGCATTGCCTGACTTACCCAGAGGTTCTTGCCCTGTGACTCCACAAGATCGTGTCTGCTGCATGATCAGTCTTAGCTAAACAAATGCATAGCAATTGTGGCACCAGATGCAGCTCTCTTATTGTGCTTCTGTCATAGACAGATATTCTTTCTAAGCCTTGAATGCTTCTTCCCCTAGCTCCATGGTTTTCCACCAGTGTGCCGTGGCACCCTTGGGTGCCTTGAATGACAGTCAGGGGTGCCGCGGGCAACACTGGCCTCAGTCCCTCTTTCCTTCCCTCCCTCCTCTGATACCCTCTTGCATCTCTGCCTCCCAAAGGCTTGCACAGCAGTTTGCTGCAGCAGCCCTGGCTGCAAGCTCCCCAGACAAATAGTGCCTCTAGGGCTGGCCAGGGGCTGATTCCTAGGCCCTTGTGGGGCAGTGGGAGAAGACACCTCTCTTTGGGGCAGGGCGGGCAGCTCAGAGACCAGGGGCAGCAGCAGCAGCGGCTGCCCAGAGGACCCCCAAGGAGAGGGGAGAGGAAAGGAAGCTGAGGGAACACTCCACAAGGGAGGGTGTTTGAAAAAGGGTGAGAGACTGTCAGCTCTGCAGGCAAAGGGTGACATAACTGGGCTCCTGAGCCCCACAGGGGTGCTGCAGAAAGAATGGAGTTGGTCAAGGCAGCCGTGGACTCAGAAAGGTTGAAAACCTCTGCTCTAGGTAGTACACCACTCGCTACTCTGAAAGCCATGTGGAATTGCAGGCTATTACCAGCACCTGTTGGCTCATGCGGTGTTGCTAATGAATGCCTGTCCTGTTCTTATCTACGAAAAAGCTTCTCTCGCAGCAAGAATCATGTACACATACATACACACACACACCCCACAGCATAACAGCAGTACCTCGGTTCCATAACTTGAATATGCAAGTATTGACTGGTTTGGGCAAAGTGTACATTGGGGTTGTACTTGATTCCCGCCCTATACACACCCACACACCTATACAGGTGATTGGTGTGTTTAAAAAATAAATAAATTAAAAGGGGGGGAAGGTGCCGGTGCTCACTATGAAGTTGTTACAGTAAATGCCCCACAATTTTAACATTTGGGGGTGGTACTGCATATCCTTGAGTACCCCCCAGGCGGGAGCACTGCCTGAGGTGATTTTTTTAACCTAACTTGCGCCACTTCGTGCCCTGTGTATTCCCCAGCAGTCGGACATATTTTTACATGGAAAGAAAGAACACACAGTAAGAGATGTTTTTAACATCAATAAATCAGAGGGTCAGCTGTTCCATAATGTTTCAAGCCCTGCCACGTTGTGACTTTATTTTATTTTTAACAGAGGGGAGGCTGGGAATATAATGCTACATGTCGAAATAATTGGTGCCTAACCATGACCCAAACTCTGAATTTGAATATCAAAAGGTATTCATTATTAATAAATAAAAATAGTGTTTGTGGGAGGGGGCATGGTTGTTGTTTTTTGTTTGGTTTTCTGTTTTATTTATTTGTGCTTTTATCCTGTATTTTTTATCTTGTCAACTGCCCTGAGATTTTCAGATGAAGGGCGGCGTATAAATTTAATAAATAATAAACAAATAATAAATATTTCATGCTAGCCTTAATAAATGTGACCAGCTTAAGTTCATTAATTTTAGTGGGTTTACTCTGCATAGGAAAAGGCAAACCACAGCTGAAAATATATATTTGTGCTGTTATGGCCTCTAAGGTGTGAACGTAGTAAGGTTTTTGTTTCTGCTCATGCCTGCAATATGTTTTGAGTTAAAGGGAAAATACGCATTGGGGGTTATTACCATAGCTGTCAACTTTTCCCTTTTTTAAGGGGAAATTCCCTTATTCCGAATAGGATTCCACGCAAGAAAAGGGAAAAGTTGACAGCTATGGTTATTACAGATTTCACACACTACTCCTATATTATTAACAGTAATCCAGTTTCATAAGTTTTACATGAAATGGAGTCAAATCAAATGTCATATGTTATCTGAATCCATTTCATGTAAAAAATAAAAATGCTACATGTAAGAGATACATCTAACTGTGTTTTTAAATCCCCCAACACCTTGTGGTTCACATTATTAGCTAATTTTATCAAGGAGCATATTTAAAGCACATGCACACATGTAATAATCATAGGAAAAATACAAGATAAAATGTTGCAGTAGAATAATCGGTTTACAAGAAACCATCAACTAACTCCTGAATTATTGCTTATCAGACTGATAATCCAATAACAATATATAATCAACGGTTTAATAGAGAGGGGAATGAAGATATGTGATTAAGTCCACTGAGAATAAAAATAACTGTAAAAATAAAAATGGCTGTAGCTTAATAATATTCTATCTGCACACACACACACCCCGGCAAGAAAAAGACGGGTTAAAAAAGCACTTTCTGCAAGCACAGGAAAAGGTAATAAAACAATTATAGAGGCGAAGAAGAAGAAGAAGAAGAAGAAGAAGAAGAAGAAGAAGAAGAAGAAGAAGAAATTAAAACTTTAAGCAATGTCTTTACAAGTGAATAGAGCAAAATAGAATCAAAAGGGAAAGGGGTATGAATTGATTGAGCCAGCAAGGTTTTTTGAGGCGTTTTTTTACATGTTTATTACAGCCTCAGGTTTGTGCTCTGCTTTGACAAAAACAATTTTGCAGTAGCGATATTTTTCTCACACTCAGGCAGATCACCCACTGGGTCCCATTTTGATCATTTGAGCATGGTGTGTGTGTGTGTGTGTGTGTGTGTGTGTGAGAGAGAGAGAGAGAGAGAGAGAGAGAGAGAGAGAGAGAGAGATGGGGGCTAAGCCGTTAGTGCCATTCAGAGAATGTTTGGGGCACTTGGATGCTCTTCTTCAAATAAATCAGTACAATAAAAGCCAATCACTAGGCAGAAGGAGAAAGCCAGCCCTCAGTGTCAGATTTGGGGGTATGGTTAAAGGAGTTAATTATTAAATTGACATCTAATAATATAAATTGCATTACATTTTTACATTTCTGCCTCTACAGAAGGTACTGTTTGAGTATTTTGCCTGAAGAAACAACAATGTCTTACATTACCTCCAATTTTAAGAAGGTTATCATATGTATCTTCCTTTTTGGTTGTATTATTCTTATTCTTATTATTATTACTACATGTATTGCCCAGTCTTCTCCAGCAGGTCCCAGGGTGGGTTACAAGGATTTGAAATGCAGAATTAAAAAACAGGTCGAGCAAAAGTCTAACCCCCACCTTGGTGAGATGTCACACACACACACCCATTCCCCCAAGATCTATTTTGTTGGGAAAAAACCAGAAGGTGGCAACTCTCCTATTCTCAGCATTCACCACAGTGTCACTTCATCAGTGGAAATGCTGTCAGCAATTTCCGTTTCTGAGCAAAACTGAAAACAAACACTACACAAAAAGTCCAAATGAACTGTTCTATGTTGTGCTTTTTGTCGAATGGGCCAAAGGTTCAGCTTGCTTTGCAAGCTGACTAGAGATGTTGGATGCAAACCGATTTAGGATGCAGCTCAAACACTGGGAATCTCATCACCAGGAGTACACCAGAGATATATTCTATCTCTGATCATGACCGCGCAACACAGCAAGGCTAGCTGCTGTCAGTCTGATCTGGCAAGCAGTCGGTCTCTAAGAGAAACTATTTTAATCAATCACAAACTTTGTAATCTCTTAATTCAGTCCTATCACTATAAGCTCGACTTTGGCCCCTTGCAACTACTTTTGATATTTTTGAGGCTGGCCTTGCTTCCAAAGGGCTCTTGAATGCTCTTGATGGATATTATTTTGGACAAGCAAGGATGCAAATTTTTGTAGAGGTTGTACGCAGACATCAATGACATCCAGGCACATGACGAAACAAAAAGCCACAGAACTAGATTTACAGAGAAACTATATGTGGAGAATCAATGCATTGTGTGCATCAGATGGGTGGAGTACTGTTGTTGTTGTTGCTGCTGCTGCTGCTGCTGCTGCTGTTAACACACACATTTTCTCTCAGTTGTATGCCTTCAGTTCATTTGTCTTTACATCCAGGATGACCTCATCCCATATATGCCCACTTAACTGCTTTGATCTACAGAACTGGCACTGTTACAGGTAACACATAATATTTGTTAATTCACTCGTAAGAAAGTGATCTTTTAGTATAGCAGCTCCTAAACTTTGGCATCATCACTGTTCTTTTTTCGGCACTTGCTATGAACATTTTGGGCAAGCTAGACATGTAGAAGTTGACATGTGTTTTAGTAAGTTGTTTGCTGAACTATTTATTTTATTTTGGGGATTGCTGTTTTTTTTAATACTTGATTTTAACTTTGCCCTTTATTGACAATGTTAGTGTTTTGCACTGCTTGGAGGTATGATCCACAATCACGCAGTGTTTTGTTAAATAAAGGCATGCAATGCCACCAAACTCTCAGGGTTGTTGTGAAGATAAAATTGGGGTTGTGGGGGCAAGCATGTATGGCACCTGGAGGTCCTGGAAGTGTAGGCAGGCTAAAAAATGTAAGTATAGATTTCTAAATTATATTTTAGTGGGAGACCGGAAGAAAGAGCTGAGTCTTCATTTTCCTCCTGTGGATCCCTGGAAGGATCTATTTCTTCGTGCCATGAAAGCAAACAGTATCACAGTGGGTTACTCATCCTTCCTTCTGAACAGCCATAAAAGATTTTCATAGCCTAACAAGTAATATTTAATAGTCTGGAAGGATAAAGTGAGGTGAATACAACTCCATCATTATCGCTACACTATTCAGCTGTTCCTACCATCAGATTAATACAATCATCGTTGTCAATAGGAATGTATATACAGATACATAAAGCATACACAAGAATGTGTATCTACATCTGTATATTACCCATCACAATCCTTTTTTTTTAAATGATGTTTATTGAGAGTTTTAAGATTACAAAGAAAAGCAATGAAGAAAAGAAGAAAAAAGAACAGATAACAATTAAACAATACAAATCGATAATAGTCAAAATCAAAAAGCAAAGGCAAAACACATAATACATCACAATCAAAAAACAGAATTAAACAAAAAAAAAATTTAAAAGCAGATCCAGTATTCTCAAATCCTTAACTGTCATTACCTTATTTCATCGACCTCCTCACACCTCCCTTTTTTGTATTCTAGTTATTAATTGTCTCAGCAAATCCTTCACAATCCTAGGCAAGATTACTGAGAAATAAACTCCACTGTGTTCAATGGGGCTGAACTCCAAATAATAATAATAATAATAATAATAATTTATTTATGTGCTGCCTAGCAGCTCTGGACAGCTTCCAACAACTTAAAACATCAAACATTAAAATGGCAAAGTGTGCAGAGGAGTCTAGTCTGAAATCATGCTGTTGCTCATTTATGTCATAAGCTTAGACAGGTTCCTTTGGGTTGTGATTGCTTGAGGTGCCGCAGAAATGTTGCAAACCGGAGTCCCCTGTTGTAGCCTATGAAACAGGTGGTGATTTTTTTTGGGGGGTGGGGGGAGGAGATGCCTAGGCAGGCAAGATTCAGAAAACTTATCCCCATTTCCCTTGCTATTTTATAGGGCAACCTTCTCCTTGGAGGAACGAATCGCTTTCTTTCCATTTCCTTGAACTCACAACCTGACCACATTGCAAACAACTACTTTGCAAACAAGAGGGTCGAGAAGGGGCGCGGGGTGTGTGTGTGTGTTATTTATATATATATATATTTCCCTGTCTTTCATTCATGCCTTTTTAATAATCATTTCCCCAGATATACAACATAAGACATAGCCTATTTTATCAATACATGTCAAGCGCCCTTGTCTTTCTTACTGCACAACTACAGTCATTTTAGGGAGAATTGTTTAGTAAGGATTTTGGAGGAAGCCTTCTGAGATATATTAAAAACAGCAGCAGCACAAATTTTCTGCTTTCTTTTCAGCCAAAGAGTTCTCCCTGCTCCCATTCTCCACTTACATGCTGCTAGTATAGACCCAGGAGTGATCTCTCTCTAGCTTTAAAGCCAACGCCTTTAAGCTACGGTTATTTATATATTTTTTTAAAAAAAATAATCCGCTTTTCTATGACTCCTTCGTTCCTAAAAGGAAAAGGAAAAAACGCCAGCAAATTGTTCTAAATTGCTCGGGCTGTGTTTCTGAACGCGATCAGGGCGACTGACGCCAAGTGAGGAGTTCAGCTTCCTCTCGGGGCCGACCACATCAAAGGGAAAGGAAAAGCCAGCCAGAGGCTGCGCTGCTCTCGAGGAGAGGCCGTGCGCCCGGATCGAGTCCAGGGCAGGGAGAGGAAGGAAGGGGCTCTTTTGAGAAAGAGAGAGAGAGAGAGAGAGAGAGAGAGAGAGAAAGAAAGAAAGAAAGAAAGAAAGAAAGAGGGAGGGAGGGAGGGAGGGAGGGAGGAAGGAAGGAAGGGAGAGAGGGAAAGGAAGGAAGGGAGAAGAAAGAAAGAAAAAAAGAAAGAAAGAAAGAGGAAGGAAGGAAGGAAGGAAGGGAGGAAGGAAGGAAGGAAGGAAGGAAGGAAGGAAGGAAGGGAGAGAGAAAGGAAGGGAGAAAGAAAGAAAGAAAGAAAGAAAGAAAGAAAGAAAGAAAGAAAGAAAGAAAGAAAGAGGAAGGAAGGAAGGGAGAGAGAGAGAGAGAGAGAGAGAGAGGAAGGGAGAAAGAAAGAAAGAAAGAAAGAGGAAGGAAGGAAGGAAGGAAGGAAGGAAGGGAGAGAGAGAGAGAGAGAGAGAAAGGAAGGAAGGAAGGAAGGGAGAAAGAAAGAAAGAAAGAAAGAAAGAAAGAAAGAAAGAAAGAAAGAAAGAGGAAGGAAGGAAGGAAGGAAGGAAGGAAGGAAGGAAGGAAGGAAGGAGAGAGAGAGAGAGAGAGAGAGAGAGAGAGAGAGAGAGAGTCTACTAATAAGATGGAGACCGACCCCCCCCCCCCCCAATGCACAGCGTCCTCTGTACAGCGTAATGCAGTTGGGAAATTTTTCACTATGGACTTCATCTGGTCTTAACGGGGATCCACTAGCAGGGATGGTATAACTTGGTTTCTTGCCGCTCAGAGATAATTTTTAAAAAAAAATATCAAGCTTTTGATGATGATGATGTAAGGCTGCGTTTGGGGGCTCTTTTCCCTGAGTGCGGCTCTGCACTTTTGCCCGGGGGCCCGATCCTGAGCTCTGTCCCGATCCTTCATGCAGCCGCTCGGACACAACTGCGCTTAATCTCTCCGCCCTCGAACTGGAGCGCAGAATTCGTTGCTTACTGGTCAGCCCCGCTTCCCTCGGGCAAAAAGAGCTCCCTACCGATACTGGGGCGGGTGGGGTGTGTTCTCCCTCATTCCCTCGACTAATCCAGATCGACTTCGCGCTCGTCCTGTGGCTCCCATCCCCACCTTGCCCTTTTCAAATATATTAAAAGAGAAATTACTCAGGTATAGTTTGGCTCTTTCAAAAATCCGATGGGGAAATCCAGAGATTCTCACACCTTTTAAGCCTGAATCGCTGAATTTAAGAAAGGAAGCGTTTTCTTTCTTTTCTTCTTCTTTTTTAAGGGGACAATTTGGGTCAGCAAGAAGCGGACTTGTTCTGCGATTCCTCCTGCCTTATTATTAAGAGGTAAACACGCGCGTCTGAAATCGCGTTTCATTATGAACCGGGCGCGCAAACCATCGAACGTCTTTGCAGGCAAAAGAGGGTTTCTCTTTCCCCCATCCTCACGGCAATGGTCGGAGATGCGGGATGGGGGGGGGGTTAAAACTTGAAACCCAGGGGAGAAATTTAAGGAGGGAAGATGGGGACGCACATGCAAGTGGGCAGCTGAGATCTTTTACACACATCCTTCGGAGTAAACCCTGCTAAACGCAACGAGACTGCCAGGACTGGGCTGTAAAGCGAGGGCCATAAAACGCTCGGGTCCTGTCCCAATGCAGCCCAGAAACGCGTCCACCACCCAGCCCTTCCGACAGCTCCTACCTGGGGAAGCCGAGGGAGAAGGCGGCCTCCACAAATCCTCCAGCTCGGCGGCTCGGTCGCAGAGGCTGCCCTCGCAGCTGGGAGCCGACTCCGAGGTGCCGTCCGCCCCGTCGGGCAGCTGAGATTCCGGGGAGAAGCGGCCCTGAGAGGGCTCAGGCTCCGGGAGGCCCAGAGGTATCTGCCCCGGAACCTTAGTGTCTGCCAAGGAAGAAAGGGGGAGCAAGGAGAAAGATCTCGTGAGAAGCCTGCTTTCCCGTGTACGCCCCGTCGCACAATCCCCATTTGCAGGTGCCCGAGGAGAAAGCCAGCCAACAAACGCGCTACCTTCAAATCCACTTTTCCCCTGTTGGATCAAAAGCGCAGCTACTCCGTGATAACTATAGATAGATATATTTATCACGCGGTAGCTGCCCTTTTATCCGCTTGTTCTACCTGTGAAAAAGTGGATTTGGGAGACGGGGTAGTGAAAAAGCGGATATTATTAAAACTCTTCCTGAAGGCAATAAGATAAAAAGACACTAAACAAAAAAACACTTTAAAATAAGATTAAGACTTTTTTCATAATGCAGTAAGATAAAACAAACTAAATAAAAGCACGTGGTAACTACAGATACATGCCTGCGTATAAGCGTCAAATGGAAAATCATCTCCATTTGCCTATAACCACCACCTCCGGCGACTTGGCTGTTCCGTCGAAAGTAAACCCTGACCCGCCCCTGCCCCTCGGTCCGGAGGCACCCGAAGAATCCGGGCCAAAGAAACCGCTTTGGCTCTCACCTGCGCAGATCTGTGCCAGGACGCTCTCCAGGCTGAGGCTGTACTCCCCGTCGGGGGCTCGGGGCTGGTGGTAGCTGTGCGCCTTCTTGCTCTTCACCAGAAAGGACCTGGGCATGGTGCCTCGCGGGGTGGACGGTGCTCAGTCCTCCGTCTCCTCCTCCTCACGCCTCTCGGGCCACCAGTCCCCGCGGCGCGGGCTGCCTCGGCGCGTCCCGTCGAGCGGCGGCGGCTCTCTCCAAGTCGTCCCCAGTCCTGCGGGAAGTGCTCTGCGAAGAGGTCGGGCGAGCCATTGGTTACCAGGGAATATGCTGGAGGGGGCGGAAGAGGGAGGGAGGGGGGAGGGAGGGAGGAGCGTGGCTGACGGGCTGGATGCCTGCGACGGAAAGAGGACGCCACTACCCTCCGCCAGGTGGCATTCGCGCAGGTGGTCAGGCAGCCGGCTCACCTGTCAACCGCAATAGCCCTGCTTTTTTCGAGGTGACGCACGGGCTTCTCCCCGCTCCCATTTCATCCTCACACAAACAAACCCTTCGGGAGAGGTGAGGCTGAGAGAGAAGCGGGGGGGGGGGCACCCCGTGAGCTTCCTGGCCGAATTCGAACCCCGCTCCCCGGTTCCTGCTGCGGCACTCCAACCACTAAGCGTTCTCTCCTACAGGTTGCGACTTGTTCCAGAAATCGGCCGCGCAAGACAAAGGAAGTATGCGTTCTCCCTTCTGCTCTCCTCTCCCTCAATATTCATTCATTCATTCTCTGGCCTGGCCCCCGAAGGCTACTTCACATGTTAATGTGGGGAGGAGTGGGGCGTTATTGCGGGAGAGGGCCAAATTCTCCTCGCAAGGTTCAAGCGCGCAAAAAGCCCAAGAGACGGTGGCTGACGCAGATCTTCAAAGAAACAACCGCAAAGTTTGGATCCCCACCACTTAGTTAAACTCTGCAGTACTGTACCCGATTCTCTGTCTCTGTCTCTTTGGTGGCGCAAATAGCTCGGGAGCGCTGCCGTACAGAATCCGTTCATCAAGGGGTGCCTGTCACGTCGGTGCGAGCAATCCCGTGCTCGAATTCCCCCGTGTTTCAAATTCAATCAGCCGCCCAGCACTGGTTGTGGTTCGCGCGCGGTAAAAGCAAACTCTCTAGCAATGTGGCCGAGAAAAGGGGCTTAAACATCCCTATCCCTTTTTCTCATGATTGATCAAACAGATTTCCCTCTCTTTCCTTCCTTCCTTCCTCTCTCTCTCTCTCTCTCTCTCTCTCTCTCTCTCTCTCTCTCTCTCTCCTGCAACCAAGGCTCAGTCATCCTCAGGGCCCTGACATTAGTGGACTTTGGTCCGCTCATTTCAAGAGGTAGATCTTCGTGGGCGAGGCCCCCTCTGCTTTGGGCCGAGAAAGCAGGCAGGGGGAATCGCGCGCGCCAGTACCTGCCCGCGATCCTATTAGTCAAGCCCGCTCCGAAGCAAGCCTCGTTGTTCGTAATGCAATTTGCTCCCCGTGAGCCGCATAGAATCACAGAATTGTAGAGCTGGAAGGTACCCTGAGGGTCGTCTAGTCCAACCCTCTCCAATGCAGGATTTCCCTCCCGACGTGGAACTCGAACCCACGACCCTGATATTAAGTGTCTCGTGCTCTACGGGTCTAGTTTATCCTATCTCTCCTAAAACCAGCGGGCTGACCCGGATTCCCCCAAGAGGTCTCTGGTGAGACAATCATCTGGCCAAAGAGGCAGTGCGCAAGAGCTTCCAGAGATGTTCGATGTTTCTGGGGAGATCCAGAATTGTGTGGAGGGATTTTGGCGGGGGGCGGGGTTCAATCCTTCCAATGAGGGGAGTAAAAGTCGGGCAAGCACCATGCGGGGCAAAATAGGGAATATCTCCTCCACATCTTTTAAGTTGTTGAGGAGTGTCGAGCTGCAAAGTTTGCGCCCTGGCTTTTAAACTCTGACCAAAGCGTTTGGATCCAAAGCGATGGTCTCGTGGCCTTGATCCTCAGAGAGGTGAGCTCAGAACAGCAACCGAAGAGTCAAAATCCACCCCATGATACCTTAAATACATCGCATTTATTGCGTGTCGTGAACTTTCCTGGGATGCCGCCCACGCAGGAGGGGTGACAACGCTAACAAACTAGTCAGAGGGGACGAGGACGAATATTATATATTAGGAACAGTAGAAAAGGGATTGATCGCCTGTCAATGAGTATTGTGATTGATCTGTTGAAAAACAACATCACCCGGAACACAGGTCGCGAATATTCCCCTGCCAACCGGATCTGGTACAAACTGCATATTATAAACGGCAATTGCTAAATGTACTAGAATAATTTTATTTATTGCACTCCGATCCTAAAGCGAGTACAGCTAACCTCCCCCTGGGATTTGCTTTCAAAAAGTGGAATTCAATGTGGCGTTGAACAGCTGTTGTATCGTAGACTTTAGTTCTAATTCAGAGCAGAGTGAAGGGGCGGAGGGAATCTGACGTTTAAAATGGATTTTGATTTTTGATTTTACAAAGGCAATGTCTACAAACAACATTTTATTGTGCCATAAATCTGTCTTCTCCCACACTTGCGGCTGTTCAGATTTCACCCAATAATTATTGTGCTTCAACTATTTTATTGTAAACCGCCCTGATAACTGTATTGAAAAGTGGCGTATGAATCCTAATAGCAAATATGCAGACTTCATGGGCAAGATCCAGGCACAAGCAAGTAAACATTTTTAACATGCCATTTAGTCTAATGAAAGACACCTTGAATTCTCTTTTTAAAATCACTGTAAACTTTGGCTAGATCGTCTGACCGCCTTGTTCCTCTCTGGAGGCAAAGTTATGCGAGCCAGTTGATTCCCATCATTAAAGCTGTGTTTCCAATGGTGACGTGTCCTTTCTTTAGCTGATTCTGCAGATTATTTTTGAATTGGGATTTCGTGTCGCTACTGAAGCCCCCAAATGAGCCACCCAGTTCGATCCTAACGCGCGTTAACTCGGAAGTAAGACTCTCTGTTCCGTGGAGTTTTTTGCTCCCGAGTTTGCATTTGAGAATGCAGGGTCAATCGTTCACGGGGGTGGCCTTTTTCTCCCCTTGCCAACTTCTACTGGTGGAAAAATATCCTTCTCTTTTGGCTGAAAATGAATGCGTAACCACCACCGCTCCCTCAACCAAAAATAAACGTGGGCTGCATGATTTATTTATTTATGTTCCTCAGATAAGAAATAGTGATTGAAAGGGTAATAACTCATTGCTTCACCCAGTTTGCCTGCGGGTGAAAGGCAAAATAGGTTGGCTGAAGGCTGCGGAGGAGTGACTTAAATTAGGATTTAGGGACCTTGGGGGAACATGAACCGTTAGAGGAACCTCGAGAAACGATCAAACTTCTTATCATTTTTGGGAGGTGGCGGGAATTGTAGAACAGTCGCGCTTTTAGTATCCTGCAGGAACTGGCAGATTCGCGTCATGTACTTTATCGAAACCAACCAGCATTTTGGTTACGTAGACCGGATGCCCGGGCAAAGTTTTCATTCCATGGGCACCCAAATCAGGATTGAATCTGAAGCTAGGACGGGGGAGAGGCGAGGGAAGGAAGCGTCAAATATTGAGAGCCCCCCCTCCCAAGTCAGCCTCAAATTCATCGAAACGTCACGCAGTATTTATTATCTCCGTGTCCTGTCCTGTTGAATAGGAGGGGTTTAAAAGGAATTGGTGGAGTTGAAAAGTTAGTTTAGTTTGAAAATAGCGGCAAAAATCTGGTCCCGCCTCCACGTCCCCGCAACTCGCCACTGCCCTGCTCCTGAGCATTTTCTGTCTAGTTTCGTTTCGATCCTTTAAGCAAATAAGTGAACATGTGTTGAGCCCGCACAGTGTCTATCCAGATGCAACCGCTTTGTATTTAGGTGGTTTGTGGCAGGTGGAATGAAACTGCAAGGGGCTGCGCTAGGGGACCCCTTCCAATTGAACTTTTCTATGAAACCCATAGACTAGACTTGGCCAGAGTCGCTGGATTCAAAGTGCCGAGCTCTCAGGGGTTCAGAAAAGCTGAATAAACTACAAGCGTCAGGAGGATAGTACAAACTTAGGCGCGTTTACCTGAGAACGAGTCTCATAAGTAAAACATGGCTGCACATTTCGATTATTATTATTTTTACGCATTTGCATTGAGTGCATCCGGGCACGAACCGCGGGACTTCCCCTCTGCGCAAATCCCGCTGCAGGAGCTGGGTGATGCGCTTGCGGGATGCGCCCTTCCGCCGGTTTCTAAGAAAGGGTTTCTCCTTCCCAGGAAAAATAATGATAAGAAGAAAAGCAGCCCTGACTGATTAGGCTACTATAAGATGCTGGATCTTGTGATCTGAATGCCTGAAGCAGGACAAACGCTGGTCCCTATTATATATGTGCAGAGTCCTGAACAGGCTTTTGCAAATAATAAAAAATGGAGGATAACCTTTTACCCACACGAACTATTTTTTATTATATTTAAAAAGTCAGGCGGCCCATTCCGCTTGGGAAAGTCTGGCCTCCGGCACAGATCTAACTGGGAACTGCGCGGGTGCTGCCGAAGACACCAGTTATACTAGATAGCACCCGCCCCCAAAGTGCAATATTTGCAAACCACCGCCAGATTACAGGTAACCTGCTTTGCGCGGCTCTCGTTCCTGCTCAAACTTTTAAACATGATTTTAGTTTTTTAGCTTGGCTGGTCTTGATGGTAATACCAACGTTTACGCGCATATATATGTAATATGCGCGTGTGTGGTGTGGCTGCAAGCTCGCGCTTTCGGAAGGAGCTGGCCGCATCCTGTCCATTTCAAAAGGGAGGCATCAAAGGCAGCTGGGAGGCCGGATCCACGGGCTTTGTTGTTGTTGTTTCTGCTGCCGTTTTACTGCTGGTGGGAGAATTTCCCGGTCGCTCCACCTGCCTCTCCATTCATCCTTGAGAAGGAGACGCAGAAGCGGAAAGTGGGGACCGAAAATCAAAGCGCCTTGATAGATTGGTTGACTTATCTGCGCCAGCCTCCTCCTCCCTCGCCCCTGCCCTCTATTGATTCGCTGGAAGAAAAGCAGGAGCAGCGCCAGATTAGATATTTCCGAGACAGAGCGAGCGCAACGTTTTAGGTAGGAAAATGGAGCGGCCAGGAGTGTCAGCTTGGTCCCACGACTGTGGGTGCCCGGGGCCGTGGGTGCAATGCCCTGGCGCCGAAATTTGTGAGTGCCCGGCCCCTCCATGGGGAATTTTGTGGGTGCTCGGGCACCCAGGGCCCCGGGCACCTATGGGGAAGGGGGTCTCGCGTGCGCCTTGGATTCCATTGTCTTTGAAGAGCAATTTCCAGAATAGCGCAGGGCTGGGGAGCTAATCCAATCCGTTGACAAAGCGTTCCACATCTTTTTTCGACTGTTCCGAGTGCGCTCGGGCCACCTAACCTTCTTTTTTGAACCACTGGTTCAACGGGAAGGCACGCATGAAGCTACAAGGGCGAACGCGAATGTGCCATACACGTGTGAACATGCCCCGTGCCTTTTATATATACAGTGGTACCTCGGGTTACATACGCTTCAGGTTACATACGCTTCAGGTTACAGATTCCGCTAACCCAGAAATAGTGCTTCAGGTTAAGAACTTTGCTTCAGGATGAGAAAAGAAATCGTGCAGCGGCGGCGCAGCAGGCCCCATTAGCTAAAGTGGTGCTTCAGGTTAAGAACAGTTTCAGGTTAAGAACAGACCTCCGGGTCGAATTAAGTACTTAACCCGAGTACCACTGTATATATATAAAAGAATAGGCTAGAGAAGCTTCGGGTGTGAAGCTGCCCTTTTATAAGCAGTGTATTTAAATGTCTGGGCAGCAACAGTCCATGGGAATGATTAACACGAAACCTCATTCCCCAGGCTGTTGTCACTGAACCACCTTCGGCGCTGAGTAATTTGGATCTGTGGTGAACCCCACTCACCTTTCCCCCCTGCTGATAGGGAAGCCCCCGCCCCGCATCCTCACCCCCCACCCTGCGGCTGGATTTCGGTTTCAAACAAAACAACTCCTTCTTGGCTCCCTCGTCCAGTTTCGCCATTGCACAAACCATCGTTTAAATGGAAGGAGCTCCCAGGAACAAAGTTGGGAAGATTTGATAGGAGAAGCCTGGATACATGGGTGGGGGAAATGGCTTGCCCTCTCCGGAGTTGTAATCCTTCTCTCTCTCTGTTAGCAAGCGGCTAACAGGAGTAAAGGATCCTCCTTTCTACAGCTTCACTGCTCTAAATCGCCCCCTCCAAAACAAAAACAACCCAACACCGTCCCTCCCTATTTTTCTTAAATATACGCAGGCTTCACAGTCCCCTTACATAGGGACCTGGGACTTTCTTCGGAGTAAGGCAAGCCTAGGGCTGCTTGCGAAAGGAAAGACCCTGGAAGATGCGCATCTGGCGGTGGCACGCGTTTGCCTGTAACGTGTGGCCAGTGGGAGGTGTATGTATGATGGGTCGGATGGCACTTGGCCCGAACACAGCTCCCTCCACCTTGCAAGAGGGTTTTAGAATCTAGGAAGGCAATTCCTTTCATCGGGAGCTTGATCCGGAGTAAGGCGGGATTTGAAGTCTGGGTGCTAGATCGGGGGGGTGGGGGTGGACTAGAATGGCCCTCGTGGTCCCTTCCAAGTCTGCACGACTTCTATGATTCCATGACTGGCAGAGTTTGCTGCCTTTCCCAACTGCAAAAAAGCCTGCTTGGATATAGGAAGCTGCCTCTTGCTAGCTCGGCGTTACCCGGGATCCCAGATGGGGGCTCCTCTCCCAGCCCTACCTGCCCCTGCCCCCTCCCTCCCAAACAAACCCAGAAGGACAAAGAAACCAGTGGAGAGAGCGGCAGTGGTGGCGAAGCGCCCAGGAGTCTCTCTCTCTCTCTGTTCTGCACCCATCCACTAATTTACCTTCTTTCTTCGGTGAGAAGGGCCTGGCCTGAAGCTTGCCCTGGAAAAAAACACTCCTTCTGAGCAGCCTATCATATCCCAGAGCTGATTGTAATCGTACAAGAACAGGCGGGTGGAGAGGCGGAGTGCGGAATAGGAGCCACACACTCTGCACTTGCTCAGGAACTAACAGCCACAAAGTTCCTAGGCTGCAAGCAGAAGCTGAGCTTACGAGCCCTTTTTTGGGGGGCAGGGGGTGATGATGCCTCCACTTCCGAGAAGAAGAAGAGTCCGTTTCCCCCGCTCACACGTGCGCAAAGAAGGCAGCGACGCAAACACGAGTGGGTGGCGCGGAGAACTGAGCCGCCCTCCGATGGACGGAAATCTGGGTGCGCGAGTCCTTCGTCTGTCCGTCCCCCCCACTTTCTTTGCGCTCCCGGGTTCAGAAGAAGGCGGAGAAGGTGAGTGAGGAGGAGGAGGAGGAGGAGGAGGAGGAAAAGAAGAAGAAGAAGAAGAGCTTCACTTACCATGGAGAAAGGCGATGGAAGGAGACGGTTGCTGCCTGCCTCTTGATTTTCCTCGGGGACCTTCAATACACAGCCCCCTCTTCCTCCTCGTCGTCGTCTCTGAAGAATCGGTGTCTTGCGCTGGACCTTTTCTTTCTAAACACCCCTTCTGAGCTCAGCCCCTGAAACCACAAATTCCACTTCCTGAGCGTTAGTGAGCCTGCTGCTGCTGCAATACCACCAAAATCTTGCTTTTCTTCTTCTTCACCTCCTCCTCCTTCTCTCTCTAAAAGGCGACCCAAAACATAAATAAAATAACAATAAAATAAATCAGCTCGGCCAGCTCACTCGTTCTTTTCTGGCCTTTACGGTAGCCCTGCTACATAGGTGTATCTAGTCAGCCAGGGCTCAGGACCAAAGTGGCCATGATGGGTTCTTCTGTTCATTTGGCTCTCCTATTCTTCTACCCCCTCAGAATCTGGCTTCCACTAGCAGGAAGGGCTGCAGATCCAATCAGGATCGAAAAATACAGGACACAGTAAAGGTAAAGGGACCCCTGACCATTAGGTCCAGTCATGGCTGACTCTGGGGTTGCGGTGCTCATCTCACTTTATTGGCCGAGGGAGCTGGCGTACAGCTTCCGGGTCATGTGGCCAGCATGACTAAGCCGCTTCTGGCGAACCAGAGCAACACACGGAAATGCCGTTTACCTTCCCGCTGGAGTGGTACCTATTTATCTACTTGCACTTTGTCGTGCTTTCGAACTGCTAGGTTGGCAGGAGCAGGGACCGAGCAACGGGAGCTCACCCCATTGTGGGGATTCGAACCGCCAACCTTCTGATTGGCAAGTCCTAGGCTCCATGGTTTAACGCACAGCGCCACCCGTGTCCTTTAACACAGGATGCAGTACCCTTCAACATTTAATTTTACCCTGTTTATTTTGGGTGGTAGCTATGTGTTGCTCAGAGTAGACCCATTAACGGGCCTAACTTAGTCACATTCATTAATTTCAATTGGTTATGCTCTGGGTAAATCTTAGTTGCATACCACTCTTCGTCTTCATATAATGGCAATGTTTTTGTGTATAGATCAAAGATAACCTAAGATCCTTGTGATAAATGTAAGCCTTGAACTAAATTAGAGCAGACCCTTGAAATTAATGGGCCTACTCTTAGCAATGGGTCTACTCTTTAGTACAACTTCCCAGGATACAACCCATATGTACAAACTAAGGCTGCAATCCTATCCCTATATACTTGGGAGGAAGCCCCATTTAATTCTATAGAACTAAATTCTGAGTAAACATGGTTGGAGTGCACTGTAAATCACTGATGACTCACTGCCTTTAACAGTACTGCAATCTCTGATATCTCAGGCAAGCCACCTTCACTCTGCCTGCCTTAACAGTAGGGCTGGCCCAGATAGCTGGCCCTTGTAAGACAGAAAAATCTAAGTAGGCGGGAATGATTAATGTTCCATCTCTTTTACAGCACAGTCCTAGACGTGCTTACTTTGAAATAAGTCCCACTGAACTGAATTGGCTTACTCCCAAATGAACTCCCAAGCCTGAGTGGTCAAACTTCTGTGAATGGATAAATATGCAGACTTTCACGTTACACAGCATTCCTCCTGCATCAAGTCAAATGCCTTCTTCCAACCCATTGGCACAGCAAAGAAGAGTGTGTGATACTGAAATTAACCTATACATTGGTGAATTTCAAACTTCCTTCCCTCAACAAATCCTTTCCACATATTTTTGTCTAAGGGAACAAAACCCAGTTCAAACTACATACACCATGGCAAAGTCCTCTCACATTACACAGGTTTCTGATTGATTGATTTTTTAGTTTACTCTTTGTTATAGAGCCAGCCCTACCATTAGGCAGAATGAAGCAATTGCCTCAGGTGGCGGATGCTGGGCTTGTGGGGAGAGGGTTGGCAATGTCAGTTAGGTACTGGACTGGAGAGGACATACCGTATTTTTCCGTCTATAAGACGACCCCTATTTTTGGGGACTCTGGTTTAAGAAAATGGGGGGAGATGGCCCCCGTGTATAAGACACCCCCAAATTTTGGACATTGTTTCCTCCCCTAAAACTCTTATACATGGAAAAATACGGTAATTGTGTGTGCCCTGCATCCTGCTTTACACCCCATAATCCAGCCTGTTGCCCCCTCTGGTGTGGTGGAGGATGGTGCCCTGTTACAGTGCTGAATTAACATTCAACTCTTGTACAGGCGCTGCTCTGGACACAGAAGCTACTAGGCCTCTTGATTCCAGCCCTCACCCTGCATTTGCCTACTTGGCTGCAGTAGCTGTGCACCGTACGGCTGAAATTGGCTATGATGCACATATCATGGTTTTGCAAAGAAGCAGTAGGATGCATTGTACTCTGCTGCTGTTTACCAGCAGGCAAGAAACCAGAATTGCAAGTGAGTAAGTGCAATGGGTGACTGGGTATTTTCCTGTGGAGGTGATGCCAGTAATAGTGTTGCTGACAGTGACTGGATGATGCCCATGACACCTGTGCCAATCAGGCATGCCACTAATTCCTCACATGTTCAGCAAGTCTATCTCCAATCCCCGACAAATATTACCCACATTACTGCTTGTCTGTGTTATATTCAGAAAGGAGGGTCAACTCTGTCTGGTAGTTGAAAACACCTCACTTGCTACATGCCACAATCAGCCACCTTCCAAAACTGTACCCCCAGGTGATCCCACACTGCAGCAAGGAGAGTCACATCCCTTTCATTGGCTGGCAAGGTTCAGCCTTATAGGTAAAGGTAAAGGGACCCCTGACTGTTAGGTCCAGTCATGGACAACTCTAGGGTTGCGGCGCTCATCTCGCTTTACGTACAGCTTCCGGGTCATGTGGCCAGCATGACTAAGCTGCTTCTTGCAAACCTGCCAGAGCTTCTTGCACTTTGACATGCTTTCAAACTGCTAGGTTGGCAGGAGCAGGGACCAAGCAACAGAAGCACACCCTGTTGCAAGGATTCGAACCGCCAACCTTCTGATCAGCAAGCCCTAGGCTCTGTGGTTTAACCCACAGCACCACCCGCGTCCATCAGCCTTATACTACTAGGCAGTAGTAGGTAGTAGTTCCACCAGGAAAGGATCATTGTTGTCTCAATATTTTCCCCCACACCCATGAGATTAATAGCACCTTTTTGCCTCTCTAAAACCATATGCATTCACATGTAACGCATTACTGATGTGGGCTGGAGAGAAGGAAAAAAACCTGTGCACTCTAGCAAAGCTGATACCAATACAAGCATCAAGAATATAGCATTTAAATGTCACTGGAAAATAGTTCAAAGCAGAGGTGTCTGAAATCACACCTCCTCGCCAATGTAGGTTTTGCAGGGGTCATAAATGCATGAGGGGGAACCCCAATGTTAGGGTTGCCATGCATCTGGAATTTCACGATCGTGTCTAGGAATTGAGCAGTGAAATTAGTGCCTGGGTGCACAACAGAACAAGGAAGTGTGTGTTTGAGTATCACTCTTTGCCTTTTTTTTCTTTTTTTTTTTTGGCAAATCCCCCCAAAAAGCTCAGCTATTGTCTCCTGATTTTTATTTCTTGAAATATGGCAACCCTGTACCTGTAATTGGTACAGCTGGCTTTTGAAAGAAGCAGCAGTGGCGCTGAAGCCTACTTGAAACCAGTTTTTCCATAATAAAACCCTCTTTCCAGATTTGTGGGAAGATTTCCCCTTCTCCCCAAATATTTGGCTACTCGGTGGTAGGGGGGTAAAACAGGCATTTTTTGCACCTACCATGACTGAGGCACTTTGTTATCACACATTTAAAGCATATAATCCTCCCAAGAATCTTGGGAACTGTAGTTTACCCCTCACACAGCTACATTTCCCAGCGCCATTAGCAAATCACAGTTCCCAGGATTATTTGGGGGAAGTCAAGTGCTTTTCAATGTATGGTGTGTGCACAGTCTGAGAGCCTGCTCCCCTTGAGGTCCCGTTGCTCCTCTTCGAAGCAAAATAACTAGCTTACTTCAAAATAACTAGCAGGCTGTCTTCCCCTGCACAGACCCGGCAATCTTTCAAGGCTTTCCAAGGAGTCACCACTAACCAGCCAAGGGATTGTCACCTGGTGGCAACATGGTCGCTGGCCTTCAAACACCTCTTAAAAATGTGTATGTTTTGTCCTAAAGCTCAACAGTTTTGGGGTCTTCCAAAAAACAACAACAAAAAATACTCAACAACCTTTGGGGTGTCCTGGTTTTTACTTTTTGAAATATGGCAACACTTGTTCCGAGCTCCTTAGAGGAGAAGTGGGACAGAACTAATAACTAATAACTCCTGCTCCTTCAGTGGTGGCAGGGCAGGCAGACATTATAATGGGCGCAGCTGCTTTCTGGAGGGTGGTGGTGGTGGTGAGAGCTTCACCTGTTGATTATCCGCCTGCACAAAGGTGACAGGCTGCAGGGTGCTTGCGGCCGTTTCCTGGCCTCCTAATAGCTTGTTGTGGAAACTTTTGTGGGGATAAACATGGCTGGAAATACTTCGGCACCCTGCCCCTCCAGGCTTGCTCATTTCCCCTGGGAACTTAGGTAATGCATAAATTTGGAAGAGATGGTGGGAGGCTTTCTCCTTCCCTCTATGGAGGGATTCTTGTCCACTGGAGGAGGGGGCGAGCAAGTCCCTGCAGAAAGCAAAACCACGGCCTAGAAAAGCCTCTCTGCCCTCCTTTCTCTCCTTCCTTTCTGGGGCCTAGTGGTGTTGCGGGGACACAATTTGCAAAATCTCCAAAGGTGCCTGTGGTCTGTGGAGCCCAGCCAAAGTCAGCAAGGCTCTGGAGACAGAAGAGAAGGGACTGGCAGCCTCTCTCTTTGTGTGTTTGTATGTGTGTGTGCGCGCGCATAACACATAGCCGTGACTGTATCGTTATGACTACCCCTGTTTTTAGCAAAGCTTTGGTTAACTCCATGCATGAAATCACACCGCCTGTAAAATTAGAAAGAGGGCTCAGAAACCACAGAGTTCACAGGAAAAAAAACCAGACACACACATATGCACACACACTCAAAACATTTCCATTTGCAGCACTCAAATGGCTTCCACCGAGAGGAGGCAGGAGGCATTCGGACGGCCCCCCCCGCCGGCCCCCCAAGATAACAACAACAGGAAGGGAAGGGGGGGGGAGGGACAAGGTTTTCCCCAAATTCTTCAGAGCACCATTGCTGGACAGGGACTCTATGATGTTTAACAAGTAGGTGACAGGCAGACATCCTCCCTTTTCATTCCTCAGTGCAGACAAACTCTAGGCCTGGCAGTAACCCTTAGGTAGCTCTACAATCCTAGGAAGTGACTACAACTCCCACCCTGACCATCGGTCATGCTTGCTGACATTGCGAGAGCCCAAGCTTAGCACCAGATTCCCTGTTTCCGACTTACGCTAGGTGAGACTTAATTTTTTACTATTTAAAAAGATATCCTGTGGGGTTGTGGGAAGTGAATGTACAATATGGGGATTTTTTTTGTTTTAAAAAATTAAAATGCATTTTAAATTTATCACGTAACTTAGTGTATTCTATAGCACTTTTAAGGCACAGTATACTTGTATACGTCTGGTCCACCCTTCATCATATGATCCGAGGCAGGGACAGCCAGGGTAAAAATACAGTGGTACCTCGGGTTACAGACACTTCAGGTTACAGGCGCTTCAGGTTACAGACTCCGCTAACCCAGAAATAGTACCTCTGGTTAAGAACTTTGCTTCAGGATGAGAACAGAAATCGCACGGCGACAGCGCAGCAGCAGCAGTGGGAGGCCCTATTAGCTAAAGTGGTGTCTCAGGTTAAGAATAGTTTCAGGTTAAGAATGGACCTCCAGAACGAATTAAGTTCTTAACCCGAGGTACCACTGTAAAACAAAAATGGAAAAGTACAGAAAAACGAGTTCGGACAGAGCTTATGAAATCAGACAAAAGCCCAACTCTTGTCCGCTTATTATGCTGATTTCCAGCAGCTTTCCTGGGTCTCAAGCAAAAGTCTTTTTGATTGTTTTCTATGCCCTGCTAACTGGAGAGATTGAGACTTGAACCATATATTTTCTGTATGCAATGCATGTACTTTCCTATCAGGCTATGCTCCCATCCTAATACAGGAAGAAAACCAACAGGTGAAGCCTCATCCATCATTAACACACACACTCTGCCCTCCACAATGCCAGGGAATTCTGCACCTGCTGAATTTATGCATGTTTTATAGCATTTACATGAACAGGCGCCCTGCCCCAGAAGGTGGCAGTAGCCCTAAGCAAAGACGTTCCAGGATCACATTTGAGCAACTTATTAATAGCAACATTTTTGTTCTTTGGAAACTTACGCTGACAAGTTGGGGAAGGGACAAAAGGATATGAGGATTTAGAATAATAATCAGATAAACATTCAAAGTATCTTTAAGCTTAGTATTGTAAATAGCACTTAAGGTACAGACAGCATGCTTTATAATCCTGTGAAGTATTGTCATTATCTTACTCATAGGAGGTCCTTCTGCACATGGTTACGGACAAGTGCTGTAGCACCATTTAGCAAACTGTTCACGGGGTCCCAGCTCACCTCACTCAGTGAGCAGGCAATTATCTCTGTAGCCCTGCAGATGTTTGGTTAAGAATTTCCAAGGGCATTTGTGTTATGTACTGAAGTTCTCACCCTGGGCCAGCAGGGGGATACTGTAGATAGTTATGCAAATGAAGGATCGAAAGTGACGTTCAGTGATTGGATAGTTTGTATGCAAATGAAGGATCGAAAGTGATGTTCAGTGATTGGATAGTTTTAGAAAATGGCAACAGTTACATTGTTCTGGAGCTCTATATAAGCAGGCTGACTGAGCTCCTCAGTCAGTTCTGTTCCAGCTTACAAATAAAGAGCTGCTTTGAAGGAATCGCTGTGGCGTCTGCTATGTCTACCCACAATTTAACAATTTGCTTCCTACTGAAAGGTGTTCCAGATTATTACAGGGAGATTAGTCTGCCCCACCCAAGGGCTAGAAAATAAATTTAGAAATATGAACACGTAAGCAACATTCAGGAGTGTGGGAAGGGTCATGGCTCAGCCAGTAGAGTACATGCAGGAAATCCCAGCTGTAACCTTCAGCATCTCCAGTGAACAAAAATCAGATGGCAGTTGATGGGGAAGTCCTTTGCAGGACACCCTGGAAAGCTGGTGCCGGTCAAAGCGGATGATCAGGGGCTAGATCAGAGCTTTCCAAACTTTTCATGTTGGTGACACACACTTTTTAGACATTCATCATTTCGTGACAAAGTAATTCAGTTTTACTAGCAAACCAGAGCTTAAACTAACCTCTTTCCAGCCCCAGGAGGAGAGCGGGGAGTGTTCGCACAACACACCCACACACTGCAGCCGACACACAAACGTGTCGCAACACAGTTTGGGTAGCTCTGGGCTCGATGGACCTACGGCCTGACAGTGTAAGACTATTTCCTATTATTGCTCCAGGCATCATGTTATATGGCGGTATTTCACTTAAAGCTAGGTTTTGCTTGCTTGTTTGTGGTGTTGCTGCTGCTGTTGTTGTAAAAAAAACTTCAAATGCCAGTCACTTTAAATGCAAGAAGAGTGGGCCAGGTGGGAAATTAGTTCTGATATCATTGCTATGGTATCCACAATCAGCTAACGCTTTTTAAACAAAAAATAAATCAAGTTACTGTTTGTACAGTCAAAGCAAGCTGCTAAAGTAACTCTGCAGCTATTTTGTGACAGGTGTTTTGTAATGTCCGTTTCAAGGTAATTGCTGGTTCATAGAAATGGACTGAAGCCAATCCTGTCTATGGAGTCTAAAGTCAATAAGCATGGGTAACCTGTAGCTCTCCTGATGTTGGACAACAGCTATGCTGGCTGTGGCTGATGGGAATTGGAGTCCAACAACATCTAGAGAACTATAGGTTCTGTCTTCTTCTGCGCTGCTCAGCTTCCCTTAAACTTAGCATATACAGAGCCTTTTCCTGAAGTCCTTTGTATCTATAACTTAAGGTTACCACATGTCCCCGTTTCCTGGGGACAGTCCCCAGATTTACAAATCTGTCCCCTGACAAAATTCATCTGATTAGTAAGAAGTTGAAAAGTGTCCCCGGATTCATTGAAAAAAATCTGGTAACCTTACTATAACTTCCAATACATTCCTGATGTTACCCCCATTCTAATTGGCCCTTTACACCCAACTGCACAACACAGTACAGGTAGTCAGCGGTCTGGCTGATTCATGTAGTTAGCAGCATGCAAATGTTACTGCGCCAGGGACGCGGGTGGTGCTGTGGGTTAAACCACAGAGCCTAGGATTTCCGATCAGAAGGTTGGCAGTTCGAATCCCTGTGACGGGGTGAGCTCCCATTGCTCGGTCCCTGCTCCTGCCAACCTAGCAGGGGCACGTCAAAGTGCAAGTAGATAAATAGGTACCGCTCCAACGGGAAGGTAAACGGCGTTTCCGTGCGCTGCTCTGGTTCGCCAGAAGCGGCTTAGTCATGCTGGCCACATGACCCGGAAGCTGTACATCGGCTCCCTCGGCCAATAAAGCAAGATGAGCGCCGCAACCCCAGAGTCGGCCACGACTGGACCTAATGGTCAGGGGTCCCTTTACCTTTACCTTTAAGTTCACTGCATTCTGGATACACCTCCAGAGAACTCACAAGTTGGGGAACATACAGAAATATTTAGCTGTCCCTTTTCCAGAAAACGTGGCTGTGGAATTCATGGGATACTTTATAGACCACAGAACAACCTTTGTCAACCTGGTGCCCTCCAGCTGCTTTGAATTACAACTCCCATCAGCCACAGCCAGAACAGTTGATGGGAGTTAGAAATGTCTGAGGATACCAGGTTGAGGGAAGCTGCTGTAGAAAGATAGCATTTTGAGGAGAGGTGAAAGGTGATAGGATTCTGTTTTCCCGCAAACCTACCAGTTCATCAAATGAATATCTCGCCAAGGTAGACCCTTAGACTGATGCCTGCAATGCGAAAGATCTGTTAAATCTGTTTATAGAGTCCTGGTTGAAACCATGGCCACATTCTGGGGTTCTTAGAACAGACATAGATGCCTGAGTTTATTATGACAGTGCTAGAAAGTGTTTGCAGAGACAGAGAATTCTAGAACTGGGTCACAGAAAAAGACAACTTAAAATGTTGCATTTGGAAGTGTTTGGAGCAACACCAGATCTTTGTATACTTGGGCAATGTTTTTGGCCAACTGCAAGCCTACATAAATTTATTTATTCATCACCAGTAAATTAGATTAATAAAGTGAATGTCTCTGGGTTTCATGGTTGTAGGGAAGTCTGTGTGCTTGCCTATTCTGCCTCCCATAGTATGATATATCAGCTCTTGCACGAGAGTCTGAGCAGGCACAGCTGCAGTCCTTAGGCGATGATAGTTCTGAAACTGTCAACAGAGTTTGCCTTCTTAGGATCCACAGAGTTTTGAAAAACAGAACCACATACCTAAAGAGAAAATGGTTACATTTCCACTATTTCTGACTGAAGGATTTGCCTTCTCAGGATTTGACGTATAATAACTGGCTTGCTGAATCAGACCACTTAGGTCACCAAAAAGCTCACAGATTGGACAAAGTGGGATAGCCATGCTGTGCTCAATCTGAGCATCTGGTACTCAGGGATAGATGGGAGGCTTCATTCTGAAAATAGGGAGTGCCAGACCGAGTATGGTTTGAAGAAATATGAGGGGCTACCACCTTTCTAAAGCTTGGTGCCACAATACATGCCACCTTGGGTACAATGGTGACGAATGTCCAAAAATCAACAAAAACTAAAACTTTAAGTATTATAACTAAAAGCCATTGACAGGCTTATCCTTCATGAATAGCATGCAGCAGTTATGTAGACACAAGCGTTGAAGAAATAGTTGGGTAACCTGCAGTCCTATGCATGTCTACTCAGAAGTAAGCCCCAGGTAAATGTGTAGAAGGTTGCAGTCTTAGTCACTTCAGTTCTTGACAGAATATCTCATTCTAACATTTCCACTAAGTCAGTATTTGTTTGACTCCACTGCTAAATTAGATAATGCAAAGAGGACCAAGGTGTTAAGATTTGGCAGTAAACTACCTTATTTCTTCCTGATTGGCTTATCTTAATGCCTGTCTGTAGCTAACAGGAGAAGCATGCTGAAAAAAAGGCTTTTTGCACCAGTGCGATTTATAGACAGCATTTGGCACTTTGCAGGGCAGGCACTGAAAAGTAAAGTCACTGCAACTTACTTATCTCTAAGGTTTCATAGTTTCTATTATGGGATGTATGGCGCAACCGATCATTTGATTAGCAGGTTTCATAACCATTATCTATCCGGATGCCGTTTTTGAATCACTCCAAATACAGTAAGAGTTTTGCTTTTCATTATCTGGAACAAGATCAGGGCAACACATACCCAGCAAGCAGGCACTAATCTTACCAGTCTTACCAATTCGTGGGTAGGATTGAAAGAATCACAAAATGAGCTGTCTGATCCCTAGAAATGCCTGGCCTCTGTTGTCTGACCTCCAGGCTGCACGTCTAGCTATTGTGAAACCAAGGGGGATTTCAAAGTGGTTTAGAGTATGGCATGGTTTGATGGGGAGAGATATGTCAGCCATTCAAACACAAAGACATTCTGCAGTGCTCCTTGTGCGCACCCAAGCAAATACTTTGGCCCTGGCCCATGTCTCCAGATCTGATTCCACAGTTACAAGGAGCACTTTAGTGTTATAAGAGCAACAGTATTTTATTCACTTCTGTAATCAGATAACATAGAAAGAACTTTGGATGTTTTTGCCCCAGCTTCTAAACGGAGCATAAAATGAACCCCAATGTGGCACTAAAGTTCCCCTAATTCCCACCTAAAGTGGGAAGTGAGAGCTGGACCATAAAGAAGGCTGATCGCCGAAGAATTGATGCTTTTGAATTATGGTGCTGAAGGAGACTCTTGAGAGTCCCATGGACTGCAAGAAGATAAAACCTATCCATTCTGAAGGAAATCAGCCCTGAGTGCTCACTGGAAGGACAGATCGTGAAGCTGAGGCTCCAATACTTTGGCCACCTCATGAGAAGAGAAGACTCCCTGGGAAAGACCCTGATGTTGGGAAAGATGGAGGGCACAAGGAGAAGGGGATGACAGAGGACGAGATGGTTGGACAGTGTTCTCGAAGCTACCAGCATGAGTTTGACTAAACTGCGGGAGGCAGCGGAAGACAGAAGTGCCTGGCGTGCTCTGGTCCATGGGGTCACGAAGAGTCGGACACGACTAAATGACTAAACAACAACAACAATGTGGCACTGCAGTTGTCACTACTGACAACTCTTCTAATTTGAACTCTTCTAGCTCCTTGATCTCTGCAGAGTGTGGGCAGCTCTGTGTGACGATTTAAGTTGCCGGAGACAGTTCTCTGTGGCCATATGAAGCAGAGAGAGGGAGAAAGGGAGAGAGTTTAAACCAGGGATGGGAAACTTGTGGCCCTCCAGAGACTGGTGGACTTCTCCATCCCTGATTATTGGCTGTACTGGATGAAGCCTTGCCTCTGGCTTAAAACCTAATTGAAGAAACAGACACAGAGCAAGCATCACACACACACACACACACACACACACACACACACAGAAAGAGAGAGAGTTATGGGCTTGAACATGAGGGCAGAGCTAGCTATTACTAAAAACATGGATCTGCTGTAGAGAATGGAAGCTCTGTGTTCAGTTATTGCCTTCTACTCCAGGATGCATGTAAATACACCATGCATTTAAACTACATTTAAAGTGCATTACTGTCCCGTGCCCCCGTTCTGTCCTTAAAATATGCATTCGAAGCTACCCTAATACTGTTTGTCCTCCTGAATCCATTCATTTCCTGGGCCAAACACCACACATATTGCTCCCTTGTTATGAGGATGTTTCTATCTTCACCCCTTCCAATGTGTGCCTGCATTTACCCAAACTGGTTCTGGGAAGCTGCAATTGAGAGCGGAGGTTTGTACAGGCAAGCAGGTGCTTAGCTTCCTGTGTGCCCTTTTTTCTTATAAAAATCCACCCCCTGCAAAATTTATTTTCCCCTCGAGGGTGGGGGAAATCTCTCTCTTCTTCTGTGGGGCGAAAAGCTGGACATGTGCCATATTTGACAGGGAAAATGGGAGTTAAGCATCTCCCCCTACCGTTGTGAACGTATTGCAGCTTAATACAAAAGTGGGCACGCTCTGGGTGCACATTTACTTCCACGTAAAAGCAAACTCCGAGATACAGCCTGTCGCTCCGTCTCCCTCACAAGCACCTGTGCAATATGGCAGTTACTGCAAGATCATTGCACTTCACTGTTTAATGTGTTTTATGGCCAACTTTCAACTGAATTTCTCATGCCACTGACTGAAGAGCTTTGCTTTTGCAAAGAGACCTGCAGCTGGTGCTGCCAACGATAGACAGGCAGATACTTTCTAGGCAACCTCAGCTGCCCAGCACCAGGTGCAGAGGTTGTCAGCTGCTTATATTTGGATTCCCTCTGGGGAAGGTAAAGCAGATGCAATCTACAAAGAAAACTAGACACAGAACTCAAAACCTATTTTTTGCTTTTGGGAAACGGCATCATTTTACATCTGAATGGGGGCAACATTCGCCCCGCAGTCCAGTGAAACATCAACACTTTTTCGGAGAAATGCAGTTCAATGATTCCTGTACGCTGATAAAAATAGCGAAAGCAAAAAAACTGAAAGTTAGAGCAGCTCATAAGGTTGTTTAAGAATTTCCTGGATACCATCTATTTATATGAGCAGGCCTTCCAGACAAACCTATTTCTTCCCCTGCAATTTGCAGCTGATTGGGTTTCATTGTTTGGGCAGCAATCCTGTGTATGCTTACCTGAAAGAAAACCCAACTGAACTCAGTGGGACTTATTCCCAAGTAGACATGCATAGGAGTACAGTGTTAGTAAATTAAGAACTTTGACCCTTTGAACTAAAGCAATCAAAAGATACCATTCCGAAATACTGACATGCAGTCCAATCTTCGAAATGTTTACTTTTATTTAATCTAGAGGGGCTTCCTCCCAGGTACATGAGCAAATCTAAGCACTTTTGCTAAGAAGTAAAATTTACTGAATTCAGTTGAACTTCTGAATGCATATAATTAAAATCAGGGTACAGTGGTACCTTGGGTTACAGACGCTTCAGGTTACAGACTCTGCTAACCCAGAAATAGTACCTCGGGTTAAGAACTTTGCTTCAGGATGAGAACAGAAATCGCGTAGCAGCGGCGTGGCAGCAGCAGGAGGCCCCATTAGCTAAAGTGGTGCTTCAGGTTAAGAACGGACCTTCAGAACGAATTAAGTTCTTAACCCGAGGTACCACTGTATTGGGTAAAGAGATTTGACTTGATTTAATATTTGTATTCTGCTTTCCTCACAACAAGCATTCAGCTCAGAGTGACTCAATGAAAGTAGCATTAAAAATTATAAAACCTTACAATAGCTACAATATAAAAAGGAGCATATTGATAAAGCCAATATTCATCAAAACAAATCAGCACTCAGCAAAAATTGCTGTTACATAGAATGTTAGCAGAAGTCCACTTTTGCAAGATTTCTTAAAATAATTGTGTAAATACTAAAAGTTGAACATCATGTATCATCAACTGGATTGTACATCAGTGCTCTCATGAAATGTACAGTCAAGAGTAAACTAACAGGACCAGATTTTTAAAAGTACAGATGTATTTCATAACTTTTTGTGCTAGTTGCTTTGAGGACACCTACAACCTGTATATATTTTCACTTGAAAGTACATCGCAGTGTGTCCAGCTGAGTGTGCATAGGATTTCAGCCTTAATCTGAAAACTCACTCCAGATTACATAATTTTGGCCCAATCTGTTTTCTCCTGAATAGCTTGCGTCATCATCATAAATGAGGAAAGATAATTCCCCCCCCTAGACACTTTATTTCAAACATCACATCATGTTCTCACTGTCGGGTTATTGTTGTAGTTGTTTTTATTGTTTTAAAATATTTTTATTAACTCTTTTCTTGGTTTACAAAAGTACATGCATTGTCTCTTTTTTCAGGTTGCCAAGTCTTTTCTACAGATCAGTTACATTTGATATGAGACATTAGTGTTGTGTACAGTATAAGGTTGGGGAAGAAGACAGCGGGGACAGAAGGGGTGAGATGGTAAAACCTATTTTTTAGTGTACATGTGGGGTTGTGTCAGCGTCAACTGGGTAGGTTCTTTTTCTATTTGCTTATTACATTTCCTTGGTAGTGAGAAGGATTAGGAGGGCCGAGGGTGTGGGCATACCTGCAGTGAGGTATGTTTGCATTTGTGAGAGAGGGAGGGATTGTTGGGTCAAGTAAGCCATATTGATTTGTATGCTTTTGGTGGGTTCATCTTGTTGTTTTGTTGGGCTGTGTATGTGACAAAGGGAAGCCGAACCGGGTTAAAGGTATGCTTCTGGCTGAGAGCAGGTGGATTATAAGCTCTTTATAAAGTGAGTGATCATTATTATCTTGGAAAATGTTCAGTAGGGTCAGTTCTGGGGTGAATTCTAATACCTGTTTAGGTTGTGTGGGGTTTTTTTGCATCTCTCTTGTAGGACAACTGTCCAGGAGGGTTGGATTTTGGAGCATTCCCACAACATGTGGAGGTATGTGCCTGTGGAGGTGCAGCCTCTCCAACATCTTGGTGAGGTTCCTAGGTGTATCAGCGCCAGTTTCCGTGGTGTTAGTTACCATCTGTAGATGAGTTTCAGAGTTGAGTTCCCTTCTTTTGGTTGAGATGGATTCTAGTCCATTGGATGGGGTTAATTTCATAGCCTATGACGTGTTCCTGTTGCTCTTTGATTGCATCAAGGGGGTTTGTGGGATTTTGGAGCAGCATTTTGTATATTGTGCATACCATCCCTTCGCCATGTCCCTCTGCTGTTGGGAGGTTGTTTTCGAAGCTGGTCAAGGCTGCTAATTTTACTGCTGGATTGTTTAAGAATGTGTGTAGTTGGTGGTGTGTTAGCCAAGGTATTAGAGTGTCAGGAAAGACAATATTTGAAAGTTGAAAAGAAGAAAGTAATGCACCGGGTATAGAAAATATGCCATCTTTTTCATGGGGGAGAGTTCCCTAAATACTTATTTCTCCTTAGATATTGTACTGAATTATCAGCAGTGTTTTCCCCTGCCTAAAGTTCAGCAGGGCTTTTGCACCACCAGCAACCATTTCTTTGATCTCCATCCTCACTTTTTCCTCGATGGAGCTCACAATTTTTTCTTCCTGTGGCCCACATCTTTTTGTGTGTCCCTCTAAGTGTTTCTTTTTATTTTTCTCTTCTTCTACCCTATTTTTTTTATCTGCTTCCTGTGGTGGTTGCTGCAGCAGTTTTATTAGTAATTTCTGCATTTTTGTTTATCGCATGGCATTTTACCCCATTATCATCTAGATTTTGCCATTTCTTCCTGCAACCAGTCCTAGGTTTCTCTCTTCCTTGTACTTACTCTGCAGAGCATCTGTGGCATAAAATTCATTCTCCTGATTACTTAGCTTAAGACAGAGAAACCGAAAGCAGCATATAAACAAAAGCAATCTTTTCCTTCTCTTATTCATAATTGTCATATATCTCCTAAGTGTATTTTCCTGTTAGTAAACATTTTTGTATGTTTTGTTCTATTGTTGTATTTCCCCCCCTTGATTTTATTGTTATGTAGTAAAGGGTAATAATGTTCAGCTGTTTTAATAAAATATAGTAATCGATACTGTATTTTGAGAAACCCTTGAACAAGTAACTATTTAGCATCTATTAAATCATGAAAAAAATTTATTATATAGTTACATATACACAAAGTTAAAATTTCAGTCAATAGTGTCATTTGGAACACATTTCAGTAGGGCATGAATCTGTGGGTCATTTGGTAAGCAGAGGTCTTAAAACTAAAATTAGTGTTTTTGCCATTTTTCTCATAAACATTTTCCAATTTTACTTGGTTTAAACAGAATTTCATTTCCTTTTAAAATGCTGAGTCCAGTCATATGGTAACATTTACACTTCCCATACAAAATTCAATGTACATTTTTATGCAGGGCCAAGGATATATAAATATATACAAAATAGACATTATTTGTAGTTAACATACTCTGATCAGGTCCATTAGCAACACATCAAAAGCAGATGCACAGAACGGTTAATAAAAGGTTTTCTTTAATCCTTTAGAACGAAGTGTGACCATTAATTATTATATAAAATAGCACAAGTAAAGGCTTTAGATTAAAATAAGACACTCAACCAGATAAATGTCGTATCTGATACATCCATTGTGATCACAAACAGTTTATGTAAAAAGAACACATTTGTTCACAGAGCATTAAATATTGCACAAGTACACTTTTCCTTTGAAGACTAAGGACTTCCCATGTTTACAAACTGTAGTATGGTCCTTGAGTGGGAAGAAGTTGTGAGTGTGCATTTTCTAGCATGAGAAGCATACGGGAAATATTAATACTGTTAGAGTTCTCATCCATCCAACCTCTTCCCAGTCCTACTCTATGGCAACAACAAGTTGGAGATAAAAGATTTGGCAAATACAGAGGCCAATAGTAAGGTGCAACACATCACACGTCAGATAAGATGTAAGAGCCAGTCAAGTCCAAGACCTTTAAGATATTTCTCTTGACCGTGGAATAAGGTCCTAGAGAATGAAGGCCAATACCATTCACAGTGGTTACACAGTAGTAGAGTAAGACTCCACTCTTTTTTGGTTATTTTCCTTCTGAACGATGGTGTCTGATGTTTCAGTGTTTTCAATATCACTGTCACTACTGTTTGCCGCGGCTGGAGTCAAGTCCATCGGACCAGTCCTCCTGTGCAAGTGAAAATGGACCCCAGACTCCTGAACATGGTTTGATATAAAGTCTTCGTCGGACGAATGCAAGGACTCATCATCGCCTATCAAATGGTTCACAATATGAATCCCATCAAAGGTGTGTGGGCCTGGGAAGGGTTTCTTGCCTTTTAGGCATCTGATCTGTAAAAAGAAAGGACAGACACATATAAACATTAGCCGACAGGCCTATCATTTCAGCTCAAGAAAGGAGAATATGCCCATATTCAACTAAACATTTATATCTTAAAGTACACCCGCAAGTTATAAGGACAGGAGTAGCATTTGAGTGTACACAAAATCACTGCTCACCCTCACCAGAAACAAAAACAAATGTGTGTATGCACATATAATGATCCCAAGTTGTCCCTCCTTTCATGAGCTGCGTTCAGAGGTTCCTGCTGACTGAAGATAGGAGGTGATTTTTGCCAATTCCTCCTTCCCCCCTGTGACCCCCAGCAATACTTCCCCCCACTGTTCAGGAAAGTACCCCAATCCTCTAGTTTTTGGTGGCAGAGGGGATTGCTTCCTAGACAGCATTACACGACATGAGGCTGGGGGTGGGAAATCTGGGATTCGACATGGTGCAAAGGCCAAAGATGAGAAAAGAATGTGTTATAGTAAAGAAGTACTTTCCCCTTAGAGAAAATTAAAAAAAACAGAACACAAGCACAGCAAGCTTTCACTAGTGAAGTCACACTTATACTCCACCGTCACCCTCAATACACCTTTAGTTCACTATAGCATTTGATAAACAGCAGAGTACATAAACATAGCCAAATTTACTTAAAATTCATGTTAAATGCAGCATCTTCTGTTCACATTGACCGGACAATTAAATTCTACTCCTGGTGCTCATTCTTAGAATTTACAGTGTAATGGTTAGAAACATAGAGCAAATACTCTTGCTATTTAAAAAAAATGGGGGTGGGAGACATTGACTGAGGAAAAGATGCATTCCAGAGATTTCTAAAGCCATTTCTCCAGCTTGTTGAACAAGCGCTTTATTAGTGCAGTGATCTATAAATTTCAATAACTGCAAATGGAACAATCTAGATGTCAAGCCGAAGGGTGACATGCTCAGTTCCTACATGCAGAACACCTTAAGTAAGATGCTACACTGTAAACAGAGGGGCTGCTGAAATGAAATCAATATGTTTAGACAGGGGCGGGGAACCTTTTTTCTGCTGAGGGGTGTGTTTTGTGGGGGTACTTTGTTGGGGTGCAGGCTGGAGGTGGGCAAGGCAAAAGGCAGGTGTTTGGCAACATATTTCCCTTTTCCCCTTCGCTTCCCACGTTGAAATTAGGCTGTGGTTCACGTGCAGCCCCCAGGCCACAAGTTCCTCCAGTCCTGAGTGATGCCCTTATACAAACTGAAATTGCCATAGATGCTTTGCATGAAGTTTATGCACAGTGGGCGACTCAAGCTGAAGCCACGCATTGAGCTATAAGTTTTATTTCACGAACATTTCGCGACACTTTGTGGGACAGTCCACTACAGCTGGCAATGGTGTCTGACAGAACTAGGAGCCCTCTCTAAACCTGATCTTGTGTAAATATGCACAAGCAGAGCTGTAGAATTCCTCCTTCTGGTTCTGTATTATGACAAAAAGAGGGAGAGAGACAGAAAGACACCGTTTGGGACATTTCTCAACTTTAAGCATGAATAAACCAGCCACCTTAGGACCAATTTCAACATCTTATTTTGAAGCTTTCTTAAGTTTCAAAATAGACATATTCACACGCCTTCTGAATACCTTGCAATATTTAAAAACAGCAGTGTTATATACCCGAAAGGAACAAACAAACAGCAAAATCCCTGTAGATAGCTCAGTCAGCAGAGCATGAGACTCTTACAGTTGTGGGTTCGAGCCCTACTTTGGGCAAGAGATTTCTGCACTGCAGGGGGTTAGACTAGATGACCCTTGTGATTCCTTCCAATTCAACAGTTCTATGATTCTCCTTATGCTGCTATTGTAGTACTAGAGATGTGAGATTTGCCTGAAACGTGCAATGATGCAACATGTCCATGACGGGCTCTTGAGTTAATGAGATGGTTAGTGTTCAGTATGTGTCAGGATTAAGGAAGGTTCCATAGGCTTTAGACTAAAAATTTTTTTTTAACCGAGGTTCAACAGATGGACAAGGAAGCTATTCTCTCCAACTCAACAAAGTTGGCTATGAGTTTACCCTAAGTGGGAAGACACCACATTCCAAAATGGGGAAGAGTACTGTGACCTTCCAGATAAAGGACAATTGATCAATAGTTCTTGTCCCTAGTTCCAGTCCTTGACACCTGCCTTCCACTTGTTTGAACATCACACAGAAAGCTGGTGCCATTTCCCAGCTTATAACTAAGGAAGAATATTCCAGGTCTTAGCTCCAACTGCAGGAGAGGGGTCTATTTTCAAAACCAGAACTGGAACAAGTCATTCTGTTTGTATCTCTTTTGACGGAACAGAACTAGGGATGCTGATCACGGAAGAACGTTCTTGTTCATGCTAAAAAGCGGTAGAAAATATCTTGTGTTACCGACATAAATCTGAATTATTCATTCTAAATAGATATGTGGACTCAAGCCCCTTTTAATTTGGTTTAATGGAAGAAGCATGGTATCAGAACATGGGGCTGATCCACAGCGCATAGTATTAAGGAATGGAAATTCTCAAGAGATCCTGCCAAATTTAAATATAAGACACCATAGCATGCTGGCTACTGTCCCAACTATTCAATGGCTTTTATGGAGTTGTCAAAAATTACAATGCCCATCATTAATGGTCTCCAGTGAAAGTGGCAGAATTGACTAGTGGCTCAAAATACCTGATTTAGAGGCCCAGTGGATACAGAGTACACATGTTCCATGGGGCCTTTTTTAAAAGACTCGCCCTGTACTTATACTTTATGTACTTGTTATTTACCAAGCTGTGGATTATTATATTTGAGAACACAAAGCAGCCATGCTTAGAAAGGTAGTCAAATCCATTCCACTTGAACTTTCTCATAACATGCTCTTACCTGTTGCTGACTGTCAACCCAAGCATAGGCAAAAGGAAAAAGACAGCAGAGAAAAATTTAGAGGTTTAAAACATTCCTAAATAATCCAGATTAAAAACGCGCAAACTAAGGTAGCATGTTAAAATACAAATATTTGCTTGAATCAACTCAACTTAATTTCAAGGGCAGATTGATTTTTCTGGGGGAAAATAGAATATTAATTTCTATAGTCATTTCCTTGTTAAAACTCTGTGTGTGTGTGTGTAGAACTGTAAACATTTAGTGCAAAAATTCAGTTGTTAAGTCAAAGTTCGTGAAGAAGCCAGCTGTATTGCCTTGATATCAAACATGCACTTTTTGAAAGTAAGAGCTTTAGAATTACGGTACTTCCATTACCACAAATATAAAAGGTTAAAATCTTATCAGTTATTACTTCCTTCAAAGAATCTTGCAGAACTGCAGCTTTGTGGTGGTTCTGAGAATTATTAGAGATCTCTGCTTTTTTGAACAGTTAGCATTTAACTCTTTCTCCTGTGTTTCCCTGATCTAAACTACTCTCCCTCAAGCTGCTCTTAGCTCCACACTGGTGTTTTCCACCATATGCAGGGATGGTAGGAAGTGGAAACCAGCAACTTACGGGGAGGGCGGGGGCACAAGTTCCCCTGATGTATATAACATATCAACACAGTTCACATGTCACACTAAACCAAGGTTTCATGAGATGCAGACAACCACAAGCCTCAGTTTCCCTGTCCCCTTTTGTGTCATGTGGACAGTTTGTAACAAATTCCGGTAACTTTCAAAACCAGCCAACTTCAAAAATGTGCTTTTGAAGCTGCCTTTTTTCAACTGGAGTTTGTTTTATACCTTTAACCCAGATCTCAAAATATCTCAGTCGGTAGAGCACAAGATTCTCAGTGGCGTGGTTCGAGCCCCACATCAGGCAAAAAGATTCTTGCACTGCAGAGGGCTGGACTAGATGACCCTTGTGGTCCTTGCCAATTCTACCGTTCTTTGATTCTATGATCTAGATAACAGGACAAGGCAACTAAGGCGAAGTGAAGCTTAATGTTGCTGAAGTCCTTCTCCTGACCACATGAGGAGAGGAAAGGCATGGAGTGAGCATGTGAGCCTGAGGATCAGAGTGGTTCCTCCCTGTTCACATTTGTCTTACAAAATATAATAATAATAATAATAATAATAATAATAATAATAATAATAATATTTACACCCCACCCATCTGGCTGAGTTTCCCTTGTCACTCTGGGCAGCTCCCAACAGAATATTAAAACAGAATAAAACATCAAACATTAAAAACTTCCCTAAACAGGGCTGCCTTCAGATGTCCTCTGAAAGTCAGGTAGTTGTTTATTTCCTTAACATCTGATGGGAGGGCGTTCCACAGGGCAGGCGCCACTACCGAGAAGGCCCTCTGCCTGGTTCCCTGTAACCTCACCTCTTGCAGTGAGGGAACCGCCAGAAGGCCCTCGGAGATGGACCTCAGTGTTGGGGCTGAGCGATGGGGGTGGAGACACTTCTTCAGGTATAGTGGGCTGAGGCCGTTTAGGGCTTTTAAGGTTAGCACCAACACTTTGAATTATGCTCGGAAATGTATTATGAGCCAATGTAGGTCTTTCAGGACCATAGTTTACTTTGATGTATGCAACAGTGCACTGTAATGAAGCAGCTTTGTCACAGCAAACCTCCCTAGGTTATGCAGTTGGCAAGAATACAGAAGCATGAAGTACCGGTATATATCTTTAAGGTTATGTAAAAGACTTAATATTGAATTTCTAAATTTCCTTTGTTCTATTAAAAAAAAAAAATCAAGGTGGTAGCGGTTGGGGTTTTCAGCTTTTAGCAGTTATCAAGAGCAAAAATGCCGAAAGGAAACAGGAGGCTAAGGCAGGGCAGCTGTACTGCTTACATGACAAAGATCAAAACTAGCGACACACTGAGACCAGAAGCTTTCATGTCAGAACAGGAAAGCAACAACTTGATCAGGCAAGGTCATGACTTTTTGATCAGAGTATTACCATATAATCAAAAGTTTTGAAATCTTAATAGAAAGTACGTGATTGAAAAGATAACAAGTAGTCAGAAGAACAGGCTTCCATGTCGTACTATGTACCGTATTTTTCGCTCTATAAGACGCACCAGACCACAAGACGCACCTAGTTTTTGGAGGAGGAAAACAAGAAAAAAAATATTCTAAATCTCAGAAGCTAGAACAGCAAGAGGGATCACTGCGCAGTGAAAGCAGCAATCCCTCTTGCTGTTCTGGCTTCTGTGATAGCTGCGCAGCCTGCATTCGCTCCATAAGATGCACACACATTTCCCCCTTACTTTTTAGAAGGGAAAAAGTGAGTCTTATAGAGCAAAAAATACGGTAATTGCATCGTCAAATTTTACTTCTCTCGTATGTTGTTAAATTTGGTGAATTCGTATGTTGGTGAATTTGGCCCTTGGGTGCCATTTTCAAGCAACACGTTTCAAAAGAGAGAGAAGTTACTTAAAACAACAGCAAAACCCTCTCCTTTTTAGGGTGACATATAGAAATCAGCAACAAAAATTAAATGCAGGATTACAATCCTTGGCAGCTATTCAAGTGCCATGGTTTATTTTAAATCAATAGCTCTGAAGCTATTTATAGATCTCAATCTACGTTTTTTCTGGTAAACAGTTGGGAAAGGAAAGGTTGCTTAAGGTGACAGATTATGGCTTTCATGTCTATAACTGGGCCAGGAAAAGAAAATGAAAATTTTGTTCACCTATGTGTCAGCATCATCCAGTAATCTACTGAAAAATCCATTCAACCCTATCTAACCATAGCTAAAATTATTCCAGACTTCATTCAGTATTTCATTCCAACATCTCAATGCTGAAGTTAGAAATCTGCAAAATACAGGCCCATTTCCATCAATTTCTCTGAAGTGGGATGATTATAACCAACTCCCTTCTCTCTGCCCTTCTCTCAATGTTATTTGCCTATCAAAACTTTCTATTAAATGCATATATTGATTTGATATATTTTTTAGTAGTTTCCTCTCTTTCTCCATCTCTCCTCTTAAGGATGTCTCTTGACTTCATGAAAAAAAAAATCCAAATCATTTGTATGTGCTTTAGAGGTTCAGCAAAAGAGACATCTCTTCCACTAGATCATGGCAATAAACATTATTGAGAAGGAAACCATCAGCTCTGAAAGTGAAGTACTCCTTTTTTGAGGGGGGATGCTAAACTCATTAACAAACATGAACAACCTGATTTTCTAGAATTCTGTAGTGTTTCACAACACTGTGCTGTTCCCACATACCTATGTTCACCACTAAGATAAAAGAATGAGGTTGAAAAAGTATGGAGCGAGACCCTATTATGAAAAATGCTACTGAATCCTCAATTTTAGGTTATTCAGCATCAACAGCAGCTCTGGGTCTAAGAACGCACAAAACACAGCACACACAGCTGAGGAACTATACTTATTTTAACTTAAGGTCCACTAAGCTGCTATTTTAGATTGGGTGTTTGTTAACCACATGACCTCACAAGCGCTATCTTATCACATCACAGTTTCCTCAGAGTGACCACAACTATTGAAATCTGACTCCGCCAGCATAGAGGTTCAGTATCTGACACGTACTAGCAAAACAGCAACTTTCTAGCTGTCCAATAGCTGCGCTGACTTATGGGAGGGCAAATCTGGTGGTCTTGTCTTAACTGCACTTGCAAGATACCATGTAAGGAAAGCACATGATTTATTGCTCTGTAAGCTTCAACCACAAGTTGAAAAACTCACATTTTAAATCTGAGAGCTAACATGTTTCCTTTTCATGTCAGGGGGTTATGGGGCAAAAAAAGGAAAAAAAAAAGGTTTGCGTTCTCTCCCATGCTTGATTTGGGCTACAATGCTGCACTGTGGTTTTTTTAAAAAATTCTACCTAGAGTAAATGTCGTATTACTTATTTATTTAGAGGGGGGAAATCTCACCCTTAATCTTCCGAGTTGAGGCAAAGCTTTTAAATGCTTATCTTAAGATTATCACAATGGCTGCACTTCAGTGTATTGAAAAAGCTTTGCTCGTGAAAGCCTGACAAGCATCACTCTGGCAGCATGTGCTGATGAGCCCAAGGGCAGGCAGATGAAGACAACAGTAAAATGCTATGATAGACCCACAAAGCTGATGGAATTCCATTACAGACCATGATTACTGAAGGGTGGCTTTCTAGAAGTTGGTTGGACACCAACTCCCACTGACCTCGGCCAGCCTGGTCAATGGCCAGGGCTGACGAGGAGTTGTAGCCCAGCAACCAGAAGCTATGAATGCCATCAACCATGGCAACGTTGTGGGATGACTACTGCTAAGCAGTAGCTCGCTCTTACCAGTCTGAAAGGTCTCCTAAGATGGTCTGCTGGATGGAATGGCTGTTCCACTTTAAGGAAACTGTGATGCGACACGGTTTCATCTTCCTTTACTCTAATATCCGCATGAAGAGGCTGGGAGAGATTATCGAAAAGGTTTGGAAAGCGGTGCCATCAGTACGCAGATGGCATTTATCTCCCATTCCTCTTTTTTTATCTGAACCAAGTTAAGTTGGAGAAGCTCTGGAGGTGTAGGTAGGCTGGAGATCAGCAAATGAACTGAAACTAACATAGACCAAACCAACATGTCACTGGCCGGTAGTTCAAATAGCCCTGTTTTGAATGGGGCTGCACCCTTCCTGCATAGTTTCAGGGTGCTTCTGGAAGCTCAGTTAAAGATTGTAGCCAGGAATGTATTTTTCTGGCAGCCTGCATGTAGGTAGGAGTTGGGTAGCGGCAGCATATACCAAGCAGTTCCCTATCAGCCTCTGGACCAAATTCAACATGTTTAAAGGTAAAGGGACCCCTGACCATTAGGTCCAGTTGTGACCGACTCTGGGGTTGTGCGCTCATCTCGCTCTATAGGCCGAGGGAGCCAGCATTTGTCTGCAGACAGCTTCCAGGTCATGTGGCCAGCATGACTAAGCCGCTTCTGGCGAACCAGAGCAGCACACAGAAACGCTGTTTACCTTCCTGCCAGAGCGGTACCTATTTATCTACTTGCACTTTGACGTGCTTTCGAATAAAACAGCTCAAAAAAATATTGGAGAGAATGGTTCCTTTCATAAGCACTTAGGTCGTCGGATGGGCCCCCGATACAGACGCCAGCATAGTCTTAGACTGTCCTGCACAAAGGAAAGGGTATTTTCTTCAATTAACACTGGCTTTATAGAATTTTCTCACTAGAAAGGTTTGGCAGCTCTGCTTGCTTGGTTTATAGAAAGGTGATATACCGGTATACGAGGATTTCCATTTACGAAGTGGAGCTTATCCTCCTTCTCCTTGTGCACCCCCACCCCAAATCTGATCTGGAGGGTAAAGGGAACCCCCAGAACAGATTCAGAGGGCATGCGGGCAGAGGAAGTTCTGTTGCGCAGCCAGAGGACACTTTGCTGGATACTACCCTTTGCTCTTGCTATACATGGCTATTTATGTTGCTTAAGTTAATTTTCTTAGTGCTGACGACAGGCCATTGTTGGTTTTAACAATGGGCAGAATGTGGCAGGCAGTGGTGCAGCTACGCAATTTTAGATTCTCGACTCGAAAGGTCTTATGGGGCTGCCCCTTTAGACATCCATGTGTATTGCTTCATTCGCGAAGCACAATTGACATAGCATTTTTCAGCCCCAACTCTAGGGATTAGACACCATGCAGCAATCCTTATGTTGACCATGGTTCAATTTAGCCAGCACATGATCTCTTCCAATAGGCTTACATGTTTTAAACAAAGAGAATTCCTACAGTACAGTAGCAGTTTGAAGAAGCAAATACCTATCAGGTGACCGGAAACGAATGCCAACCCATTCTCTTCCAAATACAATAATATATAGCCTAACCATGGTGGTGTTAGTTATCTTACTTCTCCATGCTCGAAGAACATCATTACCCTACAGGGAGCCATGTTGCCCCAATATTTTCTGTTTTGGATCAGCCTGTTCTCTGGTTAAAGAGGAAAAAACCTGCCGGAATTCAAGTGTTTTGTCCAATGTATATTCTGCGAGGTCTCAAGTAATTTAACTTTGATTTAGGGAGTCATTCTGTGGAAAATAAAATTAGGAACCTCAATCTAGATGGGATTTTCCACTTATTTAAGATTTATTCTGCTAGTAACTTTTCTGACTGAGATTCCTTTAATTCAGTTTCCTGGGTAAGCCTGGTTAGTTCTCTAGAATACTATTTCCTGAAGTCTAAGTTTTATTTAGCACATTTATGCCCTTTTTTCAAGGAAGTCAGCACTCTTAAATCAAACTCAGTAGAACAAAATGATCAAGTTACTAAAAGCGGAACAAAAAAATTGCAAAGCAGATATTAATGTACCTGGGCATCTTTCAGCAGTACATGTATTATTATTATTATTAAAAAGGGGGGGGGGGAGATCACTACAGGAACTTAAAAACCATAGGTAAAGGTAAGTCCAGTCATGGCCGACTCTGGGGTTGCGGCGCTCATCTCGCTTTATTGGCTGAGGGAGCCGGCGTACAGCTTCCGAGTCATGTGGCCAGCATGACTAAGCCGCTTCTGGCAAACCAGAGCAGCACACGGAAACGCCGTTTACCTTCCTGCCGGAGTGGTACCTATTTATCTACTTGCACTTTGACGTGCTTTCGAACTGCTAGGTTGGCAGAAGCAGGGACCGAGCAAAGGGAGCTCACTCCGTCACAGGGATTCGAACCGCCGACCTTCTGATCGGCAAGTCCTAGGCTCTGTGGTCATACCCACAGCGCCACCCGCGTAAAAACCATACATGCCCCCAAAAGCCTTCTAACCAGAAATGTTTAGCCAACCAATAGAAGGCAATTTATGATGGGCGAGAAGATGATCCTCCCTTGAAAGAAATTGCAGAGCCTGGGTGCAGTGACTGTAAAAGGTCCTTTCCTGCTCCCAACTAAGCACACTTCTGGGGAAACATAGGAAAACCTCTGGTCATAACCAGCTTGCCCAGCGAGGCAGAGCTGCCATCAACAGCTTTCCAGCAGTAGTATCACTACTGGAGGGAAGAATGAGAAAAACAACCATGTTGGAAATACAGTACGAGTGCCCCAGTGGAGCCAACCTGGCAGACCAGAGCTTGACACTGTTAAGCGGCAGTGATTCCGCTGCCAGGAAGCTATTTTTGTGGCTCCACCTCTCCAGGCAGGCTGCTCCAGCATCTGATGAAGATCTAAATACATGGGCAGGCTTGTATGGGAGTGGAAGGTCCTCTGGAAACCCTGGCCCCAAACCATGGACAGCTTTTAAGACTCTTCATCAGCACTTCATCAAGAACAAAACTGGGAGCCAGGGCGGCTGCTTCAATAGTGGAGTTATATGCTCCCTGTTAACAGCTGCCACAGTCTGGACCATTTATATAGTTTTGGTGCTCTTTTCATAAGCAGCCCTATGTATATTGTATACAAACCCAAGTGTGATGTAACTAAGGCGCATGTCACCATGACCAGATCAGGAAAGCAAGTCCCTACATATGCTCCCACTATTCAGCCTCGTCCCAAGGTGGCCCTTTGCATATATGGCCTGAATTATTTATCCACGAGTAATTACTTAGTGTTTACAATTTCATTTTTACAAGCCGAATCGTTTAAAAGCAGGGCATTTGATCTGCAGCTGAATGTCGATCTTCATTAAGTCCATCTTGAGTTAGTTCAAGAGAAGCGCGATTTGAAGGCGAGATAGCGCCTCTATCAGAATCTGTTACCGTTTGCATTAGGTTGTTAGGACAGAAATATCAGATGGGTTGGAGCATAAGGTGCATGAAGATAGCAAGAATGAGCCTCAAGCTCTGATGCTGGAGAAGAAGAAAGTGCAATCTATCTTTCTTTCTTGCGAAAAACTTCCTATCTGAATAAGCCAAGCAAGTGTTTTTGGTGTGGTTGAAAGTCAATGACACACGACGACGATTGTTTACATGTTATTTAGCTAAAAAGCATTCCCTTCTTATCACAGACCCTACCTGAGCAGTTTTGGGCCCCAGCTTATCTCATCTCCCCTTATGTGACAGCTGCCAGAGAGCAAAAGAAGGCAAAGGCATCAAGGGGCCATAAATAGGGGATTCTTTGGGGCTGATTATATGAAATTGTGTTGTGCATATAGGAGTTGGGGTGAGTGCATATGAACCACCAGCAAGAATATTTTTTCTACAGCCGGGAACTACTTTTAAATCACTATTATTGCTTGCACAGGCTAAAGGAGGAAGACTAGACAAGGTCTATTGCATGCAGTTACTCTTCTCACAAGAAATGATAACAAGTGTGTGAAATACTAGTAAATATAGACTTACTTTTATAAATATCAATAGTGATATGTAAATAATATTTACATTTAATTGCAGGGAGAAAATACTGCACGCAGTTCATGCAATACTCAATCCTAATTGAGGACATCACAGAATCCAACAATTTTTGAACTGGAAAAATATAGGAGGGGCTGTTTCAGAATAGAAAAGTTTTCAGAACAAGGTTTCGGACGGAGCCTCAACTACTTCACCATCTGAAACTGGAGGTTCAATTAATTCTGCAAAAAGGCACAACAGCAAACAATTTGCTTTTGGCTCTCCCTTGGAAGAGTTGCTCAGCATTATAAATCAGGTATTACTGCCATGAGATTTACAATGCAGAAACTGCATGTTGTTGTATGGGAAAATGTTATCAGTAGACGGAAAGGGTCAGAATCTGCATATCGTGGAACTACAGCAGACACAGAAAACTGTACGACACAAACGTGTGGGTTTTTTTTACACAGTTCCAAAGTTCTTCAACTCTACAACTAGAAGCCACTATTCCTTGCCTCTGCCTCCCAAAGTATTTTGTGGTCTGTTAAGTTTGTGTGAGAAAGGCTATCAGTTCTAATCTTACGCACCACTCTTTGTAATCTACATCGCACATTTGTTCCTTGCAACATCCAACAGGAAGCCAAGACAACTGTTTAGGAATACAGAGCATATAAAGAAGCAACAGGAACTCCCCACTCCCCCGGGGCAGTTTAGGCAGTTTATAAATCAATCAGTATGAACTGGGAAATAATGCAACTGAGAGAATATACTCTAACACAGTCAACAGTTTATTTTAGTCCAGACTGGATGAGGCTGTCTAGGTATTTGTTCCGCTGACCCCTTCAAGACCCAGTTTGAACTGATGATGGTTCCAATGCACCTTCCTTTCTATGCATGGAACAAAAGCGGCAATGAAGCCAATATGCCTGGCCTTTATGTCAAGCAGGAAGCACAAAAAGCAGGTGCTCCTTTTGTGTATCCCTCCCTTCTTCAGCTTTCTTATAAACAACAACCATTTCAAAGCAGTTGTGGCCTTGCCTTCGTAGAACATAATAGTGGCCAAGAACAGTTCTGCATCGAGTGGAAAGCCATCTTAAGTAGGGTTGACATATTTCAAAAAGTGAAAATCCAGACACAAAAGTTGTTGAGCTGTTGGGGTGTTTTTTTGTTTTGCAAAATCTTTAAAAAATGAAGTTTCTGAGCTACTTTTAAAATGAAATCCGCCAAAAATCCACACTTCCGACATGGGTTACGCCTGGATTTTCCAGGACATTTCAGAGATTTTTGCCCGTACGCTGTTTCTGAAGGCCAAATTCCGGATGTGTGTGACAACCCTATCTTAAGAGTAGAAGTAATCATTAGCCAATCTTTTGGGCAAATGTGCCACATGTTTAGTCCAAAACATGAGATAATGGCACTCTAGTCTGCACTACACAGGACAGAAAGCCCTCACACACAGTCATCTTATTATTTTGCATCTACTGAATATAATTTTGGAAAGGCAAGCGAAAGGGCAGGCCTTATTAAGCCATGTTCAAGCCCAAAGACCTTCCCAATTTTTCACAGACACCACCTACTCTACTGGCACCACTGGTATCATTTCGCCACCAATTATTTAACAGAGGCTATTTCATGATCTGGGGCATTTTGCTAACTTTTAGGTGCAAAATTGATATTCACTTGGTCTTCCTAAGAACTTCCATTTAGGTCAGCTCCATCCAAACACATGATTTAGTCACCTATAATTATTTTTAAAGGTTTCTCTATTGTATCCTTTGCTTTTAATGATGATACTTTTATATATATTTCGTTTTTATTGTTTTGTGGATTTTAGCCGTGCTTTATCTATAACTTTATTTAACGACCACTTAGGACTTTTTGGGTCAGCAGTTTATAAATAAATAAATAAATGCTCTGCCTGCTGTATACTGCTGGTTTTTAAACATTGTTGTAACTCTTGTATACAAACATTTCAATTTCTTCTTTTGGGTTTTTTTAAAAAAAATTGTTAGGTGCCTTGGGAAATTTTTAATGGAAGGCTGGATAAAATGTTTTAAATGAACCCCCACCCCCCACCAATTTTTGCTTATAGTGAAGATTTTGGTGAAGGCCTGTCCAAAAGTGAAGGGATGAAGAACAGAAGAGAGAAGTGGCTTCAAAAATAGGGTTGGGAAGGTGAAAAGTTAGGTTAGTAGTTGTATGGAGTGGGAGGTGTGTGTGTTAATGTGACTTGTTAAGCGGAGCACCTCATAACAATATAAATACACATTAGGGCAGATCTTCAATAGGTAAAGCTTTGTAGTATCCTATTTATAGCAGCTTAAAATATAAACAGGACCAGTTTTTTTTGTTTTGGTTTTTTTTTAAAGATCAGGAGTACCATACATTGATTTGTCTTTCAAACTTGAAAATTGCAGGCATGCACACTAACTTCTATTTCTTTCCTATGTTTTGCTGAGTCATCTGTGAATGTCTCCCTCATTCAGTTGGCCAAAAGGTTGTAGTCGCATTGTGTATGCCACAACTTTAAAAGGAAGATTAACTTACAAGGTTAACCATAGCATGCCTATGAATGTTTAGAGAAGCAAAGTGAGAGGGACCATTAATCGTGTGGAGGGCAATTTTTATTATTATTTGCATTTATTGACTATAGAGTTGTCTAAGATATGCACTACAAGTCCGAATGCGATTCTGAGGAAATTCCTGCTTCAATATTTTTTTTTAAATATATTAAATTAAATTACATCCCTTTGAAGTTGTGACATTTCGTTGTCTTAGGGGAACAATGCCATGTTTGGGATGGAATGCTGAGTAAAACTCATAACTGCCCTCATCCATCTGCCTAGGATGTCTTCTCTAGCTCTCCCTCTGGGTTTTGAGACTTCAAAAGACGATCTATAAATTTTATACCTCTTTACAAAAGTCAGGTCTGAAATTCTTGGAATCCCAAATTGCATTAAGATTCATTATAAGGTGTTTATGTAACGCAGAAAAATGTGTTCTGTCATCCTGAAGTGCTGAACAACTCCAAAAGAGAAGATAAAAGTGAGGTGTAAACATTAGCAGATCCTAATTTTCCACAGAGTATCACAGAAGCAGAGTACTGATTTGACGAAAAAGCTGCGTTCCTATGCTTGTTTATCTGGGAATAAACCTCACTGTACAATGGGACTTGGCCACTATTCTTCCTTATTCTCAAACTACTCTTCAATTATTAGGAGGTTTTAAAAAAAATTAAATAGTCTGCAAAAGAATAGAATTATAGGATGTAGGCTGCAATTCTTATGCAGTGGTACCTCGGGTTACAAACGCTTTGGGTTACAAACTCCGCTAACCCGGAAGTAGTACCTCGGGTTACGAACTTTGCCCCAGGATAAGAACGAAAATCGTGCAGCCGCGGTGCGGTGGCAGCAGGAGGCTCCATTAGCGAAAACGCACCTCAGGTTAAGAATGGTTTCGGGTTAAGAATGGACCTCCGGAACGAATTAAGTTCGTAACCCGAGGTACCACTGTATACATTTGGAAATACCTGTCCCCCACAGCCCAAATTGCTTTCCTTCCCCCCCCCAAATACTTTTTATTGCTTTTTTGTAACAACAAATAAAACAAATAGTCTTATATTCAAAAATTTGTATGTCTTCTTATTTACCCTGCACCTTATTGCGCCCGGACTTCCTTCTATCCCTTCAATGGTTTTCATGTCTCAAATCTTTTCTTACAGTTTCTTATTTACACTCCATCTACATCACAAGATTTACATTAATCCTGCTACAGTTTTTAAATTCTTACAATTACTCCGTATATATTCAACAAATTTACTCCAATCCTTTTTGAACTTTGCTTCTTTTTGGTTCCAAATCTTATAAGTCAATTTCTCCAATTCTATGTATTCAAACATTTTTGTCTGCCACTCCATTAAAGTTGGGATTTCGTGGGATTTCCATTTCTGAGCCACTAAGATTCTAGCGGCGGTCGTTGCATACATGAATAGTTTGTAATTTTCCTTTTTTAATTCATCCCTTGTTATCCCTAGCAAAAATGCTTCTGGTTTCTTTGGGAAAGTGTATTTAAATAGTTTTTTCATTTCGTTATATTTCACGTCCACCACGTGAAAAAATTCACCGTCTTTTGTTTTACAAAATTTTACAAATTGCTCTCCAAGCAGGTACTGGACTGCAAACACTTGAACTCGCACATAAAATAAGTTCTTAATCTGCAACTCCCTATATTAGAATGGGCATCTGGGATATGGATCCCATTCACAAGAGGGCAGGGCAGTTAGCCTGCATCCTTACATTGGATGCAAATTCATTTCAGATGTATATCTGAATCTTTACTGTATGTCCACAGTTCCGTTTCCACCAGCAAGTGATACGCACCTGTAGGCTGTTTGTATGCACAGATGTCCTTAGCTGGATTGGAGTATAAATGTTTAATGCAAGATGGTTGGATATTGATTTCTCAAGTGAGTTTAATGATTGTTAAAGGTGCTGTTGATAAAAAGGCAAAGCAGGAATTCTGCTATAATCTCAAGTGAGATGGGCCATACAGAAGTCCCAGGCACCTCTGAATCGTTGCTGATTTGTATGATTATTCATACACACCAGTGACAAAGCTGCATCTCCCAGCTGCTTCTGTTGAAATCTATTATGTTCATGTTTTGGACAACGTGTACTGCTGCTACATTTTAGAACAGTGATATTTTCGCACAAAATATATCATTTGTACAAGTATATCACGTTTCTTGATGGCAGAAAGGAAAGAATACAGATAGATCAACATTCACGTTAAGAGTGGAAATGCATAAAAAAATAGGACTGAAATAGTAAAGTCATTTAAAAACTAAAAGCTGTTTTGTTTTCAATGCAAGAACTTATGGAAATTTATTTCATAAATAAATTAAGATGAAAAATCTAAATAAATCAAATGTTACTGGACTATTACACCTCTAACGCACATAATTCTTACAATTCATAATTCTTAATTCAGTTGGGTTAGATGTTCCAAAACATTGTCAGATTATGGATGTTATCAAGTCATGAGGAATCATTAAATGAAGAATGTTAAAAACACTGAAACAGTAATTACCTACGATCAGCAAAAAAGCCCCGCATAAACCAAGTGGTTCAAGATAACTAAAAGAAACCAAAGTGAGCAAAAATTATAATCTTTGGCTTACCTCATGATTGAGCTCTGCTATCTGATCTTTCAGTTCTCGGATATACTGACTTGAGTCGGAATTATTAAGCTGTCCTTGAAATTTCCCTTCTTCTTTCTGTTCCAGAAAAGATTAAAAGAAAAGAAGGTTGATCAGGTAGTACTTTATTTCCTTTTATACAATTTCAGAAAGGTGGAGTCAGAAGATAACATCATACTTAGAATACACCACTGAAATCAATGAATTAAGTTATTGATTTCCACAGATCTGCTCCAAGTATGACTTACTGGATACCACCCAGTGCTTTCCAGGTTTATATAATGTACTGTATTACCTTTGTTTTCTTTATTATTAAAAAAACCTATGCTTATAACTACATTAAAAGAACAGAATTTAAACAGAATACAAACATGCATTCTATTTCAGAAATAATACTACCCTTCAACCGCAGAACTCAGGGCAGTTCACAAAAAAACTATATAAAAGCACAAAATACATGATAAAAACAGGAACAAAAAAACAAACCAACTAATATCCCCAGCCACCTCCCATAAACGCATTTAAAAGGAGTATAAAGTAAAATTAAAGTAAAAAGGTAGCGGTTGGGACAAAGAATCTATTTCAAAACCTTTTAACAATAGAATAGTAATTAATTATTCTCATCAAACCTGACTTCAACACAGCGACAAAATACAACATATTTTAATTAGCCCCAAATCTGTGGGATAACCAGCCTCATATAACCAACATGCTTTATTTAATGCCATATAAACCTTAAAACTTTTCCGACTCGTTTTCATATTTCGGAAGTAATTTATACTTTCCTGAAATATAGCAATGATAATAATTTATTATTTATACGCCGCCCATCTGACTGGGTTACATTATTAGTGTTCATTGAATCAGAGTTGGAAGGGATACCGAGGGTCATCTAGTCCCACCCCCTGCAATGCAGGAATCTCAGCTAAAGCATCCATGACAGGTGGCCATCCAACCTCTGCTTAAAAACCTCCGAGGAAGGAGAGTCCACCACCTCTTGTTAGAGTCTGTTCCACTGCTGAACAGCTCTTACTGTCAGAAAGTTTTTCTGATTGTTCAGTCGGAATCTCCTTTCTTTCAGCTTGAAGCCTAAACATACCCAGTTCCTTCAAGCACTCCCCATAAGGCTTAGTTTCCAGACCCTTGATGATCATCTTGGTTGCCCTCCTCTGCACATGTTCCAGCTTGTCAACATCCTTCTTAAATTGTGGTGCCCAGAACTGGACACAGTATTCCAGGTGTGGTCTGGCCACGGCAGAATAGAGTGGAATATCAACTACCTTTCACTAAGAGTAGATCCATTGAAATCAATGGCCACAACTCCGATATGCAATAGGTTTTGAAACCAAGCACGCTGATCCCTCAGGATAAGTCTGGTTTGTTAATCAAAATGTGATTTTTAGAAAGTGCACAAATACTTAATTGTATGCTTCTGTTTTTGGTAGCCACAGAAGCCACAGAAAGGAGAGATTCTATATAGGCTTGGGGGGGGGGGGGAACCTGCTTGCCAAAGGCTTGGCCATGAGAGATGGGGAATTCTGACTTCTTCTGAAAGCTTGGTGGCACATGAATCATGCTCACCTTTGGGGAAAACAGACATGCTCTTATTTCATAGCTAACTAATCGGATTATCCATAGTTAAGTGGGGGAAAATGGGTTGTGGAAGTTAAGCTATCTTGCAGCCTTTTCTCAGTTTGGTCTGCTTTATGAACTTTTGCTATTACATGGTGATGACATTTTACACTGAACACATAAATTAAGTTTATTCATTAGGGCAGTTGTGGGGGATGCATGGCCTTTTGGTGACTGGGATGATTCATTTTAGGTTTTCAGAAAACGCATCACACTGCTGAAGAGTACAACAAGAGTTTCCTGTAATTGCAAAAATAGAAATTCTCTCTTTAGAACTCTGCAAGTCCTGGATATTAAAGAAAGGTGCTATAAGATATAAAGACAGGCTTCTTTCCATGAAAGGTAAGAGTTTACTGTTGGGAAGGTGCCTTTAGTTTTTCCTTAAAAGTGAATGCTGGAGGCCACAGATAAATTTGTTCTGCAGAACATGCTAAACCTGAACACTGACAAACAGAAGCATTTCTTGTGTGAAGTTTAACTTTTTGTACTTTAAAAAGCATGAAAAAACATATTAACACACACACACACACACACACACACACACACACTTTTGACTAATTTATATATGTAAAAGAAGAAAAAGATTGAGATCCTAGTATCAGTATAAATACTCTCAATTAAATCCTCTTAATTTGGGGTTCAAAAAATAGGGTCTTGTCTTATACTTGGGGGTGTCTTATACATGGAAAAATATGGTAGTTAGAACAAGAACGTATTCAAATTACCGTAGATCAGCGTTTCCCAAACTTGGGTCTCCAGTTGTTGTTAGACTACAACTCCCATCATCCCTAGCTAGCAGGACCAGCAGTCAGGGATGATGGGAATTGTAGTCCAAACGCTGGAGACCCAAGTTCGGAAAATACTGCTAGAGATGGACATGTTAGTTGTATCCACATAAAGCATAAATTAAACCCTCACCTTTGTTTTGCTTGGGATTTCTTTTTTTTTTTTGGAGGGGGGGGAAGAACCCAACACTTTTAGCTAATCCTCCCGACAACCTCCCCAAACTGTGATTTAAATTAGGGACTTGATTGTAATTTCAGTAGTAATGTGGGTGTAGCAATACTAGGGGCACTTTAGATGTTTAATGCCAACGTGTCTTACACTTACACCTAAACTCTTCACAGAAAGCTGTATGCTTTAAGGTAATTGCTATGACCCAGCTCTGACCCTGAAAGTGGAACTCCTAGATTCTCAAATGAGTAAAACTACTTTGAAGAAGAAATGCATCTGATACAATTATTTTTCCATTGCATCTTTCGTATGCCTCCCGACCAAGGAGTTAGCTAGCAGTTTGTGTTTTCAATTGCAATCTTTTTATCGTGTGTGCATATATGTTTGTTGTACACAGCTCTGCCTTTTTAAAAAATGTAGTATATGAGTATTTTTTTATTATTATAAACAAGTGAATAAATTTGGAACAGTTTTAAGAAAGAGCTATGAACTATAGGCTTCTGAGCAGCAGGCACACTGCACATAAAATACAGTGGTACCTCAGGTTACATACGCTTCAGGTTACATACGCTTCAGGTTACAGACTCCGCTAACCCAGAAATTGTGCTTCAGGTTAAGAACTTTGCTTCAGGATGAGAACAGAAATTGTGCTCTGGTGGTGCGGCGGCAGCAGGAGGCCCCATAGGCTAAAGTGGTGCTTCAGGTTAAGAACAGTTTCAGGTTAAGAATGGACCTCCAGAACGAATTAAGTTCTTAACCTGAGGTACCACTGTACTTTGCTGCAATTTTATAAGACTTGAAGTACTGTATCACTGAAGGGATTAGTTCCTTATGCTTAGGTAGAAGCAGCAATTAGATTTTGGCAGGGTAGGAAGTGGCCGCCAGGATTTTGGTTTCAGAATCTTCACAGAAGTTTGACTTAAAAGGAAAGCTCTGTGGCTTCCTCAGAGAAATTGTTTTGAGGCAAGTCAATGCTATACTCTCAACATTATAATTATTATTAATAATCAAATTAAGTGCTGTGTTTTAAGACACAGTTTAGCAATGTCTTCTCAGTCAGCAAGTGTAATAAAGGACCCCTGGACGGCTAAGTCCAGTCAAAGGTGACTATGGGGTTGCAGCGCTCATCTCATTTTCAGGCTGAGGGAGCTGGCGTTTGCCCACAGACAGCTTTCTGGGTCATGTGGCCAGCATGACTAAACCACTTCTGGCACAATGGAACACCATGACAGAAGCCAGAGTGCACGGAAACGCCGTTTACCTTCCCGCCACAGCAGTACCTATTTCTCTTCTTGCACTGGCATGCTTTTGAACTGCTAGGCTGGCAGGAGCTGGGACAGAGCAATGGGAGCTCAGTCCGACGCGGGGATTCAATCCGCTGACCTTCTGATCGCCAAGCCCAAGAGGCTCAGTGGTTTAGACTTTAGCGCCATCCATGTCTCAATGGGCCCTGCCCACTTCATGTACATCGTCATGCTTAGACTGGACAGCAAGTCTTCCCAACCCAGCAGCTAAAGAACTACAGTGGTACCTCGGGTTAAGAACTTAATTCGTTCCGGAGGTCCATTCTTAACCTGAAACTGTTCTTAACCTGAGGTACCACTTTAGCTAATGGGGCCTCTTGCCGCCGCCGTGCCGCCACCGTGCGATTTCTGTTCTCATCCTGAAGCAAAGTTCTTAACCTGAGGTAATATTTCTGGGTTAGCGTAGTCTGTAACCGGAAGCGTCTGTAACCTGAAGCGTCTGTAACCCGAGGTACCGCTGTACATCAGAACTGTTGTGTATGTACAGCCCCAATGCTATGTTTAACGCACTCTGAAGACTTGAACATACCTATATGCAAGTCCACTCACTTCTGCCTACTTTTGACTACTGAGCCATCAGTCAAGTGTCTTAACAGAGACCACTGAAAAGCACTTCTCTGTGGCAGTATTCCAAGTGGTCGGTGAATCAGTGTGGCATAGCATGGTTAGAACATAACACTAGGACCTGGGATGCCAAGGTACAAATCCCCACTTAAGCTGGCTAGGTGACTTTGGGAGAGTCATCCTCTTCTCTCAGCTTAATGTACCTGGCAGGGTGGTTACCAGGATAAAACGGAGAAGGAAAACCGTGTGCATTTTGGAAGAAGCAAAGTAAATAAAAATAAAATATATTATACTTTTTATTTTTAATAAAGCAGAATTCAAGTTGTAGGGTAGGAGTGAACAATGATTACGAGGCTCCTTTGGGCAGGGTATCAATTTAATGATAAATAAATAATATCAGCATAAAAAAGGTAAAGGGACCCCTGACCATTAGGTCTAGTCGTGGACAACTCTGGGGTTGCGGCGCTCATCTCGCTTTACTGGCCGAGGGAGCCGGCGTACAGCTTCTGGGTCATGTGGCCAGCATGACTAAGCCGCTTCTGGTGAACCAGAGCAGCGCACGGAAACGCCGTTTACCTTCCCACTGGAGGGGTACCTATTTATCTACTTGCACTTTGATGTGCTTTTGAACTGCTAGGTGGGCAGGAGCAGGAACCAAGCAACGGTAGCTCACCCTGTCGCGGGGATTCGAACCGCCGACCTTCTGATCGGCAAGCCCTAGGCTCTGTGGTTTAACCCACAGCGCCACCCGTGTCCCTCAATATCAGCATAACCGATAGTTAATGCAAGTGAGGCATCTAAAGGGGAGCTCACACATAAGGGCAATGGAACCCTGACGCCAATTCCATAAACGAGTGTAAAGGGCAGGCAGAATTATGTCTACACTGAGAGGAAATGTTAAAGAGTTACCCAATGTGTGTCAAACTGAAGGGGAAAAGAGTGAAAACACAAAGTGGTAGGAAGTGAAAAAACAAAACAAAGGGAACGGTTTACACTCTTACTTGGATTTCTAGTTCTGCAATATGTTGCTGGAGTTCTGCCACAGCTGCTATGCTATCTGCCTCTCGGAGCCTTACGGCCATAACTTCTTCTTTATTCTAGGAATAACAGGGGTGAGGAGGGAATAGAAAAAGTTCAGGAAAAAACGTGATTCCAAGTAAGTTACGGGTAGCAAGCTCAGATTTAAGGAAAAACTGATTTGAGCCAGAAGTATCCTTTTGCTCTAAATTCATTCAACAAGCTACTTCAAGAGACTGACTGACCACGCTATCAAAATAAATACAACAATATTAATGATTTATTGGCGTTGCGGACTCTCCTCCCCCAAGATTCCCTCCCCCCCTTTAAAACAATTCTACCTGTGAGGTTTTAGTAAGCAAGGATAGTCGGCCTGTGAATACAAGGATATATAAAACATTTTTGAATGATGCCGCTCTATCGCCAAGGAGAATGTGCAGCTGAAGGCAGCCTCTAAAGTTACATTTGCCATTGCAGATCTCTTTCCAGCATTCAAAACATAAGAAAATTTAATGCATGCTGAAGATACACCCTGATCTGCACTTCTGCAGTCTGAAGTAGTAAAAGCTGGTCTGTCCCCTACGTGTTACATTTCTGCTTTTCCCATGTGTGTGAGGGTACGTGCACAAGAAGCACAATAAAAAGGGACAAATAATTAAAAACAGGAAATGAACTGTACAATGCAGAATCTCATCCTGTCTTCAGAGGCACATCCTCGACATAAACAGGCATCCAATTAGCATTTGCTTCGCCCTCAAGGTTTATTATAAAACTGTACATTAGACCCAGTTGTTGCAGATGAATATACACACTCCTTACAAACGGTGCACGATTAAAATGTAAGGCGATGACTAGTTTTAGGATGATAAATGGTGCCAGAAATCACCAAATGTCCTTAGATTTTTGCCTATGGCACCTCTGCTGACAATGGATTCTGTAATCCATCAAAACACTGAAATTGAACTGAACAACTTGCATTTTACAAATATGAGGCAAACACCCTGAGTACGGAAATACACAACTCTCTTAATCATAAAGTGAAAGGGTTTTAAAAATCAAACGTGATGTCAGCTTGTTTAATACAATTCTGTAATATAAATCAAATATCCATCCTGAGAAAGCCTGCAGGTAGAATTTGCTAGTTCTCCAAGATATCTTGGTTTTAAAGTACACAGATAGTGTTCACTGCATTTCTGTTTTGGGTTACCTTGCATTCAATCTCTGCCTGCTTTCGCTTTGATTCCGTCAGCTGAGCCAGAAGTCCTTTGTTTTGAGCGGACAGATACTGGACCTTCCCTTGCAAACTGGAAATCTCTTGTTCTGCCCTCCGCAAATGGTTGCTATTTATCTGGTTCTGATGTTTAGGAGCGATAACAAGGGGGAGAAAGATAACAAGGGGGATTACGTTAGCCTTGACCTCAGTCTTCTTATACATTTGCAGTAGTAAATATGTGAAAGCTAGTGCAAACCTAAGGCTTGTAACTTCCACTAGCAAAGCAAGACAATGATCATTTACTTGCTTCTGCAACAGTTTGGTCAGTCCCAATCTATTAACTGTGAAAAACCTTTCTTGGGGGGGGGGGTATAATTAATCAGTAACAGTGAATTAATTGAGGGAAAGGGTCAGAATTGATGGGAAGTTAATTCCAGCAACAACAACAAGAAAAGACAGACACCAAGGAGGGAAAACAGACTCACTCGCTCACAGGAAAAACCTCAAAAAAAACCCCACAAAAAACAGGATTCGCTACAAAACAGAAACAACAATCACACAAATAAACCAGAAACAGTCAGAAGAGCACCAGTGGAAAGAAAGGTCTACTTCAAGGAAGGCAGAGGAAAAAACCCAACTGTTACTCTTAAGGGAGGAGCAACTTAGAAGTTTCTCTAAGCGTTGGTGTTTTTTCCCTGCTTTCAGGCGAGTGGAGGATAACAATCCCCACTCAGTGGTGTACTAGTACCCACTCAAGAACGAAAAGTTACACCTAGCAGTATTTTTGATGTACTTGTTTTTTTGTGTGTGTGCTGCTTATATGAATGTGCAGCTTATTCAAAACAAGATACTTGTACTCAACATTAAGGGCTTACACACATCTCTCTTATGAAACATATTGCACATGTGATCAGATAGAACAATTGCACCCCCTACAGGCTGAAAGTACTGTGGAAACCAGTGACTTTTTGCTGCATAACAGAAAAAATAATATTAAATAGATGGGTTTTTAGTTTCGGTACTGATGTTTATTAACATGCTATACAGTTATTTTTACTGATGGAGGCTGCTCAATGGTTTTAACAGCTGCTTCTCGTTTTCTGCTACTTTAATTTGGTTTTTATGTATTGCCTTACGGTTATTCGCTACCTTTTATATGGAAGATAAGTCTTAGACAGCGCTTTTGTTGCCAGAGAGCATATACTGGCAGGAGAAGCTGGATCAAAACAGTTTCATGCCAACAAAACATATTGCCTAAGAATCCACATATTTCCACCCAGTAATCAATTTTTTTAGATCAGTTTAGGTATGATATAAGTGTCAGTCTATCTAGGCTGACCTCACTATATTCTAAGTGACTTCAAAAGTGGCACCACATTTTCAAGATTGGACAAACTCCACACACTATTTATTACAGGTTAGAAAGTACAATAGTATCATTAAAGATTTCTCTTCTCTACTGGTCATTACCAGCATCCTTCAGACATTAGTAGCACTTCGAACTTATACACTGGATCTGAATAAGATCTACTCAAAGTAAACCTATTGAAATTAATAGACCCAAGTTAGTCATGTCCATTAGTTTCACTGAGTCTGCTCTCAATGGACAGAGCTCTATACTTCCCAACCCTGCTTCCAAACCCAACATACTACATTTAGCTATGCAAGCGATTTTCATACTTTGTCCTTAGGGAATAATTTCCATGCAATACCTGACATTCAGTTTCCTCTGGGTGACGAGTGACCTTACCTGTGTTTCCATTTCCATCATCCTTTGCTTTACTTCTTTCAGCTCGGCTTGTGTTTCTGCTTCTCGGAGCCTGACGGTCATCAGTTCATCTTGCAATTCATTTACAGCGTTCTTTTTCGGGGGGTCTTTCCACCTCCCAGTAGTGCGAACTAGATGGCGCTAAAAACATTGCTATGTTTTAACAAAATCCCCAACTTGAATTAAAATAAAAAATAAATCTTCAACTGGCATAAGGATGCAGGAGAATTCATTCAACTTGAGTAACCAAAAGCAGGAAAAATATGGAACACGGAGATTAAAAGCAGCAAATTTTCAGCAGCCGAGCACTAAACTGTACATATACTCATAAGGACAAAAAGGCACATCAATATCTTGAATGTTTTTGTTAATGATTTAAAAAATTCCCCAGCCGTTGAAATACTTACGGTCTCCTCATATTTTCTCACTCTAAGGTTTAAATTGCTTAAGACAGCATTATTTGAAATCCTTGGCAACTGATCACTAAAAGCTACTCTAAGATTATAACGTATAGTTGCTTGGGCATTACTCTCATTGAACTACTCAGTGGAAGTTAAAGGTAAAGGTAAAGGGACCCCTGACCATTAGGTCCAGTCATGATCGACTCTGGGGTTGCAGCGCTCATCTCGCCAGCATGCTCTGGCGAACCAGAGCAGCGCATGGAAATGCTGTTTACCTTCCCACCGGAGCGGTACCTATTTATCTACTTGCACTTTGATGTGCTTTCAAACTGCTAGGTTGGCAGGAGCTGGGACCAAACAACGGGAGCTCACCCCATCGCGGGGACTTGAACCGCCGACCTTCCGATTGGCAAGCCCTAGGCTCAGTGGTTTAGACCACAGCGCCACCCTCATCCCTCCAGTGGCAGTTACTTCTGAGTAAATAAGCTTCAAGACATTCTGCTAACACAGAAAACTGCATATTTCGCAGAAAGTTTATAGCTATCTCAGCTGCAGAGGCAAATGTAAAAACCTGCATTTGCTAAACAGGGGATCAAAATGAATGGCTCTCTGCAACTAGAACTCACTCACTTGCTGTCTCTTCTCATGATCCCCAGCCTCTTCAAACATCCCTCTTGTACACTAGCTCTCTGCATGTCCAGTTTACACAATGCATTGTTGAATCAACTTTAGCCCTAGGTCTTAGGGCTAGGTCTATAGCCTTACCTGCCAGTGTTCCTCCAAATCTTTAACTTGTTGTCTAAGTTCTTTTAGACCCATCAGAGCTTCTGCTTCTCTTAGTTTCACTGCAATCAATTCTTCTTGAAGTCTAGCAATATTGTTCTCATCAGGGAAAGAGCTGTTCCTCTGCAAACAAAGCAAGCTCTTAAGAAACCGAGAGTATAAGGCAGGCTATTTGCATTAAACAATACGTGACGTAAGTGAAAGAAACGCAAGGGTCATCTAGCTCAAACCTCTTGCAACTGCGTAATACGTTTGAGGTGGCATTTCAGAAATACAAAGCACGGAAAGAACCCCCCAAACTTGAAGGACATTAAAATCTTCACAAATGAAAATGCGTTGGCTCAATGGGCTTAAAGTTTCGGTGAAATAAAACTCTCTATCTTGAGCAGGATCATTATATAAGGAAAGGGGACCTGCTAGCCTATTAGTTAGTTAGTTCATAAAATTTATACACTGCTTGATTGTAAAAAAATAAAAGTAAAAGCTCAAAGCAGTTTACAAAAAGACAAAACAATAAAAATCAAGGGGGGTGGGGAATACAAACCTACTCTAAGACATACAAAATTTAAAACATTAAAACGGGTTAAAGTTATCTCAACTTTCTAAGCATCTAGGTAAGGTAAAGGGTAAAGGGACCCCTGACCATTAGGTCCAGTCGTGGCCGACTCTGGGGTTGCGGCGCTCATCTCGCTTTATCGGCCGAGGGAGCCGGCGTACAGCTTCCGGGTCATGTGGCCAACATGACTAAGCCGCTTCTGGCGAACCAGAGCAGCACACGGAAACACCGTTTACCTTCCCGCCGGAGGCGTACCTATTTATCTACTTGCACTTTGACGTGCTTTCGAACTGCTAGGTTGGCAGGAGCAGGGACCGAGCAAGGGGAGCTCACCCCGTCATGGGGATTCGAGCCGCCAAACTTCTGATCGGCAAGTCCTAGGCTCTGTGGTTTAACCCACAGTGCCACCCGCGTCCTATCTACCATCTAGGCAGGTTCGTCTAAACAATAACATTTTTCGCATGCACTGAAAAGAGTAAAGCGAAGGCGCCTGCTTGATCTCAATAGGCAGGGAGTTCCGAAGTGCAGGTGCTGCCACACGAAACGACCCGAGTTCTTACAAATGCGGAACAGTTTTATGTGCCAATTCTGTCAAATGGGCCCATGTGGGATAAGGCGATTTTGTTGCTACGGGCTTTAGATACTAATAGCAGGCCTTTGGTTGATCTGATTTACATCCTATGGCCTTTTAAAATGTTTTTTTTTTTTTTTTGGAGGGGGCTATTGGGTTGTTGTTTTTATTTTTATTAGGTATTTTGTGGTTTTATATCTTGATTTTATTCTGTGAACTGCCCTGAGACCCCCGGAGTATAGGACGGTATATAATTCAATAAACAACACCAACACCTTGAACTTGGCCCGGTAGCAGCACGCAAGAATTCAATATGGATAAAACAGGCAGGCAGAACGATAGTCCATGCTAAAAGCAGCTTGCCTGAAGTTTAAAGAGAGAACCTCTCTAGGGAGAGTTCCTAAAAGTGGGAGCTTCAATAGAAAAAGCCTCGTCTTGTGCCCCAAACAACTGTGCTTCTGAGTAGGACACACACTCTTCCCCATGCTAAATGTAGTTGTGCCAAAAGGGACCTACGTTTTACAGAATGTTATGTTAAATTCACTTAAAATCACTCTGCAAAGCATTCTGGTTTGGACTTGCCTTTTCCATCTCAAGAACCTTATCTTGCATTTCCTTCAAGGCACAGTGGGATTCTGCTTCGCTCAGCCTTGCTTGCACCAACTCTTTCTCCAGCTGCAGAACGAAGTCTTCACTATAGCGGGAGCTGCACTTTTGCTATATGGAGGGAGTAAGTTCAGCATTAAATGAGAGGAAGCAGTGGCATTAAAAGTGCAAGCGTGCTCAGAAAGCAAGAGGATGCAATGGGGAGGGGTGCTGCTGCTGTGAACTATGAAGGTTTTCCCCCCTCAGGCATTTTCATTCAGACTTACACACAGACAAAGTTTATTCCCACTAGGGAGCAGACACTAAAAAACAGCAACAACCTGCTAACTTAGGAACCAGTCCTATTTTACAGTGATTTTTATAATACCCCAAACCTGAAGTTTAAGTAGCGCAGCAGGTTGCTTTTTTTAAAGCTGTGGAAACACCTCCAGTTTTCTGAGGTTTTGTTTTGGTCATCCTATGAGTCAGAACTTTTCAGCGTTTTGTGGCGCCACTGCAAGTTTGTCCCTGTTGACAAACTAGACCCAATCTTCAAGATACAACAGGGGCTATTTTAAGGATTAAATATTTTTACTTTGCCAGCTAGCCATTAAGTCATTGTGTTCTCCCAAGTACAGTTCATGTTGAGTCAGCCAGTCTGCTGTGGTGACTAATGAAAGGCTGGGCCTTGCAATTCCAGGCCATCTTTATTTGGCAAAGCCGCTAGAGCTATTCTCCTGAAAGCACAATGGAGCTTCACGGAGCACTTCCTGGAAACTACTCTTCATGGCAACAGATCTGCATTTGCGCCTCTGTTGCTGAGGATCTAGCTAAAAGGTTATTGTAATGGATCTCCCTCAAGCCTTTCACCAGCGATATCACCATCGCCGCATTCAAGATGTCACCATTTACTGCAAGTCGCAGCCAATAAACCGGAGAGTTTAATGACAGAATCCCAAAGGGTTATGCATTGAACAATTTAATACAGTACAATAGCACATTGTTTTTACACTGTAGGTTAGTGGAAAGATGTACGAGAAGCAAAGGCATGTAAGTAATGGGGGTAAGTATTTTCTTCCTGGTTTTCCCCGTAGGGCGGGGAGGAGAGAAAGAATGTGTTTAAATCTGCAAAGCTTATTTTGGCAAACTTAAACTTACTGCTTAAACAAAAAACTACCGTCTACAACTTAGCATATAGAATTGTGTTTCGTTGATTTATGTTTACAGACAAATTCTAAGGATGTTTGCTCAGAGGACCCTACTTTCGGTTAGTGGCACATAGGCCCAGGTAAGTATAGACTGCAGCATCGAAAATATGCTAACTTTGACACTGCAATTCTATACCTGCCTACTCGGAGTAAGGCCCATTTCCCCCCAATGCTGGCTAGCGCTGATGGGAGGACAACATTTGGAGGTTTCCCAATTCTGGTGCACAGGATTGCAGAGTGAGGTTTCTTTTGTACAAGCAAAAGGTACGGGGAGGTGCAGCAGACACGCTTCTAAGCAGCAGATCGTAAGAAAACAAAAGGTCCTGTCTGTCTTTCTCGTGAAAGCAGCAACACTCTCCACGTGTAGAAATGCATATTAGAGCTGAGCGACCTGCGTTTCTACAATGCACCCAGGATTTACCATTCTCTAATGCTGTGGGGACTGCCTTACATTTGAAAACAAAAGTTCCTACGATGCATTTTGAGCGAATAAAATCTCATATCAAAAAGCATTTCACTCATTCCAAAAGAGAAAATATTTCATAGAGCTTCGGGGAGGGTGTGTGTGTGTGTGTGTGTGTGGAGATTGCAGTGCCACCTAAGTAGATACAACGGAATCTCCGTTTAAATGAAATTTCTTGAATCTCCGTTTAAATGAAATTTCAGTGGCATGCACTCCCAAGAGACAGAAGGTCTGAGAGTCAGGTAGTTGGAAACTAAACTTAATGAGCCTGCTTTTAGAGAAGTGTGTGATAAAAATGGGAAGGGTTCCAAAAATTGGGCTTTTTCAGAATCTCAGTGTTGTTGTGTGTGTGTTTTTTAAAAAGCTATGCTGGCCCCTCTTCTTATTCTTTGTTTTATACCTCAATCCACACTGTATGTAAGAATTGCTTTTTAACCTCCTTATTCTCCCAATCACCTTGAGACAGTGACTTATCCAAGGCCATCTCCATTTGATTCATAGATAACTAAGGAGCTACAACCCCAATATTTCAAATACCAAGCAATTCAAAATTATTTCATGGTAACAATCATCCACCAAGAATGGGAAAAGAAACACAAAGCCTAGAAATTTGGTGAGTATAATAATCTCCCCTTAGATTCCCCAGGAATACAGCCTCTGTCTTTACACTTGCGCAACAGTCTCCAACACAATCGTAACACAACACTATAGTAATCCAAATCAATTATTCAGACTAGCTATATTTCTATTCCTTCCCCTGTCCCCCATCAGATGTATTCATTTACATGTATATTTTAATACCTATGAAAATGTCGTTTTTAGTTTCACATTTCATTACAAGACGTATATTCAACACATAAATAAAATTTGGGATTATTCCATACATATCTATTGATTACGAGAAAGCTAAAGAACAAAGTAGGCAGTTTCTAGTTTTGGTTGGGTTCCAATAATATTACTTGTGAGAAACAAATTATGGGACAAAATTAAAATCTTCCAAGATCAATGATCTTTCACATAAAGTTTATTATTCAGGGCAGGCTAGAATTATGTTATCATAATTAGTTCTTCCAGTAATGAAGTCACTCACTTGCATACACACACACACAAAATATTTTCTTAAACAACAGCCAGGCAAATTGAGAGCACATGTTTTACCCAAGGAAACAATCATACTGACATTATCTCAGTATTTTAAAGTATGAGATTGAAACCACAGGTATCTATTTAAAAAATAAAAATAAAAATGTCAAATTATTGGTTGTACAGCATCATCTTAAGCACATTCACCTGTCAGTCACACAAAGTTCAATCGCCTTACTGCCTAAGTGGTCAAATTTAATTTCTCTTTTTTCCCACTAGGTGGTGCCCTAAAATTTTGAAACGGCCCTGAAAACTACTGTGCTAAGGATGATCAACCTAAAGGCCTGCTGTCAGCTCAGGCTACAGATAGAGGAGGAATCCATCTTTAAGCAGATTTAAGGTTTGGTTATTCCAACCCAACCAAGCCCTGTTTTGCATTGAACTGTGTCCTCCGTTCAAGTTCCTTATGCATCACCAAGACACTCAGTTCCCATCATCTCTATGGCTATATTGGTTGCTAGTGATACGAGTTGGGAGTCTAACAACCTCCAGAGGGTTAGGAACCCCTTAATCTAATTATTAAAAACAGGCTAATTCATTTTTTCTTAATTTTTATCCATGCATATATCACAGAAAGCAATATATTTAAGAGAAACAGAACAGAGATCATGCCATGTCCAACAGAAATAACCAGAAGTGAATGAGAAAGATAAGAGATTAGGTTACTACCAGGTACCTTACCCCTTGTTGCTGTTGCTGGAGCTCCCTGATGGTATTTTCAGCTTGCTCCAGTTTAGTAATGGCCTCATTACTCTGCTGTTTGATGGTGGCCAGCTCCCGTTTTATGAGGTAGTTTTCCTCAGCCTCCTGGGCCCTTGTCACTTGTCCCTTAGGACATAATTTTCTTTTTAAAGCAATTGGAGGACCGATCCAGGGAAGACCGAGAGTTTTACATATTTATTCTGCCATATGGTTAAAATCTTGCAAATCATCACAGAACTGTTACAGCCAGTACATCAATTTAGCAAAGTAAAGGCAGTTTAGCACTGCATCGCATTAAATGCTTTTAGTATCCGCTAGCAAGGTCAATTGTGTATTTGCATTCAGCAGAACTCTGTTCATGCATATATTACTCCATTGTGCATGCACATCTGTTAGAAGTTTTGTAGCTGGTCTACAGAATTAGTGCTGAAACAGAATTAGAGCCCAGCAATTACTCAGAATTTCAGGCGCCATTAGAATGAGCGTGCAGAGATATGCCTAAATATTATTCTAACACAGAGCTGCTAGATTATAGTTGTTTAAATTTAATAGGGTAGATATTCAGTTGTAAAAATGCATGTAGTTATTAATGCATGCATTAAAAACAGAAAGCTGTTTTTTTAGAATCGGAAAGAGTGAGATACTAAAGAAGTATATACCTGTATCAATCTATCTGCCAAGGAAGCACTTTCCTACAAAAAGGAAAAAAATTCAGATAGGAGTAAGAGGAAAAAAAGGAAAACCAAGTGACAAAATCAATGGTGGAGAATTATGCCCAAATTCTACCAACTTTCCATATGCAATGAACTCCCAAATATTCATTTTTTTTCACCCATTAAAGGTGGTACAGTTTAACAGCCCAATCTCAGCAGCACAGGCAAAAGACTTAATTCAGAAAAATAACACCGAGCTTCAAATTTAACAATATTCGTTTAAAGAGGGTAAGCTGTCTAACTTTCAGCTGGCAGTTTATTGAATGGAGCAAGCATTATATGCAAATTCATGTAGAGCTCACTTGATCAAGCTTTGAGAAGTGAAAGGAGGTATAATTTGAGCACTTTTCAAAGTTCAGCTAGTGAAGGGGCAGAACCATTTGTACAACAGCAGTATTTAAAAGGCAGGAGTCCAGTGATGCAAAATGTCAGGCACAAAGAACAGTGAATATATGCAAAGTATATCTGATCTGATTTCGGACAACTCTTATCACTAACGCTATTACAGTTTAATCTTCCCTTGCTCAGATTTTGCAGCAAACTAGAATCTTCACAGCAATCTAATAATCCAGGCAGCTTTCAACCTGGAAAGGTACAATTTAACCCATACACATCAGTTAGTTTACACCTCCCTTAATGCACTTACAAATTCACAGAGAGGGCAGAAACTGTTAACACATCCACATGAAAATTGCTGCATCAAGAAGCCAAATGAAGCTGTATCAGTAGAATTGGAAATGTATTAATTAGGATAAATTAGGTGGAAACTATCTTCAAGCTGAACGCACAATTGTTCTCTGAATTGAGATTTGTTTAAGAACAGAATTTCAATCTTGCTTTCCTACTTTTGTTTTATGACAGTAATGGCCGTTCTGTTCCCCTTGGAACCAGGAATGCACATTGGAAAAAGTTCACTTTCCACGCTTATGGGAAAAGACCAAACCTCACTCCCCACACAGGGAGAACTCCTCTTTTAAGTCACAAATGAAGACTTCTGCCAACTATAATTTCTAAAACTAGGAAGCTATAGCTGTAAAAGGCTTGAAGGCCTAGAAAAAAATACCAGAAACAGGAATCCAATCTATTCCTATCCAGCATCCACTAGAGATAGACAGCGTATTCTTTAGTCCAATTAATGGGAACAAGTATTCCAGAGCCAAGGGGAAAGGCCACAATATCATGAGATTATTGGGCAGAAGGAAATTTTCATATGACAAAGAAAAACCACGAGAAAGTGATTTGGGTGTAGAAAAACACGAAACCTGCCCTTTCAGAGTTGCCTCAATGCTTGAAGAAGAAACACCTGTATTAGAGATCAAGGAAAGCTTGCCTTCTACCAAAAGGATAGCCAGCCACTCTCATAACGGTTAACAAACGAGTATCGGTCTCCAGAAGCTTCTATGTCGTGCTACAGCAAGCTTGAAGTCTTGCAAGGTTGGCACATTGACAAGAAGGTGGCTGTCAGGGTCTCTAGGTGCAAAGGGCAATTGCAAGAGACTAGAAAACAGTCTATAGAACCTTTGGGAGGATTGGGTTAGATCTGGACTAGACATTTCCATAACCTGCACTGTTAGGATGCCATCGTTTCCTGGGCACTGGAAAGGTAATCATTGTGGATTTTGTTTGAGAACAACTTTGTACTGTCTTGGAATTCAGAACAATAAAGAAAAACACATCACAACCTTGCTCAGGACAATGTTACAAAAACCTCCTCTTTTTAAGAGAACCGCGTCCCTATCACTAAGGCAAAATGAAAAGAAAATAAAGAATTCATAATGGGTTCTCCTATTCCTCCAACTGCTCTTGCCCACTGAAAGAACTGAGAAATAAAAGCAGTAAAAGTATTACTGTACCATGGTAAAAGGTAAAGGTAAAGGGACCCCTGAACATTAGGTCCAGTCATGACCGACTCTGGGGTTGCGGCGCTCATCTCGCTTTATTGGCCGAGGGAGCCGGCGTACAGCTTCCGGGTCATGTGGCCACCATGACTAAGCAGCTTCTGGCGAACCAGAGCAGTGCACGGAAACGCCGTTTACCTTCTCGCCGGAGCGGTACCTATTTATCTACTTGCACTTTGATGTGCTTTTGAACTGCTAGGTTGGCAGGAGCAGGGACCGAGCAACGGGAGCTCACCCTGTCGCAAGGATTCAAACCGCCGACCTTCTGATCGGCAAGTCCTAGGCTCTGTGGTTTAATCCACAGTGCCACCTGCATCCCTTGCCCACTGAAAGAACTGAGAAATAAAAGCAGTAAAAGTATTACTGTACCATGGCAGTGGGACTAAAAAAAAGCAGCAACACTGAATGAGAGGATCATCTAGAGGACAAACATGCTGCCTCAGGCTTGTTAGCCCATTGTCTAGTCAAGGCCAATGTGATATGTAAAAAACAGATCCTCAGGAGAAGATGACTTCCTAAGACTGTTTTCCCACTGGTGCCACAAATATACTCGAAAAATTTCAAGAGGCTGAAAGAATGGAGCTGAAGTTCTTCCAAGGCGTCCAAAACACCCACCCTCAACACAACTAGGTACAAACACAGTTCAGTTTTTTGCTTCAAACGCTGCCTCTGCAACTACTCAAATTAACAGATTGCCTATACTAAATGGAACACTTGGGATTTAAAATAATAATAATAATAAAAGCATACATTCCTCAGCGCTTTATAAACTGTTCATATTATTACACCCGTGTCAGTCATTCAGAAAAAAAATACAATATAAAATGCTCAACTCTCCTGTTTCAAGAAGTGTTTGAGCACCACCATTCAACAACCCGAGGGATGACTGTTTCGTCTATCACTAGTTTGTCTGGTTCTGGCACCCCGCAGTCCTGTTTCCCCCTAGCCATCAAATGATCAGTAGTGTCCACATGCTTGGAATAAGAAGAAGGAAGCTCTAATGGCTTTAAGATAAGAAGGAGAATTAATAATAATAATAATAATAATAATAATAATAATAATAATATATTTATACCCCGCCCATCTGGCTGGGTTTCCCCAGCCACTCTGGGCGGCTTCCAACAAAACACTAAAATACAATAACCTATCAAACATTAAAAGCTTCCCTAAGCAGGGCTGCCTTCAGATGCCTTCTAAAAGTTTGGTAGTTATTTTTCTCTTTGACATCTGGTGGGAGGGCGTTCCACAGGGCGGGTGCCACTACCGAGAAGGCCCTCTGCCTGGTTCCCTGGAACTTGGCTTCTCGTAGCGAGGGAACCGCCAGAAGGAAGAAAATGTTTCCAGGTACAGTTTGAGATGAGGCAGAATAGAAACAGTGAGCAGCCCTTATTTTCCACAGCTCTTTGGTGAAAAAAGTAAGAAAGATGGGTGTTCTGCTCTCAACCTGCTTGGGAACAAAAATCATAATCCAAACTAAGAGCCTTCCCTTATCTACCACACTTTATTACAGCTATCTGCTTTAACCTAAATTAAGAATGAGCTCTCTCAACTTCATCATACTATTCGGTCCAGGGATTGAACTTGAATGCCACTGAATTAAGGAAGAAGACTGCAAGTCAAAGCTGTATACGTGTTGTGGTTTCTATGGTGTGCTGAACAAAAACAAATAAATAGAAACTTGCTTTCGGTTTCTGAATATATTCTATACGGTGGTTATGCAAAGTGCGAAATCATTTCAGACACCTGGCTTAATGTTTCAGTGCATTTGGTGATGCAAAGAACCAAAATAACGTTGGCACAAAACTTTGTCCCAGCTTCCTTCCAACAAGGATTGTCCAAGGATACTGATCTTCCATCCAAAATTCATTACATACATATTTCAGTTTCATTGTTTGACTTTTCATAAACCCAATGCCTTGTTCTTCAATAAAACTGTTAATTATTAAGGGGCCACAGAACGCTTTGTTGAATTCACTTCTTTAGTTACGGTTGTATGGAAAGCAAGTGCTCATAATTTAGAACCCTAAATTGTCTAATTATGAAGAAGCATCATGACACTGCTATAAAGCAGACATTAGCAGTGTTGTTCTTGCCATGCTATTCATATTAGTACAGCTATTCAGAACAGCATTGTAAAATTTGTCACCAAATACAGGATAATGGTGACTAGAATACTTACTTTTTCTAATGTTTCAATGCGCTGTTTTAAAAGTCTATTTTCTGTCTGTAATCTCTGAAAAGCAAGCAAAATTAACTGAGACCTAAATGCAGTGAGGAAGAATCCAGTAACCTTCAAGGCCCACTGAAGTTACAAGATACAATATCACCTGGTAAACATTACATGGAAACATCCTAGATTTCTCCCCTAATTATTCCCTTATAAGAGTTTCAAAGCAGATGGGCAATTTAAATTAACTGAGAAGTCCCAATGATCACTTTATATGCATGGTGCCTCTACCTTAGGGTACTGATTCCACACACTTGTGGCAAAGTCCTGCTTCTATGAATGTTGTTATATTATTATATTGATCAATTATAAGTTATACAACCTAATGCCCAGCATCACAAAGAGCTAAATCCTAACCACATTTCTTTGAAAGCAAGACTGTGGATGAAGCCTGTTAATTCAGATCAGTAGAAGGCCTTCTGAAATTATAAGTGTTATTAAATTGCTTGCTATCACAATGCAGATAGCTTCTTTAAAAAAAAAGAAAGAAAGAAGAAGAAGAGTTTGTTTGGATTTGATATCCCGCCTTTCACTCCCTTTAAGGAGTCTCAAAGCGGCTAACATTCTCCTTTCCCTTCCTCCCCCACAACAAACACTCTGTGAGGTGAGTGGGGCTGAGAGACTTCAAAGAAGTGTGACTGGCCCAAGGTCACCCAGCAGCTGCATGTGGAGGAGCGGAGACGCGAACCCGGTTCCCCAGATTATGAGACTACTGCTCTTAACCACTACACCACACTGGCTCTCAAGAAAGAAAAAGAAACCTTGCCGGAATGCAACGTGGAACCTTTGAGAAAAATACCGTATTTTTTGCTCTATAAGACGCACCAGACCACAAGACGCACCTAGTTTTTGGAGGAGGAAAACAAGAAAAATAATATTCTGAATCTCAGAAGCCAGAACAGCAAGAGGGATCGCTGGGCAGTGAAAGCAGCAATCCCTCTTGCTGTTCTGGCTTCTGGGATAGCTGCGCAGCCTGCATTCGCTCCATAAGATGCACACACATTTCCCCTTACTTTTTAGGAGGGAAAAAGTGAGTCTTATAGAGCAAAAAATACTCTTAAGTTTAAGGTCTGATGGTCACTTTGGGTGACGCTGTTGGAAACAGCAGGGTGGAGTGTCAACCAGTCAGGAGAGAACAGAGAGTTAAAAGAGAGAAGCTGACAGTTAAAACTGTGAGATAGAGCTTGGAAAGGACTTGGGATGGGTGGATAGGGCTTTGCTAGGCAGGGCAACTCACGGGTATTTCCCTGAGGGGAAGGGAAAGATCCTAGAAGTGGGCTGGAAGAGTTCTTACAGGCAGGACAAACAGCCATTCAAGGCGGAATCTGTTTAATTAGAAACAGTTCTAAAGTGGAAGTTTTAAGTAAAGTTCTCAGTTATTTCTGTAAAGCATTTCTGGCCTTATCAGCTCTGGGCCTTATCAGGGTCACCATTAGGCTTTAATCCTCATTGAGTGTGTTTAAGTAAAATTCCAGTTTTGCTTCCGTCAGGACTGATCCTTACTCTGAGGGATAAATGGTCATGGGTTTTCTTTTCACATCATCAAGAGTCATTGCTGGTCGATATTAGCAAACCCTGCCATATACAGAGAATCTCAGACCTCTCAAGCGTTACTCCCAGGGAGTGTCTAAGTTTTAAAGCACCCTCAACCCAGCCACATTCCCTCGCTCGCATCTTTACTTAGGGAGCCTGCCACATAAGTGTTTTATTTTCTTACATATTCCTCCACAAAACGATCATATCCCAGCCCACACATCTTTCACTGCAGCTTTGTTTTAAATGTACCTTTGAAAAGTGGAAAGTTACAGGTACTATATTAGCTTTCCATAATAAATGAGGATGCTCTATGGAAAGTTAATATGGCACTTGCCTCCACAAAAGACTTTTTATTTATTCATTACCTTCGTATCCTGCCTTTCTTCCAAGAACCTCAGGACAGCATGCATATAGTCCCTGCTGCCCAGGTAAGGATTGAAAATATCCACATTAGTTACAACACTCTCTCACAAAATTCCACTTACTTTAATTTCAACTTGTTCTTCCATTTCTTTTGTTTTTATAGTGGTATATTCTTTTTCTAACCTGAAGGAAAAAAATTAAGACTTTTTTTTAGTACAGTGGTACCTTGGGATGCAAACGGGATCCATTCCAGAGCCCCGTTCGCAGCCTGAATAGAACGTAAGATACGACTGTGCGTCTGCGTAGGTCGCGTTTTGCCGCTTCTGCGCATGCGCGAGCAGCGAAACCCGGAAGTAATGCGCTCTGTTACTTCCGGTTGCCGCGGAGCGTAACTTGAAAATGCTCAACCTGAAGCACATTCAACCCGAGGTATGACTGTATTGTGTGCATGTGCTGAACAGAATAAGTAATGTGCAGATTGTCTGTCAATATTCCTCTGCTTGACTCCCACCAAAGCTTTTGTTTTACATTCACTAAACCTGATTTTCCTCTCCTTTACCCTGAAACTGTAAGTCCATGAAAAAGGCACGATTCTTTGTCATTCTTTTCACCATGTCTATGGTCTTAAGGTACATGAGGTTTTGTTTTAACACACATAGTGAAGTAGAAAAAGAAAACCACACAAAACATCACCATGGAGTAGTTCACACAAGTGCCTATTTTGCTGTAAGTTTACTTGCTGGAAAGCAATACCTGCCAGCATGTGCCTGGCAAAAAGAAAACTTGTGAAATCTGCACCCAACAAGGTAAACCTCTTCTTCCTATGTATATCCTTAAAAGGGAAAGGACCCCTGACAGTTTAGTCGCAGACAACTCTGGGGTTGTGGCGCTCATCTCGCTTTACTGGCCGAGGGAGCTGGCATTTGTCCGCAGACAGTTTTTCCGGGTCATGTGGCCAGCATGACTAAGCCGCTTCTGGCAAAACCAGAGCAGCACATGGAAATGCCATTTACCTTCCCACCGGAGTGGTACCTATTTATCTACTTGCATTTTTTGTGTGCTTTCGGACTGCTAGGTTGGCAGGAGCTGGGACCGAACAACGGGAGCTCACCCCGTTGTGGGGATTCGAACCGCCGACCTTCTAATGCAGGAATATGCAGCTGTCCCATATGGGGATAGTACCTGCAACCCTGGCATTATGAGCACCACGCTCTAACCAACTGAGCTACCCGCTTGTAGGAAAACTGTTGCGTGAAATTGTCGATACATGAATTAAGTGCCCATGCTTCAGCAATTGAGGCCTCATTTAGAACTCAACAGAAAACATACACCAAGTTGTACTGCTTTCAATAAGCAATTATAAATGGGAATTGTGAAGCCCATTTCAAAAGCCCAAAGCTAAAGTGCAGTGTGCTAAGATTGATTTCTAAACAAAACAAAAAAGGGCCTTAGCAGTAGATCTGCTAAGATTGTTTTTCTTAAAAGAAAGGAAGTTAAGACTTTATATCTAATGGGACCCCTTTAGTTCCCTGGAGATTCTTTGATCCAGTGGAGACTTATATGAATTAAAGAGCTGAGAGGGGAAGAAGGGCAAAAACAGAAGCTTCCACTCGGCTCAAAGGTTTCCATGAATGCAACAACAGGAATAGATACTATCCAAAAACAGATTTTAATTTTATTTATTTTTTGCCCATCAGGTCCTAAACAGTAGCTTTTGATACACAAATCTCCATCAAGCTCTTTTTCAGTGGCACACTTGTCTGTTTTGCCTGAAGAATTTCTGAAGCTCAATAACTAGTTTGCCATTTTGTGATTTTTCAGTTGATCTGGATAAAGTTACTTTGCTAACAATGCTTTTGCTTACAGCGGAACATCAGGGTGTGGACGTAATCCATGACGGAGGCACGTCTGCAACCCGCAGTGTTCACATCCTGAAGCGCCGCGTCTGCGCAGGCGCAATTTGGCACTTCTGTGCATGCGCGAGCGGTGAAACCTAGAAGTAACCCGTTACGGTACTTCTGGGTTTCCCGCGGTCCACAACCCAATAACACGAAACCTGAAGTGTCCGTAACATGAGGTATGATAACATAGGCCAAGGTGGCTGATGTATTTCCCCCCCTCCCGAGTGTGATACACAGTACTCTAGTTAGTATCATCGGCAAAGAAACTGCTGAGACTCTTAAACAGAAGCACGTTAAGAAGATTTTAAAGCAATTCAAAACCCAGGAACTGTTTTAGAGCACAGATGCTATTTATGCAAAACGTACTACCTACTTTTTCATCTTTTTTGCATTGTATTTGACCTGGTAAGCTGCTTGGATTAATTTATCTGGCCCACCATCAAACTGACGTGGAACGACCTTCTGAAAGTGCTAAAAACAAAGCACACCGTCACGGTAATTAATACCAACATTATACGCAAACATTCCAGCAATTTGATATGTCGACGTCACATTTCGCTTACTTGTAACATCCCTTCCATGTCAAGCTGCATCAATTCTGCTTGATTCATCTGGAGTAGTGCTAAGCCAACTCGAAACACTATCTCCAAACCCTAGGAATAAAGTATGTGTTTTATTTCAGGTAAGCATTTCTGATATCTAATATAAATATATTTTCCCATTTAACTGAATACTGACAAAATTAATATTGACAGATTTCAGCGCCACACTTAAAACAAATGAGGCTCTGCTTAGATTGACACAGAATGTCAAGTTTAACCCAAGTATAGGAGCCAACTGCTAGGGACCGAGGTCTTTTCCACCCCCCAGGAAAATATTTAAGGGGACCGCCCGCCCCCCCAATTGATGGGCATTGTCATTCAAATGGTGTGCATGTGTTGTGTCATGTGATCAATTATGCGGGGGCGGCCCTTACCTGAACCCGTGTAATATTTTATTCAAGTTGGCACCCCTGAACCCAACTAACAACCACAGTCGACATCAGAAAGAGTTGCCTTGGGAGATACAGTGTTTGGATAGTGACAACAGGCATTAGACAATAGCTTACCTCAGACATAAAGATATCAAATATTCTTGTTGCAATTGGTAATGGGAAAGATGTAAGAAAAATAGTTAAGAACCATGACGAGGCATACATAGAGGTATGAAAACTCTGAGCCTGAAAATGTACATACAGCTCTGGCAGTTGCTCCTGAAAGAAAATTTACAGTTGTTGGTTTTTTTTAGTTAAGACTTTCATAAATCATAAAATAAGCATGTATCTATCTATATATTTAAAGGACTACACTTTGAAATGGTGGTCTCTCTCTTTCAAGAATATGATTTATATCATCTGAAGGCCACACACTGATTAGACAGTTCCCATGTAATTTACCTCAGACTGAACCGCTTTGCATTTTGCTGTATGAAAGCATCAATGTTCATCTAATGGTTATGAAGCACTGATGTTTTCTCTTACTGAGAGTATTAAAATAGGGATAACAAGGGAGTGTGAACAAAATGCTGGAGACAAAGCTGTTCAACTTTCTTAGTTCAGCGGGCTTTATAGACTGAAGCGCTGCTCTCCACTTCCTGAACTCTGGCCAATTCTCTACACACCATTCCTTTTGGAAGTGCTTTTAATTTATGGCCTTCCACCTCGCTGCCACTCAGTTCTCCTAACCCACTGCTGAGAAAGTGGGAAATATCTGCAACTTTAAAAACAAAAAGAAACGAACTACAAAGCATGCAACTGGTAAACGATCTCATATATATCTATATATACCTGTATCATCCATTCAAACTGATACATACAAAGGCCAAGCTCAGCCATACTTGGCTTGAAGAGTTCTCGAAGTCGGTAATCTTGCATTAATTTAACGAACACGCAAAACGCTTCCTCCTCAGGCATCTGTTTCGAAGGAGAACCAAGTCAGGAGCTCATTACTCATTGTCATAGGTAAAATAAAGGGACCCATGACCATTAGGTCTAGTCGTGGCCGACTCTGGAGTTGGGGTGCTCATCTCGCTTTATTGGCCGAGAGAGCCAGTGTACAGCTTCCAGGTCATGTGGCCAGCAATGACTAAGCCGCTTCTGGCGAACCAGAGCAGCGCACCGAAACACAGTTTACCTTCCCACCGGAGTGGTACCTATTTATCTACTTGCACTTTGACGTGCTTTCGAACCGCTAGGTTGGCAGGAGCAGGGACCGAGCAACGGGAGCTCACCCCGTCACAGGGATTCGAACCACCGACCTTCTGATCGGCAAGTCCTAGGCTCTGTGGTTTAACCCACAGTGCCACCTGCGTCCCTTATAGTCACCCTAAAAAAGCCCCAAAAGTTTCCAATACCATGTGGCTACAGGAATCATACAGGTATACATCTGGGGTGGGGGGAGAAATGATGTTTCCTAGCCCTTCACAACCAATTTTCATCTGTAGCTTTTTTTTACTGCAGTATCTGAACAAGTGAAAAGAGAACTGCTGTTTCTCAAGCCCTAGTGGCTTGGTAGTCTCATTGTGGCAGCTGTTGTTACATGGAAAAAGCATTGCAGATACTCCCTACATTACAAGCTCACACCCAGGTTTGGAAGCACTGGCCATATTGGGATTATCCATTTTCGGATTAATGAGCCTGCACAAGATTTTGGCTCCTGCACACAGCTGCTTCACCTGCTTCTCCATGGGAGGGAACAAGTCAGGAAGCTGCAAGCTAACCATAGTTCATCGTTGCATTTAAAGCAGGGCACTATGGCTGATGGCTTCCAAACAGGCAGAACAGGATGCCATTGGGGCTTGAAGTTGGCTTCCAAACAAGCTAGGATGTGGAAATCATTAGCTGCTAGTTCAGATGCAAAGGCAAGCCATAGTTAAGCTTCCTGGCTTGTCCTGAGTCTTACGGGAAGGGAAGAATGAAGCATTTGCACGAATGAAGATCAGGCATAACTTGGCTTATTAAACGGAGATTTGCTTGTCTGACTGTTGTCATTGCCTTCAAACACTTGCAACCTCTGGCCAATGTTAAACATTGCAGTAGGGTTTTTAAAATTAAATAATAATAAAAATAATAGCCAGGAGAGTTAGTGGGTTATGAAAGCCATGCTGGGGAATCTCAAGTCTGCCCAGGAATTTTTATCCCGTAGAACAGGTTTTCTGTTACTATATTCTATCACATCTCTGCAGAATGAACGTCATTGTGCCTGGGGCCAGGGGGAAAGCTACGTGTGGCCAAACATTTCTCTTTTAACAAGCAGGGAACAAATACACATTTACATTCTAGGGGCTAGCCACCAGAAGATCAACAAGAAGCAAGGCTCCAACCTGACTCACATTAAGCCCGAGCTTAGAATTTTCTGAACTGTTACATAAAACAATGTGCGTTCAAAGTCTGTAGTAAAGACCAGTTAAGATACTCCACAAGAAGAGCCCCAGTTCGTGGATCCAGTGTTACACTTTATCATCATCCCATACTGCTTTGGACAAAGCAAAATTCCAAAGTAATATATAGTTTTGCGAAGCCGTGTGGTTTACTTACCTGCATGAGAAGCAATCCAACAATGAAAGCACTTCCTTGGCAGTAACCAACCTCGCGGTCCACTAATGAATAAGCCTAGAAAATGTTTTTTAAAAACTGGTAAGACTCCAAGCAGCAGAAATCACAGCACATCTGCTTCCAAAACCCATCATATTTATATAACAACTTTTCTTCCAAATATAAGTAATAAATAATTTTTTATTTATACCCCGCCCTTCCTGGTTCAGAAAACTGGACTCAGGGTGGCTAACAACAAATTTAAAACACTTAATTGATGCAACAAAAACAGCATAAAATACAGTATAAAACATGAATAACAATAAATTCGGAATTCAAAAATCAATTTAGAGGGGAAATTCATCCAATAAACATTAGATGATCACCAGGGCTAGCTGGCTAAATTAGTTCTATTTGGGCCAGTGAGGAGACCAGGGGAGAATTAGCTGTGGGATCCCAGAGCGGGTAATCTTCATAAAAAGGGGAGGGGGAGGGAAGGAAGGGGAATAAAAGATCAGGCTAAATTCAAATTGAAAGCCAGGAGGAATAGCTTTGTTTTACAGGCCCTGCGGAAGGAAGTTAAATCCTGCAGGGCCCTGGTCTCATGGGACAGAGCATTCTACCAGGTTGGAGCCATCACTGAGAAGGCCCTGGCCCTGGTGGAGGATAATCTGACTTCCTTAGGGCCCAGGACCTCTAAACTATGATTATTCATGGACTTTAAGATCCTCTGCGGGGCATACCAGGAGAGGCGGTCCCATAAATACGAGGACCCTAAGCCACAAAAAAGAATAGTGGGGTACATACATGGTTCTCCTGCTCCCCCATTTCATCTTCACAACAAACCTGTGAGGTAGGTTAGACTGAGAGTTGGTGACTGACTCCAAGCTCACCCAGTGAGCTTCATGGCTGAGTGGGGGATTCGAACCCTGCCCTCCCGGGTCCTGGTGCCGCACTCTACAAATATTACACCACTCTGGTTTACACTACAAGGCAAACCACTTCCAATATCCAAAGGAGCACAGAATATGGTGGCGGTCACAAAATTCTGCTTCTTGAGGATGCTACCTATTACCTTTCAAGCATGTTTTTAGCCCTTATTGTTGCAGAAGCATGTGGGGACTTGCCTGCTAACATTTCAAAACTCAGAGAAGTCGCTGGATACGGTTTTCCATTTCTGCCCCTGCATCATTGCCCCTGTCTTGAGCAGTAAATGCAGAAGTAGCCAAAAGAAATGGTTCGAATTTGATCAATGTGCACAGGCTCGTATGCAATAGTGTTCATGCACAAGAATGGCTGCCAAGACATGCAAAGGAACTTCCCCTTCATCTCCTCCCCCTGCAGCCTGCCATGTGCCTCTTAAAATCTGCTCCGAAGAGAGACCCTCCAGAGCCAATTCAGGGGAGGACGAGAAGTCATTTTGCACCCTTTAGGTTGTAGACTTCAGGTTTCTTGGGCACATCACCGTCAATAGTATCCTTATTATTCTTTAACACAAGAAACAAGAAGTGCACAGAGGTTCTGCTAATAATGAATTAAGTTTACATTCTACTGAAACCCAGAGGTTGTATGCATGCTAGCCTGCAAGGATCCTGGCTACAGGCTGAGATGCTAGGATGCCACAAACACATGGCAAGAGGAAGAGGCAATCAATTACGTGGCGGTGCTATAATGGAAGCAGATCTGTACGTCGGAGGAAAAGTACAGTACCCAAAGGTCAAATGACCACTCATAGAAAGTGTGGGGAAGTGAAGGAAGCAGAGGCCTTCAGGAAGAAAGACTGGAGGCAGCAACAGGAATGGAATACGAGGAATGGAAAAGGAAAAAAAAGAACGGTGAGCAACAGATGTACCTGGAAATTTGCCTAATGGGCTCTTTTCTCAACCTTTGTACTAGTAGGGCTGGTATAAGGACACAAGCACAGAAGGGGCTGTGTGCAGATTGTGCGAAGGAGTGTAGAAGCAAGACATGTTTGCAATTTTACCCCTCTGCTACCCCCCAATGTGCTAAGTGAAAAACCAGCAATCCTAACTGGTAGGCGGTCAACATTTGCATGTGTGCTACTGGTTGAAAGTGGGGCAGAAGGCTGAACTTATCCTTGAAATCAAGAAGGCTTCGCTCCATGCTGTACAAGAACTTCCACTATAGCTGTTAAATACATGTCCAAAACAGAGCTGAGATCTTCCTTTCTAAGGTTTCTGATTTGAGAGATATGAGTGTCGGTCTCCTGGTTATCCCCACCCTTCCAGCTGTATATTTGCATATTTTATATTCCAGGGCATTAAAAAAGGAAAGCGTGTTGATTACGTATACAACCTCTGATGTGCTGCGCAATGCACAAATAACGAGCTGCACCACACTTCCAATCAAAAGGAAACAGCAATCAGCAGGAAATGTTTTGAGTGCATTCGTATGAAAAAGTCAATTGGCAGTTCAACATGAGCTCATTCTCTTGGCTGGCTGAATGTCTACAACAGATGTGCCTAACTTGCAACAACAGGGTAATTCTTCCCTTCGCTGTCAGAAAGTCTAATTGCAATTGATGAGCCCAAGTAATTTCCCAAAGGTCAGTCCACGTGCTACATTCCAGTATTTCTCTCATGGAAGTCTTACTCACATGAGCCATATGATATGCAGGACCCAATCTAGCAGCAATTAATGTCTTTGAAAGATGAAAAATGCAGATGGAAGAAAATGGGGCAGTCGAGATCTACGATATACTGGCTTATATGCTACGCTGCTTGAGAACCAAAAGTTATGGATGTTTCCTTTGTTTTAAAACAAAAAACTTTTAAGCCCTCCCCTAAATTACTATGAGGAATGCGGGTGGCACTGTGGGTTAAACCACAGAGCCTAGGGCTTGCCAATCAGAAGGTCAGCGATTCGAATCCCTGCGATGGGGTGAGTTCCCGTTGCTCTGTACCTGCTCCTGCCAACCTAGCAGTTCGAAAGCATGCAGTGCAAGTACATAAATAGGTACCACTCCGGCGGGAAAGTAAATAGTGTTTCCATGTGCTGCTCTGGTTCGCCAGAAGCGGCTTAGTCATGCTGGCCACATGACCCGGAAGCTGTACGCAGGCTCCCTCAGCCAGTAAAGCGAGATGAGCGCCGCAACCCCAGAGTCGGTCACGACTGGACCTAATGCTCAGGGGTCCCTTTACCCTTTACCTTTAAATCACTATGATTGGTACACCATAGGAAAATAATTCACTGTGACTGAAAGCTAGTCTTAGCCATCAAAAAGATCTCCCTTTCTCCCTTCAAAGATCTGGGACTTTTACCAGTCAACTTGTTTTCATTGCTTAGGGTGGCGAATTTTTCCGTAGAGCCAAACCACAGAGATACCCAGTAGCAGACTGGGGAGTCCTCATCTGTCATGAGACACCTTGTTAATGATGGGATCTGACTCAGAAATGCAAAAACCTTCTGCCAACTACCCCATTTTGCCTTCTAATTTGGGGTACACATACAGCCGATGAATACTCATAAATATAAATTCATGTGCATGTATGTACACAAGCGTAAAAAAAGTGAGTCTTACGCTAGGTTATACCAAGGGACCAGGGTGGCTAAAAATTAATGTTTTTTTAAAAAAAACAAATTTAAAAATCGGATTTAAATTGCTTTTGGAGGAAAAATCTAAAGATAGTTTTCTATTTAAGTCACATTATAGTCCAAAGGCTATTCATCAGGAAATAAGGATCTGAGTTTTTCATGTGTGCTAAAACTCAGTCTAAGGTTTTTGGGTTTTGTTTTTTTAAAAAAAGTTTAACCACATCAGTTAGCAAACATGGATACATATGCTATAATGTTATTGTTTTAGTTAAATAAATTGTTTAAATTGTTATTAAGTAAAAGATTGTTTTAGTGATCTGTCTGGGTGATGGGCTGTTCAGGGGAATGAAGGAAGTGGATCTGTGTGAGATGGGAAATGGCTAGGTGGTACAGTGGTACCTCAGGTTACATACGCTTCAGGTTACATACACTTCAGGTTACAGACTCCGCTAACCCAGAAATAGTACCTCGGGTTAAGAACTTTGCTTCAGGATGAGAACAGAAATCGTGCTCCGGCAGCGCAGCGGCAGCAGGAGACCCCATTAGCTGAAGTGGTGCTTCAGGTTAAGAACAGTTTCAGGTGAAGAACAGACCTACGGAACGAATTAAGCACTTAACCCGAGGTACCACTTAACCCGAGGTACTGTGTACTAGCCTCTAGTACACAGTAAAGTATTGTGTACACTGATGGCAGCATCGTAATCTAATCAGGAGTTTTAGCAATTTAAATGAAATCACAACGATCATTTCCGTAGATGGAAGTTGTTGCTTGCTTTTAAAAATAAATAAATTTGGAGCCTTGCTGGTAACATTTTAGGGGAACTTTTAGAGAGAAGCACACATTTACCAAAGCAATAGTTCATCCTCCCTATTTTCCTTAAATGTTTCAGTAGCTTCCAACACCCCCTCCCAATGCATTAAGTATGAATTTGAATTTATTGCAAACAAAATCAATTGGAGGTGACCTTGCTTGAGGACCCCCCCCCAAAAAAAATATCATTTCTGCTCTGCTCTGCTTTGCCATTAGGATTCCTGTTGTGCTAACTGATAACTCTCAATGATGGGATCCTTGCAAAAAGAAAAAAAGGAGACAGGGAATCCGTACCTCTTTCTTCTGTTTTGTGTTTCAGGATGCAAAGTCTGCGAAGTATGGAGCAAACACCTTTCCCCCCACTCTTTTTATGTAGTTCTGCAGCTAGAGAGGGAGGGGAGCGAAAGAGCAAAGGAATCGCTGCCTGTTACCGCTGGCATTCCCTGCGTTTGCAAGTACGTGCTGTCCCACTGCTGCCCCCCATCCCTGGTGATTCTGTAGCCCCCTCAATACTTCTTAAAAGCTTCCTTTCGTTTCTAAGGCCTTCGATGGCACTTCACATCTAATCTCAGAGCAATGCTAATGCATTTTTATTTTATTTTTACTTTTTAAAGATACAACACTTGAAGGGCTCTTGCCAAGCTGCTTTGCGTAGGCTGGCGTCACAGCCACGACCCTCCCCATCACAGACCACCCCACCTGCTGCCCTGTAAACAAAGGGCGCATATTCTCTATATATGCTACAACGGCAGCAAGAATATTAATAGCTAGAAATTGGAAAAGTGAAAAAAGGAATGGCAGGAGAAATTATTTGAATACAGTGGTACCTCGGGTTACATATGCTTCAGGTTACAGATGCTTCAGGTTACAGACTCCACTAACCCAGAAATAGTACCTCGGGTTAAGAACTTTGCTTCAGGATGAGAACAGAAATTGTGCGGCGGCAGCGGGAGGCCCCATTAGCTTCAGGTTAAGGTAGTGGTGCTTCAGGTTAAGAACTGTAGTTCCATAAAGAAGGCTGATCGCTGAAGAATTGATGCTTTTGAATTATGGTGCTGGAGGAGACTCTTCAGAGTCCCATGGACTGCAAGAAGCTCAAACCTATCCATTCTGAAGGAAATCAGCCCTGAGTGCTCACTGGAAGGACAGATCGTGAAGCTGAGGCTCCAATACTTTGGCCACCTCATGAGAAGAGAAGGCTCCCTGGAAAAGACCCTGATGTTGGGAAAGATGGAGGGCACAAGGAGAAAGGGACAACAGAGGACAAGATGGTTGGACAGTGTACTCGAAGCTACCAGCATGAGTTTGACCAAACTGCGGGAGGCAGTGGAAGACAGGAGTGTCTGGTGTGCTCTGGTCCATGGGGCACGAAGAGTCGGACACGACTAAACAACAACAACCACTGTAGTTAGAAAAACACCGATGCTGGGGGAGAGAAAACAGGGCAATGTTTGATTTCTGTTTGAATCCAAGGCTTGGAACCCCTGGAATCATGCGCTGCTTGGAGACTGGGGTGCCGTGCAACAATATGCTCAGTATATAGAGACATGGCTTGGGTGTCACGGCTTAAGTTTAGTGTCAGAGTGAACATTTCATATTTATATACTGCTTAATCCATGAAAGAGTCTAAGATTTATGATTTACGTTTAAAAAACCATTAAAATATGATAAAACACAATGGACTTACACTTTATCAAAACATAAATAAAACGGCAGTTTTAAATCAAAATATAAATAAAATCGCAGTTTCAAAGCAAATATTTGCTTAAAACAATTACTTTTCCGATATGAGCTGCTGACTTACCTTCATTACATTAAATAAAACCTCCTGCCCAAGGCTGTCTTTTTCTTTAAAAAAGTCGTGCTCGGGGTATGTCCTAGCAATGTCCCTTCTTATAAGCTTTTCAGAAGGTGAAGTCATTTTCAAGAGTTCCGAATATTGATCCTTAATTGGCATATTTTGAGCTGTGCATAAAAGCTGCCAAACTATTGCTCGGAAATGATGTGGTATCCCTTTTCGAACAAGTTCCTAGAGCGTAAAAAATAAATAAATCGATGAGCGTTTATTTATTAACTGCTGTACTTGCAATAATCTCAAAGCGTGCAGTTTACCAAAATCCTCATATTCATGCGCACATATTCTCATTTTTTAAGAAGGATGTGATAGCAGAAAGACCAAAAAAAGGCAAAAAAGGATAATATTGAACACGTAATTGAACACAATTACGTTTTACTGTCTATCACAGTCGACGATGCCAGGCATTACATTCTGAACCGCCAGATTTTAGAGAGTGATATTTCTAAATGCGGACACTGCCAACGACTAATGATTTTGAACACTGCCAATCAACAAACCTTAATTTGCTTCTCTTTCTTTTTCCGCACATCTTCCCAATCATTCACAATTCTTCCCCAAAGGATCCAGGAATCTTCCTCGAGGTGGCTGAGGTTGCTAGAAGCTGATGAACTAGAAACAAGTGAGGATCCGCTGTTTCTTCTTGACCCATCGACGGAGCGCAGCGATTTGCTGTCGGTCTCCAACAATCTGCGGTAAACACAAAACACTTTGAATCTTCTGGACGTATTGAAAAGAACAGGCCAGAGTTTGCATTTGAAATTGACAGCTCTGCCATGAACTAAAATTAAGCACGCTTGTTTGCACAACCTCCTTGATTACCCTTTGAGACTAAACAAAGTAACAAACAAACCAAGTTTTAATATTTTAGCACTGGAATCAGAACCTTGTTCTTTGAAATGGTTCCCCCCCCCCCCCCCCGGTAAGAGAGTATTTAATGAAGCTCACAAATCAAAAGGTAGAATTATTAAGGGGAGAAATGGAACACACAGGTGGGTGTGGATGGGTGTCACAGCCAGACTCCAAAAATGGAAAGGGGGCATTTGCCAGGAAGAATCAGAAGGTATTGAAAAGCTCAAGTATATCCCCTGCTCCTGATCTGTCCATGTTTCCCCATTCTATATTTGCAGTAATAGAATACACACATTTAGGGGAAATGTGTTTGTTGGCAATTCCATTCTTGATGTGTGAACAAGTTGTAGCTAAGTATTAAAGGTAAAGGGACCCCTGACCGTTAGGTCCAGTCACGGGCGACTTTGGGGTTGCAGCACTCATTTTGCTTTATTGGCCAAGGGAGCCGGCGTACAGCTTCCTGGTCCTGTGGCCAGCATGACTAAGCCGCTTCTGGTGAACCAGAGCAGTGCACAGAAACACCGTTTACCTTCCCGCTGGAGCGGTACCTATTTATCTACTTGCACTTTGACATGCTTTCAAACTGCTAGGTTGGCAGGAGCAGGAGCTCCCAACCAACGGGAGCTCACCCCGTGGCGGGGATTCAAACCGCCGACCTTCTGATCAGCAAGTCCTAGCCTCTGTGGTTTAACCCACAGCGCCACCCGCGTCCCTAGCTAAGTATTAAGCCCAACTTATTAGTAAAATAAGTGAGGTTGAAACCATGAACATACTAAGTAGTGACTAAGCCTCATTTAACAAATGAGTAAGTCCCGTTGATCGGACTGAACTGATGCTATCGTCATCATTATCATCTGCCAATAACTGGGGGAAAGTTCACTTTCCTCTCCTCTTATAGTCAGAAGCCCTATCAGCAGTTATATATTGCTTACAATTTTGCCGTTCACTTGGATGTGTTATGGTTCTACTTTGGGACATTTGATTTATCAATGACAGAAACAAATCCCAAACTATTTTCTCATTTGCGGTTTGCTCTGCCAAAATGCCCAAGTTAGTATTGTAAGCTTCCCACCCCCCATGCACCCAATTTCCCTGCTCCATTCACCACCTCCTTTCTAAATATATTGAGCAAATGAGTTGAGATTACTAAACTTACCCTGCACTTTTCCTTTCAGGCAGCCTTAGCCAAGCCGGTGCTCTCCAGATGTTTTGGACTACAATTCCCATCACCCCCGGCCAGTCATGCTGCCTAGAACTAATGGGAGTTGTAGTCCAAAAACATCTGGAGAACACCAAGTTGGCAAAGGCTGCCTTAAAGGAATAGTTGTTTGCTCATCAACTTTATAGAAATACTTTAAACAAGCATGTGCAACACTTGTTATGCTGAAAAGCAAATACCCAAATGCTTCTATATTTCCAGTTGTTAAGGTAAAGGTAAAGGGTCCAGTTGTGACTGACTCTGGGGTTGTGGCGCTCATCTCGCTTTATTGGCCGAGGGAGCCGACGTACAGCTTCCGGGTCATGTGGCCAGCAGGACTAAGCTGCTTCTGGTGAACCAGAGCAGTGCACGGAAACGCCGTTTACCTTCCCACCAAAGCGGTACCTATTTATCTACTTGCACTTTGACGTGCTTTGGAACTGCTAGGTTGGCAGGAGCAGGATCGAGCAACGGGAGCTCACCCCGTCGCAGGGATTCGAACCGCCGACCTTCTGATCAGCAAGTCCTAGGCTCTGTGGTTTAACCCACAGCGCCACCTGCATCCCTATTTCCAGTTGTTAGCTTAATGAAAATTGCCAGTTAACAAAGAGAACTACAAATTCTCATAAACTGTTGAGGGAATGAGCCACCTATGATAGAACTAGACCACTTTATGGCTTAACATTAATCCAGGGAATATAGAATTAATGTTCTGGAGGCGGGAAGGGGGACTTACAGCAGGCGCTGCTCCATTTCTACTTCCTTAGCTTTTTTAGCATTTAAGATTATCATAAGCTTATGAATCAGCTGTAACAATAGCTTTTCTGTCACTGTTTATGTTTAAATCAACCTTGAACTCAGTTAAAACAGCAATTATTTACCTGAACAGGCAAGACATGAGGATTATCTGTAACTAAAAATTAGGGTAGGGCACAGGACGGGAAAGCAGGGAGAAAAGGAAGCACAAGGCCCAAATATAAGATTTGGAACTGGAACTCTTACCATCAGTGTGCAAGTGATGGACTACTTTTCGAATCTTAAGACATGGCTCATGAAATTTAATAATTTCTTACCCGACTTGGCCTACAAGGCAAAACTGCTACATTCCTTACATTTGCAAAACACAAAGAAAACCTTTCCCTTACAAGCAGTGCAGTAAACAAGTCCAAACTCCAGATAAGCATAGAAAGCGCGGTTGTCTACTCTTGAAGAATGAAACAAATACTTCACCATAACAAGTCATAATTTTGCAACCCAGACTGGGGCAAACATTTGTATTTTGAAGTATTTATCCTAATTCTCTGTTGTAATCCTTACCTTGATAAGTCCATGGCTCCTTTTTAATTCAGAATCTGCAGTTTATGATAACATAAGCTGTCAGTAGAAAAGAAACCACTTCATTTCCATCAATGATTTACGTTCCTCAAACAGATTCGTGATTGGTTAAGAATGAACCATCCCAATTTATATTGGAGGGGAACTTAACCCCGTGTGACTTAAAAAAATAAAGAAACCGAGTACCCGTCCAGAGAAAGGTTCCCTACTTCCTTTTTTTCACACTTCCGGTTTTTGTCAAATCTTTTGCACATGCTCAGGTCAAAGTTTGTTTTCCACAGTGACGGAATGTGTAATCTGAATCCTGCAGAGCTCTGAAGAACTGTTAGGTTCATACATTTCGTGAGTGAAAGCAGGCAATTCCTCAGGTTTCTAAGCACGTTTTCAATAAGGCTTTCTAAACACTGGTATTCCGCTTTGATCTCTTAGGATTACAGTAAATCTAAAGGAATTTCCCATTTTAAGAACACACACATACAAGCACCTGAAAATAGTTACTTCCGTTTTCCGAAGAATATAAGTGTTACCCAAACAGAGAAAGAGAGCAAAAGTGAAACAGAGAATGGATGGACTAGGAGAGATCTGTGATAAAATGAAATGACACAAAAGGCACTCTAAAAGAAAAAGAGGACAAAACAACAACAAAACCTACTGAAGTGTATAAAATTAGAAAGATAGGCACATGGATATATCCTTGCTGGCATTCATGACTTGTTTTTAGGAGGACAGATAACTACTGTTCTAGCTGAGTGCTACAGGGAGAGAGGATTTAGAAGAAAATATATTCATCTTATTTGCCTAACACAGGACAGTCTCTTGGAGACTCACAACCAAATTAAGAAACAAACAAAAATTGTTAAAAGCGGCCATCAAAAGGTCACAAATCAATACACGAAACATGAAACACCAGCTTCTTAAACAAAACAAAACAAAAAAACCACCAAACTAGAGGACACCAACATACAGCTTTAGCACAGCAAGACCGTATTCCATCAAGGAAAATAGTAATTTAAAATTTAAAATACTTGGGCAATGACATAGAAGGGATAGTTTTGACAGTGGTGATAAGGGACAGCTGGTATACAATGGGTACCTGTAACACTCCTGTAGTTGCACTGTTTATAGCAATCAACCACAACTACATACACAGCTTGCTTTGAATTGTGAATGTTCTTCCTGCCAGTCCCTGTGGGTGACACACGCGTCACAAACCAACCATAGTCTAGCCTGTCTTGTTGCATGGCCCCAGATCGTGGTATGCTTTATCTGTTTCAAACAAACTACACGTGGAAAACTAGAAAGACAAGTCAAGGTTTGTTCTTGGCTTATTTTTTTTGTTTAGCACTCACAGTTGGTTTGCAACAAGCAAGTGAACTATGATCTGGGTTCACAAAACAGGGGGAACTATTTGTGCTGCACGTAGCAGCTGGGGGTGGGGGTGGGGGGAGGCACAATCACAAATTAAGCCATGGTTTGGCTTGCCGTGTGGACAAGGCCAAGTAAGAACACAAAACGCCAAAGCACAGGGACCTTGATGAAGAGACACTGCTCAAGTCAATTGTATTTATAACTATTGTACTTTTAGGACCGTAATGTGATCTTTTTTGCATTCAAGCCTATCGAGAAGGCATTAAAAACAACAACAACAACAACACAATTGTACGGCAGTCTTACGTACAATATTCGGGTGAGGTTGTAGTGTCACAACCCTTTATTGTGACAAAAGCTATGGTCCGTCTGGTCGGGGAGGAATATGAAACTGAACCGGAATGCAAGGTATGTAAGTCTTGATTAAGAAAGAATTCCCAGCATTCTTCTGAAAAACCAGATGGAAACTTGGGAGATTTAAAGGCAATTATATGTTCCACATCTTTGAACACACTAGCTTAGCTTTCCAAGAAAGCACAGGAACGTGCTGCTGCTGTTGTTGTTGTTGTTTTAAAACCAAGCCACCCACCTGCACAATTCGACATGCCACAGGTTGTCCAGACTCACTCACCTGGCAGCAGACGCATATGACAGAATGGCTACGCCGCAGGCTACTGGATACCTTCCAAGCTGAGCTTATCGCCTTGCCAGGTAATTATACGGCTCGCGACCAACGGCCAAACAAATAAGCTGGAAAACATGCCCCGCCACTGGAACCGATTTCCGAGCACCGCCAGGAAAGCTAAGCTGCCACTCACCTGTTTTGCTCTTCTAATTTGGCCAAGAGCTCTAAGTCATCGGGACTCAATTCCGCGGGGGACAAAGGAGACAACGCTGGAGTCGAGAGCGTGGTAGAGGAGGATGCCGTGTGTAATGAAGCAGATGGACTTGCCACCTGGCTGGCCATTTGACTGACAGTGTTCTTCACCCATGAGAGAGTAGAACTCAGCTTCCCTGTAACCTTGTCTGTCGCCACCTGAGGAGGAAAGCATACAAGGAGGCATTTAACAGCTCCCTGGTCAGGAATGGCAAGCACATAACCATACGTGTTTAGCTGGATCCCTCCAGTGGTTCCACACACACCCCATCTTTGTTTTTTCTCCTTCCCTTTCCATGCAACTGTAATTTGTTCAGCCACATAGAATCATCTCAGGTATCTATTAATGATCACTGGTGCATTTATTTTATGAGAAGAAAGAACTGATAGGAAATCGAGCATTTGCAAGTTCTGAAAAAACAACATCTAAAGCATCTAAAGCTTGCAGGTACGTCAGCCTTGTTAATAAGACTTACGGAAAAATGTCTAGTCCCACAGCCAAATTTTACTAGCTGGCCTGCTCACAGATATCTTACCAGTAGTTTGTGTATTAACAAAGAAGAGAATCAGTGCGATGGATTTTTGAGGGGGTTTTTTTTGTTTTTTAGGAACTCAAAGTTGTTGAGCTTTTCTTGGGAAATCGTGGGTAAAAATACCTCATAAATAGGACATTGCAGAGGGCAGGTTTCTGCTGGGGGTGGGGCAGAACCTCAGATAAGTGATTACTTTCAATGCTTTTCAATAATATTTGTGGATCTATGGGGAGCAGCTGCCCCCCCCAGCCCTCCCTTGGCTACACCCATGACCAGTGCTATTTCACATTTACAGTAAAAACAAAGGAGTTTTGTTGCACCTGAAAGACTAACATTTTTTAATGGCATGAGCTTCTGCGGACTCAAACCTACTTCTTTAGATGCATGAAGTGAAATCTTAGCTGGCAGATATATGAAGAAAAAAGAATCAAGGTGGGAAATGGATGGCAAAAAATTACAGCCGGTGATAATTAAGAGATTTAAATGTATGTTAAATACCTTTTACAGTAGCAGATGGGTGATAATTTTTTCTCAGCATTGCTGAGATGACGAGCAGTGAGAAAGCCAGGTTTGCTTCAGGATTAACCATGAAATCATTCTTGGTTAAAACAAAATTGGATTTCAGGGAGCTCCCAAAAAGTGAATGATCACTAAAATGGCAAGCACAATTCAATGTAAAGTGATTCACACTGAGTCTTTTTTGTTGTTGCCAATTTCACATATAAACTAATGGGGTCTGTACTTCAATGACTGACCAGGAGCAAGACTTTGAGGATATAGTGGAAAGATCAATGGAGTTGTTGATCCAGTCTGTGGCAGCTATGAAAAAGGCAAATTCCATGTTAGGGATCATTAGGAAAGGGACTGGAAAAAACCTGCCAATATCACAATGCCATTATACAAATCTATGATATTTTGGAATACAATGGTACCTCGGGTTAAGTACTTAATTCGTTCCGGAGGTCCGTTCTTAACCGGAAACTGTTCTTAACTTGAAGCACCACTTTAGCTACTGGGGCCTCCTGCTGCTGCTGCGCAATTTCTGTTCTCATCCTGAAGCAAAGTTCTTAACCTGAGGTAATATTTCTGGGTTAGCGGAGTCTGTAACCTGAAGTGTCTATAACCTGAAGCATATGTAACCCGAGGTACCGCTGTACTGTGTTCTATTCTAGCAGGGGCACAGGGTGGGGGTGGGGCGCAGGGGCGGTTGCCCTGGGTGCAAAATCATTAGGGGCACAAAATTTCAACAATTGGTGCTGCCTCAGTGGGCTCCGTGGAGAACCACTTCTGCATGCGAACCAGGAAGTGACCTCTCCAGACAACGGAATGACTTTTCTCTTCTTATCTCTGCAATTGCAATCTCATGGGTGATGTGTATGCCATTAAGCAGTTGAATGTGCATGCGTACTCTGTCCGTGCGGCCCCGGGGCATTGGTAACCCATGCTACGCCACTGCATTCTGGTCCTCTCACCTCAAAAACAATAGCGTGGAGACAGAAAAGGTTCAGAAAACAGGAACCCCAAATGATCAAGGGGCTGGATCAACCCTTCTGAGAGGAAAGCTCTCGGGCTTTTTAAGTTTGGAAAGAAAGGGAGCATGGTTGGACATGGCAGGCGTGCATAAGATTGTGCAAGGTTGAGAACATGGACAGGGGGAAGTTTTCCTCTTTTTTTCAGAAAACTAGAACCCCAGGATCATCCGATGAAGCCGACTGCTGAAAGAATCAGGACAAGGGAAAGGAAACTATATGCCGTGTGAAGCAGTGAACACTGAAATTTGCTCCCACAAGATGTTCTGATGGCCGCCAGCTTGGACGGCTTTAAAAGAGAAGCAGACAAATTTATGAAAGATAAGGCTATCAATAGCTACTGGCCGTGATGGCTACCTCTGAATATCTCTTGCTGGAAATCACAAGCAAGGAGAGCGATGTTGCATTTAGGCTACTTGAGGGGCTTCCTATTAGGCTAGTGGTTCCCAATTAGCCAAGTACTGCAGACCCTTTGTTTATCAAAAGCCAAGCCACGGACCCTCTACTTCTGAAAATATTGATATCTCTGGGGTACTTTTTGTTACGTGAACGGTGTCACCATACCCTCCAACATGTCCCAGCACAAAACCAAGCCACACTCTCATGCAGGTCACGTGACCTGCGTTTTTAGGTGCTGCGATCTCACACGATTTTGGGCACCATGCTCTCACACGAGAACGTTTCCGAGCACAATTCAAAGTATTGGTGCTGACCTTTAAAGCCCTAAATGGCCTCAGTCCAGTACAGTGGTACCTCGGGTTAAGTACTTAATTCGTTCCGGAGGTCCGTTCTTAACCTGAAACTGATCTTTACCTGAAGCACCACTTTAGCTAATGGGGCCTCCTGCTGCTGCCGCGCCACCGGAGCCCGATTTCTGTTCTTATCCTGAAGCACTATTTCTGGGTTAGCGGAGTGTGTAACCTGAAGCGTATGTAACCCGAGGTACCACTGTATATCTGAAGGAGCGTCTCCACCCCCATTGTTCTACCCGGACAGTGAGGTCCAGCGGTGAGGGCCTTCTGGCGGTTCCCTCACTGCGAGAAGCCAAGTTACAGGGAACCAGGCAGAGGGCCTTCTCGGTAGTGGCACCTGCCCTGTGGAACGCCCTCCCACCAGATGTCAAAAAGAACAACTACCAGACTTTTAGAAGACATCTGAAGGCTACCCCGTTTAGGGAAGCTTTTAATGTTTGATGCATTGCTGTATTTTAATATTTTGTTGGAAGCTGCCCACAGTGGCTGGGGAAGCCCAGTCAGATAGGCAGGGCATAAATAATTTATTATTCTTATTCTTCTTCTTCTTCTTATTATTATTATATGCCTGCCCCAACAGGATGGCCCAGACAGACCACCAATTAGGAACCACTGTTGTAGGCATCTGGTTGGTCACTGTGAGAATAGGCTGCTAGACTATACAGTGGTACCTCAGGTTAAGTACTTAATTCGTTCGGGAGGTCCGTTCTTAACCTGAAACTGTTCTTAACCTGAAACATCCCCTTTAGCTTATGGGGCCTCCTGCTGCTGCTGCGCCGCCAGAGCACAATTTCTGTTCTCATCCTGAAGCAAAGTTCTTAAGCTGAAGCACTATTTCTGGGTTAGCTGGGTAACGTGAAGCATATGTAACCTGAGGTACCACTGTATAAACCGCTGACCCGAGTCAACAGAGCTCCCCTTATCAAGGATGCTGGATTTTTTGTTTTGCTTTGCTACAGGGTGAGCTGTACTTGTCCTGCTCCCCGTTTGCTCCTGCAGGCCTCTGGTGCCAATGTTTGTCTCTGATTCACCTCCATAAATTTGAATACAGAGAGCAATGCCAACCCGGAACCGTCTATCTCATTTGCCAGCCGTATTTACATGCAAGAGGTTTCTTCTTGTTGGTGATACTTCACAAGCCAAGACATTTGTTTTCTTTGGCACAATAGAAGCAACCAAGAGCAAGGCAGAAATTGCTCTCTGCCAAGAAAAGAGAAAAACTTTCACTCCGAGAAAGTGCTTCTACATTAGTGGAACCCAAAAACACCAGTTGTTGTTTTTTTTAAATAGCCACTGACTGAACTTGAAAGGAGAAGTAAAAACTGCAGAAGTAAATATGCATAATTTTAACATGCTAAAAAACCCACAAAGCCTCAAAGAACAGCAAACGTTCCCTCTTCTTTTAAAGCAATGACAGGTATTTATTCCCCCACAAAGCAAGTTTCCAGAGAACTTGAAAATGTTGTTTGGTCTGAGCCCAGGGGTTTTCTAATTTGCATGACTTGTTGACGCTTTAATTTGAAATATTTCTGCAGAACTGCAAAACACGGTCACTATGTACCTGTAAATGCCAGCACAGGTTAGCATTTTTGTTTCTCAGGTAACACAATCGCCATGTTTAGCAAAAGCAAGAAAGGGACATGTCAAGGTAGGCTTGACCTTTCCAGATTGTCTCATACAAGTGCTGGGCATAAATATATCCAGGTTTCACACAGCAACCTACTGAAAATGCTCTTCGGAGACTTCACATACAGACTAATTTAAGGGCCAAATCAGACAAGTTGAGGCAGCCTTGTTGTTTATTCACATGTCTTCTCTGAACCCACATTAGAGGGATTTTTTTTTAAAAAAATTTACAACTAAAAGGGCACATGGAGAAGGAAAGTTTTACTTTCCCCTTCTGTTGCCTCATGCACTTTTCTGCCTAGATTTGCTCACTCCAGGTTTTGGAGTCAGCTGAAAAGAGGTTGCCTTTGGTGACAGATATTTAGTTTTCCTTACCGACATACCCCTATTATTGTAAAATTCAATCTACTTAATACATGTACAGTACCGAATACTCTCTCTCTGTGTTTGTACATATATGTAAACTTGATTGTTTACTCCTGTTAGTACATGTTACAGAATACAATGTTTAAAGGATAGCTTTAAAGGAAATCGATGTACATTATGCATTTGGGTAAAAAATGATCAGATTCCTGCATTGCAGGGGGTTGGAGTAGATGACCCTTGGAACCCCTTCCATCTCTACAAGTCTATGAACTCAATGAATTAATAATAAACTAGAGTCTATTGATTCAACAGGTCTACTCAGGGTAGTAAAGGTAAAGGGAACCCTGACCATTAGGTCCAGTCATGGCCAGCTCTGGGGTTGCAGCGCTCATCTCGCTTTATTGGCTGAGGGAGCCGGCGTACAGCTTCCGGGTCATGTGGCCAGCATGACTAAGCCGCTTCTGGCGAACCAGAGCAGTGCATGGAAACACCGTTTACCTTCCCGCTGGAGCGGTACCCATTTATCTACTTGCACTTTGGTGTGCTTTCGAACTGCTAGGTTGGCAGGAGCAGGGACCGAGCAACGGGAGCTCACCACATCGCGGGGATTCAAACCGCCGACCTTCTGATCAGCAAGTCCTAGGCTCTGTGGTTTAACCCACAGCGCCACCCGCGTCCCACTCAGGGTAGTAGTAAGCGTGTAAGTACACACTGTGCTCCTTCTGGGGTAGTTAGCCCTAAACAGCTGGAATGACTCTGACTGGCTGGCTAAACCAGGTGGGGATAGCCAATGGGTCTCAAACCCTTGGTGAGTTAGGGGCTTCCCCTCCATGTGGAGACAGGCTCCAGCAGGCTGAGCAGACGAGACAAGTAGTGAGTCCAGTGGCCAAGAAAGTGGTTTCTGTCTATGCTGTAGAGGGAAGTGAGGGGCATGTTGGGCTCATCAACCTGGGAAAGCAGCCGATCTCAGAGAAGGAAAACTCTGGTCCTAAACCTCCGCTGCCTTGTGGGACATCTTTGGGAGAAGAAAAGGCTGAGAAGAAAACCCCTCACAATTCCGGAGTAAAGTCCCTAAGATGGTTGACTGGCATCTTCTACACCTCCTTCCTGCAACTGCTACAGCCAAACTGGTGCCAAACGCATTGCTCTGCTTTTCTTTGGACCACATCAGCGAGGACAAGGTGGGGCAGGGCCTTGTCTTCTGGGCAATCCAGGACCTTCATACTCACTGCCCAGGCTTGTGTCCCGCAGAAGAGATCTTCGGTGCAATGGTTCGAATTCCCCCTGGAGGCACACTCCATTTTCTCTCGAGACAGACGGATGCCAACGGCTCTTGCTTTTCGCTAACCTGTCCCGGAAATCACTAGCTCTCCAATACCGTTTTCTTGACTTACACAAAGCGTGTCAGATTTTTCATGACTTAATGAGGTTAATGGAATCCGCACCTCAAAATTCATTGCTTTTATATCCAAACTCAAGTGTGAATGCATTCGAACCTAAGTGAGGACAGCTGAATTGATGAGATGCGAAGGAAGAAAAGCACACCTTGGAGTGTGGAGAAATAGATTTCCCAGCGCATAAACCGAGCAATGGTAAAATAATAATAATAAACAACGAATATTAAAGTGTTTGCCCTTCAATTCATCTCAAAGCACCCAGGAAATTCCTATACAGTGGTACCTCAGGTTACATATGCTTCAGGCTACATACGCTTCAGGTTACAGACTCCGCTAACCCAGAAATAGTGCTTCAGGTTAAGAACTTTGCTTCAGGATAAGAACAGAAATCGTGCTCCGGTGGCGCAGCAGCAGTGGGAGGCCCCATTAGCTAAAGTGGTCTTCAAGTTAAGAACAGTTTCAGGTTAAAAACGGACCTCCGGAATGAATTAAGTACTTAACCCGAGATACCACTGTAATCTATGGAAAATAGGAATACACAAAAGGGGTGAAAGATGGACCCTGACACTTGCCAGCAACACCCACCCCATACTGAGCAGTCCAGTTCCAAATGGTATCACACCATATCTGTTATGTACCAGTCACCCCAACAAATGGCAGCCTTAGAAATTAATCCCCTCCCACACTCCCCTGGAGGCAATATGTCCCTCAGGCCACACAATAAAGAAATTATTATCTGAGCAAACACTTCTTATAAGGTTATACCTGTGCACCTTATTTCTTTCCCCCATTAAGTGCTAATGATGCTTCTCCAGTGGGTCAGTGGCAATATTTTTTATTCCTAAATGGAAGTACAGTAGCCAAATCATAAGCCAACTGTGAAGTTTATGGTCCACTGCAGAATGGAAAATGGATTCGCCAAGTTCTAAGCCATGGACATTACTAATCTACACTTACTTAATGCCTTCATGTACCATAAAACACACTAATGATTACTTTAGTGCTGTTTAATGATAGCCAGTATCTTAAATATTATGCTATGGTAAGTTATGTTGTCATTCTAACAGGGGCCAATGTCTAAATGAGGTGTTTGCAAGAGGGTAATGCGTATTATTTTGTGGGAAGAAATTATAGAGGAAGTTGAAGACTAAAACCCCAAATGATGTTTTTAAGACTTCTCAATTTTATAGCATTTTCCCATAAAACAGAAATCATTCAGAAATTTTATTAATCCTGGCCTTCAGAAGGATTAAAGAGATAATCTAAGACAGGGAATACTAATATGTATTAAGAATGAATTTTCCAATTAAGAATAAGTATATTCAAATTGCAATAAAAATGCTGGCTAGCAACATTATTAAAAAGTTACAGGAATGCAAGGTCCTGAATATATTGTTTAAAAAATGAGATGGAAGATATAAGTTACTCCTTCTCACATTCAGCTCTTCAGTACGACCAACCATTATCATATATTAATATATTTTACTTTATTCTTTTTGAACATTATTTATTCAGTAAGTGGATTGTGGTGAATGCAGCTATTAAACCCAACGCTTAAGAAAAAACTTCTGTTAAAAATAACATGAATTGACACAAAATTACTGTTTTAGATAAGAATTGGCATAGTCTTATATTTGCAATGACCTACAGATGTACTTAACTTTCCTTTTCCTGCACTATCAGGGTAAGCAAGATAATATCCAACCAATAAAAACAAACAGGCAGAGCAAAAAAGGTTATAACAACTATAACCATCAGATAGCTCTTGTTAGATGGGAAAGCAGCCAAGCAGAAAACAATTTATACTCAACAAGAACTGAAATAAGATTTACAACGGAATCCTATCTTTGACGTGCACCTGCTGAATGAAACTCTTACATCAGGCCAGAGAAATCTCTTTTTTGATAAGTTACAAGCTTGGTGGATCAGGGGAATGTTGTGGATTCCAGTAAGGCTTCTAACAAAGTCTCCCTTGTTATTCTTGTGAAAAAGCTGGTAAAACGTGGGCTGGACAAGGTAACTGTTAGGTGGGTTTGTAGCTGGTTGGCTGACCGAACCCAAAGAGTGCTCGCTAATGGTTTCTTATCATCCTGGAACAAAGTGAGAAGTGGGGTGGTTCTGCCCTGGGCCCGTTATTGTTCAACGTCTTTATAAATGACTTGGGCGAAGGAATTGAGGGGATGCTCATCAAATTTGCAGATGACACCATACTGGGAGGGGTAGCTAATGCCACAGAAGACAGAATCAGAATTCAATATGACCTTAACAGATAGGAGAACGGGGCCCAAACTAACCAAATAATTTCAATGGGGACAAATGTTAAGGTTCTACACACCTAGGCAGGAATAACCAGCTGCACAAATATAAGATGGGAGACAGCTGGCTTGTCAGTAGCACATGAGAAAAGGATCTAGGGGTCTTAGTGGGCCACAAGCTTAACACAAATCAACAGTGTGATGCTGCAGCAAAAAAAGCTAATGCTATTCTAGGCTGCATCAATGGAAGCCAAGTGCCCAGATCAGTGGAAATCATAGTAATGTTCTATCCTGCCTTGGTCGGACCACACCTAGAATACTCTGTCCAGTTCTGGACGCCGCAATTTAAGAAAAATATTGACAAGCTGGAAATTGTGCAGAGGAGAGCACTCAAGATGATCAAGGGTCTGGAAACCAAGCCTTAAGTGGAACAGTTGAGGGAGTTGGGATGTTTAGCCTGGAAAAGAGAAGACTGAGAGAAGATAGGATAGCCATCTTCAAACATCTATAGGGCTGTCACCTGGAAGATGGAGCAAGCTTGTTTTCTCCTGCTCTGGAGGGTAGGAATCAAATCAGGGGCTTCAGGTTAAAAGAAAGGAGATTCCAATTAAACACCAGGAAGAACTTTGACAGTAAGAGCTGTCTGACAGCCAGTATTTTAAAAAAATGTTTCTAGTCTTAAAAGTTCAGTAGAGGACAGTTTTTGATCGTGTATAACCCAGCTTGTGTGATAGGATGCTAATCATATTTCCATGAAAATTCTATCGGTACCAGTGAAACATCCATTCTATTTACATAGCAAGTTTAGGATCAGGACACAAGAATGGAAAAACAATTTAGAGGAGTAACAGATGCTAATCTTATGCTAACCCTATGCTCATCTTACATGAAAGTAGATCTTATCTTTCATCACCTTCTACAAATCTCCAAACCTACAGAACTGTGTGCTTCAAGGTTGTTTTACATGGGGATCAGCCAGTAAAAATTAGGGCCACTCTGCCCATTATGTATCAGCAGATTGCAGTTTCCCCCAGCTAAACAAGCAACAAGGAGCAACTGCTTTTTGGGTTTCCTTGGTCCTGCTCCAATGGGATATATACACATTTACCTCATGCATGCTAGAGTTTATGGGTATATATATTAAATGTTTTGTACGCTGGTACAAAAAAGAAAGGGATGACAGAGGACGAGATGGTTGGACAGTGTTCTCGAAGCTACCAGCATGAGTTTGACCAAACTGCGGGAGGCAGTGGAAGACAGAAGTGCCTAGCATGCTCTGGTCCATGGGGTCACAAAGAGCCAGACACGACTAAATGACTAAACCACAACAACACAAAAAAGAAGAAAAAATGTCGAAAGCAGCTTTAGGAGACAGACCTAAGAGATGCACATAGCCCTCATCACATTTATTTGGAAAGAGGTCCAATTGGTTTAATTGCATTTACTTTCAAGCTATCTCGATACTTTACTGCTAGTGGCAGGTCTCCCTCCCTTCCTTTCAGAGGGGAAAATGCAGCTGTTAAAAGAGTGAGATTCTACCCCTGTTAATTTTTCCCACAACCCACTAATGTCAGCTTAACCCTAGCCCTAGCACCTGGTCCTTACAGATTTTATTTCCTGAAGAGATTTTGTTTAAATGCAGTTAGCAGTATGCAGGAGCTTGAAAAACTGAAGGGCAAATGAGAATCTTAAGTGTGTCACCTATGTGTAAAATAAAGAAAAGGGAATTATGCTGGGGTAAAGTCAACTGTCCACATTAAAAACACAAAATCCTAGGAAACCATGCACCAATTGCCTATTCTTAGTTAGTCTTCCTCTAGTCTTCATGAACCTCCTGGATACAAGCCCTGCCTTTCTATACACTTATCAGCCATCTGCTGGAAAAACCATGTAATTTCCCTCTAACCACAAAACACCAGGCCTCAGCATTAAACAATGTGGAGAAGGTGAGGAAATGGAGTCAAGGGGGAAAACGCACAATACCCCATGACTTTTCAATATGCACCTGACAGCCTCTCCCCCACATTGATGTCAGCTTCTCTGGCCTTGCTCAAAATCCCAGAAACCATCAGAAAAACGAAAAAATAGTGTCAAAATGTAAGTAAATCTTAATCTCAAACTAGGTTATAGTAGCCTGCCGCAGGAAGGTAACAAGTGCTGAGCTGCCTTAGGGACAAATTGCATGCTATGCTTATGTTTAATGTATGTAGAGTTTGGTGTCAGCGTTGCTTGTGTTGTTCACTTGTGTTCCTTTGGTGGTGAGAGAGGTTGGGGTTGGCCTAGGGTGTGATTGTTTGCTTGTGATTGGCTGTGGTGATCTTTGTTTTCGTGTGTGAGTGAGGTGGGTGGGTGTTTTGGATCAGGTTAGCCATATTGATTTGTATGCTGTTGGTGGATTATTGTCATTGTCCTGTTGGGCTGTGTATGTGATAAAGGGGAGCCATAAATAAAATAAAATAAAAAATTGCATGCTATGCTGGGAAATCTTTGATTGATCTCCTGGTGTTTTGAGTTTGTTTGTTTTTAACTAAATACATCTGCATGCAGGGAAAGAAGGTGCTGATTTGATCAGTAAAGCAGCATTGAAAAAATGCAGCGGGAGGAGGAGGGTTACCTCCCTCAATTTAAATAACCCTTCCCCAAAAATACTGTCTGCTGATTTGCAAGGGGAGGGAGGGAGAGAGGGAGAGAGAATGCAGCCATGATACAGGCACTTATATACTTCCCTGTGGAGCAAGTAGCAGTGTGAGAGAAGCAATTTAGAATGGGAAAATAGGGCAAGGGAAAGTGTTAAACATCTCCACCCTGGCACCACTTGAGGAATCAAATCAGTTCCACCCCCCCACCTCCACCCCCACCCCTTTGCCCAATCCAACTATATTTAGTACAGACAAAATGAGACCAGTGATATAATAAACCAACTGTAATGTGTGGCTTGGCCTTCAGCCTATCTCCCAGAGTTTTTAAGTTGGATATCCTAAGTGGATAGCCCTCTCTCTCTCTTTTTAACTCAGCAAACAAACATCGTTGTTCCAACTGTAGCAAGCTTTTGTTTTTCCCTCAAGGTCAGCTTTCTCCTCCCTACAAAGACGCCTGCAGAAAATAAGATTTCGGCCTCCTCCCACTCCACTTGCTACTCCATGGGGGAATTCCAAACACCCATTGTCTGCAGCTTTTCCCACATCTTTGTGGATCAGCTAAGCCCCACAGGCAAATCAAGAGTGGGAACAGGGAGGGGAAATGCCTCTATCCCTGTATACACGCTGTCCCTAGGTTCAGAAGTGCATAGTTTTCAGCTATGCTGAATGATAAAATATTCACCCAAGCCTCCATCATTGGTTTGAGCAACCCTCGCCGATCTGAGCATACACCTCTGCTTTAAACGTCATTTATTCTCTCAAAAGTTTCATCACAGTATCTTCTGGGGTGAATTTTCGAGGAAACATAAACTCTTTCCAAAAGCAAACTGAACTTCCCGGAAAGCTATCCTGGACTGAACCTCAGCATGCCGAGTATACAAATAGCTGACTTAACAGGGATTTTTTAAAAACACTTTTTTTTTTACAGGAAGTGGGTTATGATTCTGTGGAAAAATGACAATATCCTTATGCAAGCTCATCACTCTTATGCAAGCATTCTGGTTTAGAATTAGTCAATCTGAAGTTAAAGGCTGTCCAAACTGCAACTTGGCAGAAGAATGTTTCGTACATGAGTATTTATAATGGACAAAATCTTGTTTTGAACTAGCAAGCAGAGACTCATGAAAGTTTAAACAGGCGGATCAATATTTCCAATGCCTCGGGGATGCAAGAGGATCAGTCACTTTTAAATAAATATCTAGCATCTTCTGAAGGACCACCTCAATTCATTCTACTGCCATTTAAGCAAGAGATAGGCATCAGTTAACATGGTTCATGTAGAAACTTGTGTTTCAGTTTGATTCTGTTAGGTGCTTGCAAGCCAGCTGAAATCAACATGTTACCCCTTGTAAAGGCCACTGGGCTCAAACTAGATGTCTTGGGTAATTCACTCCCCCAGGCAAGATCCACACATATCAACAGAATCTCTCTTCTTCCGCTGCAAGGGTAATGGAATCTTCTTATGAGAATGAGCAGTATCAGTAATAAAACCTTGCTGTTATCCCAGAGTGTCCTATGGGATACCATAGCTGGGCAAAGGGAAGGGAAAAAGCAGCTCAGGAAAAATGGTTTCAAGCCTTAAACAGGGAAAACATACCAGTCTCCGTAATGGGTGGTGCAACCAAGCCAAGTCAAAAGGACCAGAGGCCTAGAGCTTATTTTTCCAAAACAGTGTCTCAGACATACTTAAGCTTCTCTAAGGAACTAACTCCATGCCTGAGCTCCTTTGGGGATCTTCCCTCCTCCCCATCTCAACCAACTGTTTTGCAGGAGAGAATGCAGAGATCTTAAAATGCATGCCATCGTGTGTGTGTGTGTGTGTGTGTGTGTGTGTGTGTGTGTGTGGCTCGCTGCTGCCATAAAAGGATTTCAAAAATGGGCGCATCTGATTTAAGACACCTCCACCTCTGACCGAGAATTACACGCAGGACAAGAAAAAATATTCTTTGCCACATGTGGTTGGGATGGGATTGTAGATGCGCCTCGTGGACCTAGTGCGGACTGACTGGAGCCACTCAGTTCTTAGGTTGGGTGCATCCCATGGGTTGAAATCAATCCTCAACAAGTGAACTACAAGACTGACGTTTTGTGCTGCACCATCTGCGAGTGCAACCTTTCTGTGGTTAAGCAGAAAGCTCTCTGCCCTTACTCAGGGGCACTCTTGCTGACGGCTGAGCATCTTTAAGGAAAAAACGCGGTCTCATCTCTGAGGGATTATGCCCTGTCTGATAAAGCCGGATCAGGTCCCTTCACTTGGAGTTGGTGCTCAGCCTGGGAGAGCCAAGAAGGGACGTTGCCGCAAAGACTAACCACAGAAACACACAACACAGGGGTCGTTCCCCCGCCGCAGAGAGGAAATCCGGTGGGTGGAAAGGAGGAGGAGGAGGAAACCCGACGAAATCCCGCACCAGCGCAAGCAGCGCGCTCTCCGATGTTGATCTGTTGCAATTCCTTTTGCAAGACGCCTGCAAGACGCGGGGAAGGGAGAGCATGCAGAGCAGCTCTCTTTGCAAGGCCACAACAGGCCCGAGGAGACAGAGAAAGAATTAAAGAAAGAGAGAGAGAGAGAGAGAGAGAGAGAGAGAGAGAGAGAGAGAGAGGCGTCCACACCTTCCTGTCATTCGCGTCTCCAGGGCGCAGCGCGGCGAGGGGGCTCCGTGCGCCCTGGCCCTCTCCAAGGCCACCGGGCTCCCCAACCCCGGCACCCTTTCCCCCGGGGTGGTGGGTGGGTGGGCTCTTCCCATGGGGTCTCCTCCTCCCCCCCTGGGGTGCAAAGGAGCGATGGGGGCCAGGAGGGGCGCCGCTCGCTCACCTTGGAAGCCTTTGCCGGGGAGAGAAGGCGAGAACATCAGTTTCCTGGGCAGCCAGCCCGGCCCGGAGCCGCCGCCGCTGCTTGCTGCTGCTGCTGCCTCGGAGCTCCCCGCCCGGACGGCGTCCCGCCTTTCTTCGTCCTCTCTTTCCCCCTTCCTTCCTTCCTTCCCTCCCTCCTTGTCTCCCCACCCTTTCTCCAGCAGCTCCAGCCTCGAGAAAGCGGGCCACGTCCCTGAGAGAGACCCGCGCGCAGGCGCACGCGCGCCCCTCCGCCGTCGGGGCAGGCGACTCGAGGCTGGACGAGAGGGCGAACGGCGGGGAAAGGGACGCCGCCGGGCAGCCGGGCTGCAACGCCCCGCGGGTTGGCTGGCTAGGAAGGCCGGCCTCTCGGCGGGGCTGCCTTCCCTACCGAGGAAATAATGCAGGCTGCGCGGCATCCAGCAGCCGGGCAGCTTTTCTCGCGCGTGGTTTGGCTGCCTTGAATGCTAACTTGATTCTCAGCTTTCTCCCAGCGGGGGGAAAGGCACTGTCTCCTTAGGTGAAAACAAGATCTAGATGGGAACTGTGTTGTCATAACACATGGGTTCTTCCTAACCATACTTCTTCCTCTGCTCCTTCCTTCTTTCCTTCCTTCCTTCCTTCCTCCTTCCTTTGCTTCTTCCTCTTCTTCTTCAAATTTGTATACCGCTCCCATAATAAAATATTAAACATTAAAAAAGCTTCCGTATACAGGATTGCCTTCAGACGGTTCGGGGGTCCAATGAAAACAGGGACGTCCTACCATACCCTCCAACATTTCTCCAATGAAAACAGGGGCGTCCTGAGGAAATATATACACTCAAACAATAAAGCAGTACTCATGCCCACTAATTAACAAATAAACAACACCTCAACCTCCCCCTAGTCCAAAAAAATGTAGGAACTAAGGTTCCAGCCACATAAACAAGGCAGGAATCCTGAACAGACAAGGGAGTAAGCCTCACCTGCTAATGTTAAATGCATTTAAAGACTCAGGAACAGAGGGGTTGATAAAACGTGGTGACTCTAATTAAAGGCATGCATATTTAAGTTTTTTAACTATTTTGCTTTTGGTATGTTACCATAAGAAAATGAAAACATTAAAGGTAGCCTTTCCTTCCAACATGGGAAGTAGCTTTGATTGGTTAAACTGAAAGTTCTAATTGTTTAATTAGTGTTTGGGTTAAAAGCCAGATCGTTAAATGGCTAAACTTCTTGAGTGTAGTGACAGCCCCAACAACACAAATTCATATATACCTTTTTTGCTACAGAATATATCTTCATGTCAAGGAAATCTTTTAATACGGTACCTCCACTCAAGTTACTGTGAAACAACCTGGAGCCATTACCTCATTGCACGAGGTATAAGTCAGCAATATAAACTAGCCTCTATTGTTATTATTAAATTTCTATACCATCTTCATCCGAAGATCACGGGGCAGTGTACAATATAAAAATACAAAAATACATAGCATAATAACAAACCAAAACAATAACCGCCCTGACACAGTTTAAAAAGGCCAAAGCACAAGTCAGCCTTTTTATTTAAGAAGGACTTAATGATGCTCAATTCATCAGAGAATTGAGCTATATAAATTAGTTGACCTAGCTTCAATGCCAGTAGCGAAACGAAATGAAACGTATTCAACTAAGCTGAACTCAACTAAGTATTCAACTAAGTTTTACCCAGCGTAGACCTACTAAAATTAATGAACCTAACTTAGCCATGTTCATTGATTTCAATGAGCCTACGCTGAGTACAACTTATTTGAATATGTCATTTATACTACTACACAAAGCATCACTCCTAGCAATAACAGTATCAGAACAGGCCCTAAACTGTTTGATAACCAATAAAACTATATTCTACAGAACCATATTTACGAAAGTAAATAAAACCCAACCATGTAAGTGTGTAACTACTTATTTCATAAAATTTATATACTGTTTGATTGTAAACAAACAAACAAACCCTCAAAGCAGTTTGGTTCTAAACTTTCACTAGGAAGTAATTCTGAAGTAATCACTTTAAGTAGGTTATTTGTTGCCCTCTCACAGAACCTTTAATACTGGACTTGTATACAATTATTTTTTAAAAAATATGAGTACAACAACTACTAGCTAACTGGGTTGTATCCAACATTAGTCATACTCGGAATGAAACCATTGAAATTAGCAAACATAATTAATTTAAGTTCATTGGCTTTGAGTAGAACTTGGTTGACTACAACCAACTATCATATTAGGGCACAAAAAAACCCCTCCGTTTCATTTTAAGGACTTTAATGCATAAAGCGTATAAAAAATACTTTTGTGCTTACTACCGCCTTGAAACTCCTGCGCCTGGAGATAGTATCCACAGTAGAAGAAACGAGCATTTCTCAATGTTAAATGACACACCCCGGAAAAGGGGCTTTACGGCTTATATAGATACCTCACTCCACCCCTCAGAAGAGGTGGGGCTAGTGACTTGGCTGGATTCCTCCTATATGGAATAATCCTGTCTCCTGTTCTGTTCAGCATAGCATTGGTTGGGGAGTTCTAATAGATTACAGGATAATAGGTGTTTAAAGATAATAGGATTGATATTTACTTGAGAGTGGGAATTCAGTGAAATTTACTTATGAGTAGACACACATAAGGACGCGGGTGGCGCTGTGGGTTAAACCACAGAGCCTAGGACTAGCCGATCAGAAGGTTGGCGGTTTGAATCCCTGCGACGGGGTGAGCTCCCGTTGTTTGGTCCCTGCTCCTGCCAACCTAGCAGTTCGAAAGCACGTCAAGTGCAAGTAGATAAATAGGTACCGCTCTGGTGGGAAGGTAAACAGCATTTCTGTGTGCTGCCCTGGTTCGCCAGAAGCGGCTTAGTCATGCTGGCCACATGACCTGAAGCTGTACGCCGGCTCCCTTGGCCAATAAAGGCGAGATGAGCGCCGCAACCCCAGAGTCGGTCACGACTGAACCTAATGGTCAGGGGTCCCTTTACCTTTACCTTTAGACACACATAGAGTATACCTCTTAGCCTTTTCTTCTCCCGAAGATATCCCGCAAAGCGTTGGAGGTTTAGGATCAGAGTCTTGAAATTCCTGTGTGAGGAGGGAACATTGAGAGAAAGCTGTCAAGAGAAAGCTGAGAAAAGCTTTTGAGCAGCTGGAGTAAGGACCACTGCTTCAGCTAGTGGGGGTCAAGAGAGGCAGGAAGGCAGAGGCAGGGAAAGAAAAGCAGGAGGGGAAACAGAGTCAGGCTCTGGGTTCTGCGTTGAGAGTTCAGATGTTCAGGTAGAAAAGTGATTTTTGGGGCAAAGGATGATTTCAGCATCGTACGACAGAACTGTAATCAGCATAGAATTGGAGCGGCAGAACCAAGGTCCCTGAAGCCCTGTGTTTATGTGGCTTTCTACCCGAAAGCTTCAAACCATATTTCGGCACTGAATAGGTAGATCTTCATTGGTAGAGCATTTGCCTGCATGCTGAAGGTGCTAAATTGAATCCACCTGGAACCCGGGAGAACTGCCACTCAGTGTAGACAAGACTAGATTAGATGGATCAGTGGTCTGACTCTGTTAAAGGCAGCTTCCTAGATTACTATGGAAGAAGCCTCCTTCCCTCTGTAGCCATGTTTTTCCTAAAGACTAACATAGCCATGGCACTTACTCCGCAGGAAAAGGCAGACCTCTGCCTGCCCCCAGCCATTTCTTTTATGTAGAGCCATGGTACAGTCTTTGAAAGACCATAATTAAATTTAGACTCTTGATTGAATGAGCCTATCTCCATAGGACATTCCTACTGGAATGTTGTCTTGATTGCATTACATTTTTCCTGTGATAATGATTTACAACTTCATCTCCCTTGAGGTGATCAACGTCATACCATTGTTATGTGATAGCCTCCCTTGCTTTGCTTGCACAGGAGAGCAAAACAGCACTGTTTTAAACTATTATAGTAGGCAATACCAGAGCAGTGAGTCTCCTAGGCTCTTGTAGCCATTGATAGTGGAATCTGTCCTGTCCTCTTTCAAAACTGTCCAAGTTGGTGGCCATTACTGCTTTTTGTGGGAGCAAATTCTATGTGCTGTATAAAGAAGTAGTGTATTTTGTCTGTCCTGAATCTCCGAACATTCAGCTTCACTTAAGGGTCCCTGGGGTTTAGCATTTTGAGAGGGGATTACTCCCTTATCTGCTTTCTCCACTGCATACATACGGTTATCTTGTACACCTCCATTATGTGTCCATGTTTTTCTGAACAACAAAAAAAGAAGCCCAAAATGTAGTAACTTTTCCTTACAGAGGAATCATTTTTGCTTGCCATTTTATAAAGTGGGTTTACAGGAAGGTCAAACAGCATCTGTAGAAACCTCTTTCTGCAAAGGAGAGAGATGAGAGGAGGAATACAGTACTTAGATTCCTTTTGTGGCATCCTTGTTAGTAGGCTACTCCCGTCAGTTCTGCTTTGTTAATCCTGTAGCCTTGCATCTTTCCTTTACAAAATTGCTATCTTTCTACTGAACACGCTTATAAGTTTTGACTTGAACTTTTGAACGGGATACCTGCTTGGACAGGAGGTTGACATATACGTGCCAACTCCTGAAGTATTTCTAAACAACAAAGGACTACACTAAGCAGGGAAGCTATTTCCTTTTCATCTTGCCGATTGGAAAGTCAGTGGTTTGAATCTGCGCGATGGGGTGAGCTCCTGTTGCTCTGTCCCAGCTTCTGCCAACCTAGCAGTTTGAGTGTGAGTAGATAAATTGGTTACCACTGTGGCAGAAAGGTAAACGTTTCCGTGCGCTCTGACTTCCGTCACGGTGTCCAGTTGCACCAGAAGTGGTTTAGTCATGATGGCCACATGACCCGGAAAGCTGTCTGTGGGCAAACGCTGGCTCCCTTGGTCTGAAAAGTGAGATGTGTGCCGCACTCTATAGTTGCCTTTGACTGGACTTAACCATCCAGGAGTCCTTTACCTTTACCTTATTCAGCTTATAGGTGTAACATGGATGTGGCAGTGTGACAAACTACAGTATAGATTCAACATCCTGAATGGGGCATGGGCAGAGTATCATGTCTGGTGGATGTACAGCACTGAAATAGCTTCACAACTGGTTGTAGTATTAAACTTGCAGTGTTATGAATGGTGGATGCATTGTACTATTGTGAGGGACATTGTGATTCATGGGCACGTCACAATTACTATTGTCTATAGGGGAGAGACTCTAGCTGTTTCCTCATTTCACGTTGCTTGAAATTTACTAGTGAGTTGGATTGGTGCTGAGCATAGGAATCCTGCCCAGCTCAAACTGGATTAAGCAGCACTACACCAGCAGTGAACTTTCTGAAATTATGGGCTCAGGCTTCATAATTCCAGTGAAAATGACAAATGAATCAAATGTATAAAACTTACTTTTAAAAATTCATCAGGAGACCACAGGATTCGATTTCTGTTTTTGTACTATTTCATACTGTTTGTATATTGTATATTTATTTTATATTGTAGTAGATTTTTGTGTGTTGTATATTTACTTTATTACCAACATAATTGAAATAAGATTTAAAAAAACCCCTCCTCCCTCAACAGATCACTGCCTCTAAAAGCATACAAGCTAACATTTGACAGGTGGGGAAACAACTGAGAGTGGTTCTGTTATGGAATAGTGCAGTATTGGCCTTGGCCGGATGTTGGGTTGAAATCACGACAGACGAGTAGCAGGTGTCATATGGGAGGCATCTCTGGAGCAAACCCCGAGAAGACTCTTTTATTGAATATTACAACATTGCCACAGGTGCGCGCGTTGCTGATTGGTTGATACAAACACAAAGCAACTTGTTGCTGATTGGTTAACACAAGTACAGAGCAAGGGTTATATATAGGCATTAATCACCAATAGATTAAAGGCTGGGAAAGGAAGCACAGAACTAGACAGGCATGAAACCTCCTAATTAAATTATAACTAATGATTGATATAGCAAGACTAAAACAATTACTAATGATTATTATTATTATTATTATTAATGATTGATCATAACATGAAAGAATACAATAATCGTGTTCCGTAGATGTGGTCAACTGTGCATTAAGAACAGGTCAGTCAGAGTATAATGTTTTCATGAACTTAAGATGAACTGAACATCCTAGGGAAATGAGGGAATGTCTTGGTATTTAGAACTGGTTGTACAGTATGTTCAGAAGCAGAGAAAAGCTTAGAAGCAAGACTTCCCAGAATGCCAGAGAAAAGCTTAGAAGCAAGACTTCCCATAATGCCACAGTCATGTGCAGAGACAGAACTTCCCTTCAGCCGGAGAAGATCCATTCATCCTCAGTCATAGACTGATTGAGAGGAAGGAGCCTTCCTTGGGTAAAAAACTACCTCAACCAACCTCACAGGGTTGTTATGACTATAAAATGGGATAACCACATATGACTTCCTTTAATCGAAGAGTAAAATACAGGTGTATTTTTCCTCCCTTTTAAAGAAAGTCCTTTTAGACATTTTCTGCAGCAAAAGAGTAGGACACATTCTTGCTGCTGGAAGTCATTCTCTGCTTCTTCCAGCAGCACAATGGGACACATATTTCCAGTTTTGATCAAGGGACCCTATTAAAAAGGGGGCAGTTCTTTCATTATGGTCGTGTGGAGGAAGGTCCCTAAAGGCAAATCAATCCTCTCTGTGAAATGGGCTGAACTTTACAAACACATTCTCCTGAATATAATTCCCACTCCCAGCAATGCTCCCACCGAGAGAGTGAGCATTAATGAGAGATGATGTGGTTCTCAAAAGCCAAATTTTTAAAAAATGCAAATAGCATACAGCTGACGGAACCTACAGGTCTCTGAATGCTTCTGAACTACAACTCCCAACCCCCCCCCCCCCGAGCATTGGCTAAGCCAGCTGGGGCTGAAGGGAGTCCAGCAGCGTCTGGAGGACCACATGATCCCAGTCCTCCGTATTGAAGAATCCGCGTTGAAATGTATGAGCAAAAGCCGCTTAGCACCGAGGCGCCACTAGGTGGCGCACCCGCCGGCTTTCTGCTGAGCGCGTTGCCGTCACACTCAGAGCGGCGGAGGACACCATGAGCTCCGACGACATGGATTGGCGTCATCGTCGGCGCCGGAAAAGGGACGCGAGAGCGAGCGGCCGGCGGGGGGGGGAGGAGGATGAGGGCACTTCCCCTCCAAGCCTCCAGGGGGCAGTGCTCCCTCCTTTTGGGGGCGGGTAGGGGAATCTCTCTCTGCCTTGTCGGCCAGGTGACGTGTAACGCCTGCGCGCTGAGCTCGGCCTTTTCCCCCAGCGCTGCGGCTTGCGGACGTTTCGCTGCGCGGCCCCCGGCCTTAGCGAAAGCGGACAGAACCGAGAACCATGGTCAGTACCGGCACCAAATGGGCCAGGATGGGAAGGGGAGAGTCGGCTCCGCTTTCTCGAACCCCGGCTGCCCGCTTCCTCGCTCGCTGCCGGCCGGATGGATTCGGATTGCGCAGCTGGCAGGCCCGGCTGCGGAAGCGAGTTCCAGCGTGGCCTAATGGCTGCAAGCAGCCGCCGTTAAGCCGCTGCCAGTAGAAGGGCCGCGGCTGGTGCTCCCCCTAAACACGCCTCCCCGGGTCGGTTTCTAAGGTTCTCCCACGCCTCGGGTTCCCCCGTTTTGGTTCCGTTTGCATTCTTCGGTCCCGCCCGCACAGCGCCTCTTTTCCCCCGCTCTCCGACTTGGTTGCATTTTCTCCTCCTGCCTCCCAAAATCTTCCGGCCCTTGAGCGCAGCAGTGGCGAAAGGTTCGGGCCTTGCGTGTCTGAAAGCACCCCCCCAGGCGTGCACACATGGCTCCGGGCCTGGCCTTCACGATAGCTGCGCGATCGGGAAGCGGGGGTGGGGAGGAAGCGTGATGGATAACTTGCGGGTCAAGACGCAGGCCGTCTGAAGGCGTTGCGGGCAATTGGAGGGGAGAGTCTCGAATCGCAGGTCTCGCGTAAAGCAGTGTCCCTCGTTTCTGGAAGCTTTGCGCTGTGTTGTGTCCTGGGGGGTCAGGCGATGCCCCCGTTTAAAGACTGTCTTGGAAGAGCCACATGTCTCACCGCGTGCAAACTTCCACAGCACATCAGTTTCATCCCGACTTTGTCAAATACGTGTCACTGGCAAAGCTGGATTTGCTGGCATGTGTGTAACTTGCTGAAAGGCAGGTTCTAGAGCTTTAGCTGCCATCCCAACCCAGGGCCTGTGGATCTGTCTCGTTGTTGCCTATAGGAAAATGTAATGATACCAAGGTGTGATGGCTTTTTGAAGTAAGGCAAGGCGTTGGTGGGATAATTTTATTAACATCTTCTCCCCTCTAGTGGATGGTCAGCATAAATCCTTCAGTTTTGGGAAGACTTGATTTCCACATTGCCATCCAGACACCTTGCTACTTGCTACTTTCAAACTTAGTATTTACTATATTTTCCCCATCATTGCCATAAATGCTTTATGTAGTCCAATTGTAGTTACTGGATTCTGGAAAGCTTTGAAACTTTCAATGGCATGTTATATTAAAACAGTAAGCGTTTTATAATTGAAGATGAAGGTGTCATTAATGGGTGCTAAGCACTTTGCTACTGAGCAAGTTTGAAGACTTTGCTTTCCTCTGCATCACAGCCATAAAGAAGTCTTAAGTTTATAATATGTGTTTTTTAGGCTGTGTGTGCACTTTTCAAACACATTTCCATTTTTCTCCTTGTTGACTTAAGTTCATGCTATCTTCACTTGCAAGATTATTATGCAAACATTTTTGACATTAATGTTTCTGTGTTGCATTTATTCAAGGGGTTCGTGAAAGTTGTCAAGAATAAGGCCTACTTCAAGAGGTATCAAGTCAAATTCCGAAGAAGGAGAGGTATGTTTTATTTCTTGGCAAGCTTTCAATAAATTAGATGGATGTGGCCTTGAACCTGCAGTTTCTAAATACATTCCAATGTGTCACCTTTCTGTTTCAGAGGGAAAGACTGATTACTATGCTCGTAAACGTTTGGTGATTCAAGATAAAAACAAGTACAACACCCCTAAATATAGGATGATTGTACGTGTCACCAACAGAGATATCATTTGCCAGGTAAGGTCTCCTTTCTGTCCTTGATTGTACTGCAGAGAGCTGCTTTGCACTTCACAAATTTCCTTCATAGAAATGCCCATGTAACATGTACATAAGCCTTTATAAAGGAAGAGAAGAACCTATTATTTTTCTAAAGTAGTTCTTAGGCAGAAACTATTCTAAACCCTAGAATAGGCCATATCCTGTGACAATACTTCCTTTTGTAGGAAAGCAAGACTTGGTAATGGATAAATTTGAGGAAGTGTCTTGAATGTTTTTTCTAAGAAGGAATCTTTAAAATCAGCAAAATAGGCCCTTTATGTTACCATCTCAAAACATTTTTTCATCCCCTGGAATTCTTTGCCAGGTATATATATTACTGCATATCCACTTTGCCTTTTTGGCTCAAAGGAGCTTATTGAACAAGCTCCGCTTTCTGCTACTTAATTTCTGAAGTGCTTCTCTGTGCAAAGATACGTGTTGCATCTCAAAACGTTCAGCATGCTTTCATTAGGAACAAAAGAGCTACCAGCCTGTAGAAAATGCTGAGAGTGAAGGTGAAATTATTCTTTCACAAATCTTCGTATGGCATTTTCTTTTAACTGTTCTATTAGTTCTTCTAAAAATATTCCCCTGACCCTTCCTGCTTATGAGTATCATGTAGAAAAGAAGCAGGGAACAAATTGCGAAGACGTTTCTCAGGCTATTTAACTGGCATGGCTACCAACAAGTGAGCACTGAGAATTGTAGTTTTGCAAAAGGGCTAGTAATCACTAGTATAACTCTCAGTGCCTTTCCCAAACTACAATTTCCATGGTTCTTTTGAGGAAGCCATAACTTGAACTAGTGTAAAATCAGTTTTAAACTTACACTGCATGTGTTGCATTTCTGAATTTGGTAAGGACTGGCACAGAAATTGTCAGAATTCCATTTTGAGTGTAACTTCTGATCTTGGATAAGTGTATGTCAGTGGTTTTCAAAGTTGTAGATCTTTCATCGCATGAGTGAGATATTTTATGCTTAATTTACCTGAATCTGGAAGACAGGACTGCTGGACAGCTTTTTTAAAAAAAATCACTTCAATATCATTGGCAAAGTTGCATTTTTTTTAAAAAAATTATTAAAGATTTCTTGGTTTACAAAAGTATGTGCGATGTCTCTTTTTCAGGTTACGTTTTCTACAGATCAGTTTCATTTGTTGACATTAGTGTTACATTAGGAAGAAAAGGGGGAAAGAGGTGGAGGGTGGAAATGATGAGTGGGGTAGGATTGGGTGGCAATGCTACTATTCTACTTGGCAAAGTTGCATTTGATGGTTTGCTGTTGTAGACCCTTTTACGTGGAAATTGCCATGTGCTAAGCAAATCTCCAGAAGTACTATTGATTTCCAAAGCTATGAATGAAACAGGTTTCTTTAGTCTATACATCTCTTACTTTTTGACAACAGTGTTCAAACGTCTTTGCAATTTGGGATGCAAAAACTGGAAAAAAAATGGACTAAATATGTATATCATCACTGGCAGTCTTTCCCCTGTTATATTTTCATATTGGAATGCCTTGGAAAACCTGGAAAAGGTTAAGCATGTGCCATACAGTCCTGAGGAACCAGCTGTCCTGGATGAGAAGCTGAGTGGCAAACTGTCCTGGTCTTATAGCAGCACTTGCCTAACAGCCCTTATTTCTGCCACCACCATTCTTTGTAGTTGGATAACTAAAATGCAGGACTATTGTAGCTACTGTGTATGTGTATTCTCCCTTTGTCTGTGGCTTAAAGTACCAGTAGTCCTTCACAGTCAAGAGAGTCTCAACATGTCCCTCTGAGGGCGTGGGAAAGGAGGAGCAGGATCAATAGATCAACGGTAGGGGGCAAGGTGGGAACTGAGCAGATGATGAAGGGAGAGAATGATTTGGTCAGTGTCTTTTATAAGGTTTTATTATTCCGATGAAGATCTAGCAGTTGCTGATACGTGCTTTACTTACTCATGCTTCTTAGGTAGATATACAGTGTTTACAGACATTGTGGGTGCACTCTGGTATGGGGGGAAAAACATGGGGGAAGGTTGGCACTACAGGACTGCTGACTTTGATGGCACTCCTCTCAAACAGAGGGAAGACTGCAGTGAATTAATATTGCAGCTGTTTGGTTGGAGGTCGCCCACTAACCTTGTTTTTGTTGTCAGATCGCATATGCCAGAATTGAAGGCGACATGATTGTCTGTGCCGCATACGCTCACGAGCTGCCAAAGTACGGAGTGAAAGTAGGCTTGACCAACTACGCTGCTGCCTATTGCACAGGCTTGCTGCTGGCCCGCAGGGTATGTATCTATTCTGAAAAATCAGAATAACATCTGCACCAGCTTATTTGACACAGATTGAGACACATAATTTACAAATAATGGAAATTTAGGGTTTTATAGTATTAGCTTAAAGTGTATGTCTGTAAGAGGTGGGATATGCATATCACCACTTACCCAGTCTGTTTCTGTTTTAGTCCTCAAGTACAAACCTGGGATTTTGTGTGTATTAAGACGGCACCATGCAAAATGAACTGGGCAAGAAATAAATACTGGGTTAGAGAAGATGGCAGAACGTTGGGTTTGGGGGGGGTGTGTGTCTGTGCTTCTGTCATTTCAGCATATCAGCCACCAGTTATTCCTTAGTACTTGATGAAAGTAAAATTACTTTCGCAGAATTCTTATATCGGTGGAATTTCTTTACTGCAAGTTTCTATTTCCCTTCCTCTGTAGCTCTTGTTATGTTCTCCCACCTTTCAGCCATGGCTTTAGAGACTTCCTTGCATTGTAATGTAGTAGAGGTACGGCAAGCTCAACTTACATTTAGTAACTTGGAATTCTCACATTAGGGTGTTATCCAAATGGCAAATCCCATGCTGAAAATGGGCTGGAAAATGTTTTGCTGACTGTAGTCTCAAAAAGTTGCTTCTGTAGCATCACTTGTGTGCACTATTGACTCCTAAAAGATTGTTGGTGCATGAGTTAATGTCTTTAAAATTAATACTTTACCATTCTGGTCACAACTGGCCCTTGGAGTGGGTTGCAAACTGCCTGTCTTTCTGTCTCATGATATGTGCAATGTTTCACCGAAAGCCTGTTTTGGTCTCCAGTGCAGTAGATCTGCGAAGAAGAACTTAGACCTGTCTGCCTTGTTCATTGCAGCTTCTGAACAAATTTGGCCTTGATAAGATCTACGAAGGTCAAGTTGAAGTGACGGGTGATGAGTATAATGTAGAAAGCGTGGATGGGCAACCTGGTGCCTTTACGTGCTATTTGGACGCAGGCCTTGCTCGCACTACCACTGGGAACAAAGTTTTCGGTGCTCTGAAAGGAGCTGTGGATGGTGGTCTTTCCATTCCACACAGGTAACCTTCCCCCACCCCCCGGGACTGATAGTTCAAACACTTCCTCTAGAAATGGAGATGTTTTTGTTTTGAAATTTAAATTCAGTATATTTAACTTTCACCATTGGTGGTGGTGGTGCTTAATGCTACTTGCTGCATCTTAAGTCACTTGGCCCTGGGTATGATATTCCCATTGCGGACTTCACTTGCTGCCTCCTCTCTACCACAGTCTTCCACATACCAGACGCTCAGAGATCTGGCTCATATGATAATTACCACCATTCATCACTTTGACAGCAGCAGTAGATTGTACAAGCAATACCCGGAAGAGTAAAACAGGTTGTTGTTTCTGCTGCCCTACCAAAGAACCCCTTTATTACAACGCTCCTTAATAATTCACCTTTTTTTTCTTCTTGTCTTCAATCTGGCTGCTATGTGATGATGTCCCACTGACTTGAACATGTTGTAGTTGGTCCTTGGCATGTGTATGAGAGAGCTCAGTGTTTCAAGACGGGACTGATGGTGGCTGAAATTTCTGGCTGGTCTTGACTGATTTTTGCTTAAGAAATGCTTTCTCCCAAATGTTCACGAGGGTTCCTCAATTCATGTCTGACAGTACCAAACGTTTCCCTGGTTATGACTCGGAGAGCAAAGAATTCAACGCAGAGGTCCACCGCAAGCACATCATGGGACAGAATGTTGCTGATTACATGCGTTACTTGATGGAGGAAGACGAAGATGCTTACAAGAAACAGTTCTCCCAGTATATAAAGAACAACGTGACGCCTGATATGGTAAGATGCTTGATGTTCACAGTGATTGAAAAAGCAAGTACTAAGAGTGTGTCTTGTGTTGAACTGATATTGCTGGCAATGGACACTTTTATGGGAAAATACTAGCAAGTATCTGGGATCTTTCAGATCTCAGGCCTAGTATCTTTGTGTTCTGAGCTTTGCACATCCCTGAAAACATCTTATTAAATAATGACCTATCATTCCATTTGTAAATCCACCACAAATACGTGTCCAGTTTCCTGACTGCTTGTAAATTCCCTGGTTAACTCCTAAATTGTCTTTCTTCTGGTGATTAAAAGGCTCAAAGCTTGCTCAGACCTTTGGAGTTCCTGTTTGATGAGAGAACATCTTGATAGTAGTAGCCTTGGATTGGGAAGCAGGGGTGCAGAAAGCGCTGGGAATTCAGTTGGACGTGAGCAGTCAGAGGTGCATGAATTCCTTCTTTCTTGCACTGCTAAGTGGATATGAGGAAACGAGTCTTAAATCCAGCCTTGCAGGTGGCCACTCATCCAGCACCAGCACTCTTGTTGTGAATCACAGATAAAATTGCTGATATGCAAGGCTACTTTAAACCACGAGCACTTTGGTTTGTGATAAATTTTTAGCATAATTTGCCCTTCAGAGGAAATGCATTTGTAGTATTAAGCCATTTGGTGTACTTGGGAACTCCAGAGCCCCTGTGGAAATTTTGCTTGCTCGAGTTCATGGGCTGGTAACCAAGAAACTGTTAGGTTGGCTGCTTCAGAGTGGTTAGGCAGAAGAACAGATGTCCACACATTTGCAAAATCATAATTTATTGTTGAAAGTAAGATGCAAGTTTCCTAGTTGGAGATGTTAGTCCCCACCCCCTCCGTTGATTTGGAGGAGGCTGAAAACCTCTGGACCACATAGATCTCTGTTTGTGTGTGTGAAGTTAGAGCCTGACTAAGCTAATTTTGCTTCTGTGAAGGAATCAAAATATTCAAGTGGCAAAGTGGCTGACCGCTTCTTGTGAGGGATGTTGGTACTCAATGGTCAGTGGTCAATAGTCCCAGCCTGCTTGAGTACTGAAAATTGTAAAAACTAACTAGTGCTGTGCATATGATGGCTGTTCATACACAGGTGTTTACTGCCTCCCACTTATCCCAAATGTGAATTTGCCCCAAGTTCCTCTAATTGTGGGTCTCTTTTATACGTACTTAAATGTTGGAAGAAAGGTCATACGCATGAACTCCATATTGATTTGTGCATTCATTCTGTGTCCTTATCTAGAATAATTCTGGGGTATGTAGTTATGACAATATTGTATATGAGTTAGTTTTAAAACATTACTTCCTATAATACATTACAGCGCGGGGGTGGGAGTGCCAAGTAAATTTTGGTCAACATGTACAAAATGTAAAACTGATTTCTAAAATCCTTATTTCAGATGGAAGAACTGTATAAAAAAGCCCACGCTGGAATACGTGAAAATCCAGTCCACGAAAAGAAACCCAAGAGGGAAGTCAAAAAGAAGAGGTGAGATGGTCATTTTCTCCTCCTGCAAGATGATATGCCATAAAGAAATGTTTGTTACTGAAAGTGCTGTGCCACTGAAACTTTTTGAAATGCATTAACACTGACAATTGGCGAATACTAGGATGGGAAGATTTCTTAGTTTTGTGGCAGGAATCTGCATTTTCAGAAACATTTTTGCTTATTGGGAAGCTTAGTGTTAAAGCCCTGTGTGCTTTAACAGCTTGGGCTAGATCGTTTTAGGCTTGAGGGTTGCATCCAAGCTGCTAAAGCTCCTCCTGTGTTGCAGCCTCCTTCGTGAGCTTGTTCCCGGCAGGAAGTTCTGCCTTTGCAAGCTGGGTGCTGCTTATGAACCTTAAGATCTCTGCTTAATGTAGGTCAAAACAAGAAGGGATCTTAGAAATGGCAGTACTGGCAGTTTGAATATGAGCAGCTGTAGAACAGAACTGATAACAATTCATTGCATTTGTTATCACTTAACATGTATTTCATGGGCTGCTCTTAATTCGGTTGCAGGAGAAAAGCAGCAGTTCCACTTAGTTCCTATGATTGTTCTGGCCTGATTCTATAGGCCAGAGGTGTTTTGGCTGCATTGGTTATTAGTGTTCTTTGGTATGACAAACACAGAGTTTTCCATTCTTGGTTGAAAGTTAAGGACAGTGGTTGCTTAGTTTTCAAGTTAATAGAACACCTTTTGCTCTGGGAATGTCATCTTAACCTTTAAATCACCTTGTATCCTACTCTTCTAGGAGTTTTCCACAGGCATTTGTAAAGCATTCAAGGGTCCCAGCCATGTTCATTTGCCTACCTAGTTTAGTTAGTGGTGAGTGTAAATCTCACAGAACTTGGATGTATTCCTGGTGGACCTGCCAGTCTGTATTTGGTATAAATTAGCAAATCTAGCAGTGAACACTTGAGTGATGGAATGGGGCCATCTTTCTCTGAGGGTCTTGAAGGGTATTTGAGGGAGGTGATCATATATGTGAACAACCTGTGGCTTTAGGGCCACATGCAATATTTGGCTAAATTTCAAAAGTCCCAGTTAGGTGATCTTTGGTTCTCAGCACAGCAAACAAGGGCTCCCCATCTCTGCGCTATAACCTTGGCCAGAGTTGAGTGATTTGAATTATTTTATGCAGCCGCATAAGAAAACTTTCCCCTTCCCTTCCATGTTAAGACTCACATCAGGTAGACTTAAATATAGTTGGAAAATTAAGCCACTGCTGAACTGATAACCCCAGAAATTGGGGGAGGGGAGGCAGTGACATGGTAGGTCCTCTGCTGTAAGCATATGATGCAGAGTTATAATAATCCTGCCTTCTGAGGATGGACTGTATTGATGTCATATACTTGCTTTTGGAGTCATAACATACAGGTATGTTTAGAATGATCTGACATTCCTGGGAAGAGTGTCACTGCCTCTCAATACCTGACTATGTTACATGGTAAAATAAGATAGCCCTGAGTGGCACAGTGATGGATTAAAAAGGTAAACAAAATCAGTGGTAGCCTGTAGAGTGGCACTTTGAAATAGTAGGTTGAAGTCAAGTTTTTCCTTTAAAAAAAAAAAAAAAGATTGTTCATAAGGCTCATGCCTTATGCTTGACACATCAGCAACACTAACCCAATCTCTTATTTGCAGGTGGAACCGTCCCAAGTTGTCCCTTGCCCAGAAGAAAGATCGTGTGGCCCAAAAGAAGGCTAGCTTCCTAAGGGCCCAGGAGCGTGTGGCTGATAGCTAAGAGGCCTTCCATAATTTTCTATGGAGATGTCAGAAAAGAGAATAAACTTATTGAACCAATGTTGTAAGCATTGACTTACTGATGCTACATCATAGCTGCTGTTGGATAACTGAACACCTGCTGGCTTCTTCTTTTTACCTGCTTTATTCTTTTATTTAAAATACAGATTCCATCCCTTTGCATTTATATCCTTCTTTTCTTCTGTCAGGGAGTCCAAGGTGCCATAAGTGTGGTTTCTGGGCAGTTAAGCCATCTAAGTGCTTAGCTTCAGGAAAGTGGTGGTCTCATGTGGCCTTCAGACCATGTGAGAAGACTGGAGTTTGCTTCTTTTGCATGTGTTGGGCTCTTGCTTATCAAGTACAGATTAATTATGGAGAATGATTTCTGAGCCAGTCAGGACAAAAGCTTTAAGGGACACTACCCTGTTCTGTCCAACTTCCATAGTCTAAATTAAGGCTTTGTCAAAATGGAACCTTGAGAGGGATTCCGTTCAGAGCTGCCCTTGCTCCATCATGGAGTCTGTTGGTGCTCAGCTGAGGACCTCTTTGGATATTCAAAGTCCACTTTCTTAGTCCATTCAGGTCTTGGAAATGCAAACCAACCCCAATCCCTCAACTGGGTTCAGCTCTAGGAACAGTAGTTGTTTTTCCATGAACTTAGCGTTACTCCCAAGCCTTAATGACATAGTGCCAGTAGGGGAGGAGGGAAATGGGGTGGGCTTTAGAGAATGGAACTGGCATGCAATTATGCTTGCTGTATATGTGCATGAAGCATCTTCCGTATTGCTTGTCTAATTCAGTCAAAGTGGCAGAGCAGGCGCTTTGGAGAAGAATGTTGGCTCTCTCTTTAAAACAAACACCTTCCCTTCTGTAGGGTAGCAGGCACAGTTCTAACATTTGAGGTACGAGCCATGGAGAGAGATGGCAGCACCTTCCTCTAAACCAAGCAGCCCTCTTTAAAATATGAGTGGAGAGTGGGAAGAGTCAGATGGCAGCACTCTGTGGGTCTTAAGTATGTATGAATCCAATCCAGGCCTGACAAAAGGAAAGTTGTGCTGTAAATACTTGTAAAAGCAAAAGTGTTAGAAAAACCTGCCTACTTCCTCACTCGTTCCACAAAAGAATGACGTGCTGTTCGACCTTGAAGAAATTCCAATGTTAAAGCATTTGCTAAGGCGCAGGAAGGATAATCTGATAGAAGATTTAAGGGCTAGCTGTGTCAGGACCAGACATAATGCCCAACTGTCTAGCAGATTTATCAAATTTCTTCTGGAAGAACACAGACAAATTTGAGAAACTTGGCCCAGTATCAGGTTCCCTCTACATTTCTCTGTAGCAAGACCTGCCTTACCCACCTCATCCCTGGTGCTGAAGGTGAGCAGTGTGACACAATAGATGATGTTACATGAAACTTTGGGTGCAGTCCCTACTTTGCCTAGGTGCCTCTTTGTTCCTGGAGCAAATTGTTATCTCAGAGCCTCAGTTGGGAGGATAACTCCATGCAGCAGCCTGACTACATACTAATATAAAAGGTAAGTCCAGGTGGCACTGAATGTCATCAAAGGGGCCAAGCAGACTTTGCTGGGGAGATCATTTCATCGATGAGAGCCACAACTAAAGTCCCTCTCCTTATTGCCACACCCAGCGTCCCTCAGAGGTGAGACCTGTGGAGGGCCTGAGGATCTAAGGGGTCCAGGTAGGTTCATGCTGGAGAGACATTCCAGAAGAGAGTGAGATCCTGAGTCATACGTCATCTGTTAAAACCAGCACTTTGAATGGGTCTTGGAAGCATACAGGCAGCCAGTATAGTTGCAATTGGTGGTCTATAATCCGTTCACTTCAAAACTCAATAGGCAGCCTCATCTGCACTATGAAGCATTCAGACAGTTTTCACAGGCAGCCCCATGTAAAGTGCACTGCACTCCGATACTGATGCTACCCAGGCAAGCGTACCCCTGTCCAGATACAGTAATGGTTGGGCCACTAGGGGTCAGTACAAACTAGTCATGACAAGAATTTAAGTTGATCCTTTGAAGAAGTGAGGCAAAGTAGCATACCTAAATTGACTCAATGGGTTTCATGGCAATTCAGGTTTCCCATTGATGAACTGGCAAGGTCTACTGTGAAGCAGTTTAGACTTTGATCTGTTAATTATTTCACTACCAGATCGGGTAATGCAATTATATAGTGTATCAGGCCTTGTAAAAAGGAATAAGCAGATGTTATTAAGCAGGTATAAAATGGAAACCTGATGGTACAAATGGAACAGTTTTGTCCATTCTATCTTCCCGATTTGGTTTCCTGTATTTGGAGGAACCAACTAGAACACATGGATCCATGAGTGCTTAGCTTTCATGCCCAAGAACCAGTTAACCTTTTGTCATTTCCATTATCTTATGAAGAACATGAATACTTTCAACAGAAAATTGAGGTCTTTTCCCTCCTACTCTATTAGAAGTTATTCCACACCACTGCCGGAATGGGGAAATAATTCCAGTTTATTGTAAACAATTCATATTCAAAATGAAGTCTCCTGGAGATGGTGATTTAACAGCAATCAAAATGAAATACAGTACAAACTGCATTGCTGACAAGTTCCATTATTCGAAAATTTCAAATATCTAGAAATATTTGGCTCAATATTTTTTCCCACTGAGCAATGCCTTTAACAATATTGACATTCAGGTTTACCCAGCATGGATATGCCTAGTAAGATAAAAGATTTGTTTAGTGGTTGCAAATATTAAATGCTGCCTCTTAAATAACATCTGTTAATTTAAAAACAAAGTGGACATTGTGCAAGAAATTTGTTAGTAAAAATATTTACACAAGGCAAAAATGCGCAAGATTCTAGAGCAAATTATTAACACTTTACACATTGTACAGGGAACAAAGATGGGTTTGCTTTGTTAAGTGCATGTTCATTATGTGGGGGGGAAAATATTTTAAGTTGTGTTGACAAAAGAGCATGTTAAATACAAGAAACCCAGATGAAGAGATACATTAACGTAAGAGACTTCATCATTTTCTCCCTCTTATAACAGAAATACCAATGAATCAAGTGAAGGGTGGAGAGAGTGAATTAGTGTCAAGTTGAATACGCTGAAGAGCTCTGTCAAAACAATGACAAATGTCATTTCAATAGGTAGAAGTGGATGATTGTTTGATGCAACATGTCAACAACAAGAAATTAAAGTAAAATAACAGCTATGTGTTCAAATTTTCCATATTTGTTCAGAACTGGGGACTGTGCCCCTAGCCCTAGAAGAGCATATAAAATAGAAAGTGAAAAGTACCACACAGGTCTGAAAACAGAACTGTGCTGGGTGGCCTAAACACACACCCTACCATTGTCTTGCTTCCCTTTGCTGTTTTGTGATGTGAGCAACATTACAACTCAGGACCATTAAATGCAATTTCCTTCCAGTTTGCCACAAGTTCTAGAAAAAGCTTCGATACTGCAAAATGTGTTCCAGAGTCTACTTCAAAATACCCAGATTTTCAAAGTAACATGGTAAGTTTGACCCACAAAGCCAGAGCAACTATCTTATACAACGTTTGGATTAATGGGTTTGCATTCAAGAATTTTGGCTTACTTGGTTCAGGAACACAGCTGGGTGAGATCAATATTAAGCGTATTTGTTTCTTCAATATCAATGCTTAACCATAGAAATTGACCGGACTTGGCTTATATTTCGACACACTTTGGAGTTGCTGAGCTGTAATGGAATTACTTCAGAATAAACATGTGACAGAATTTGGCTGCTGGGTGATTACATTTGGCCAGATTGGTTTTTAACGTTTTACCATCAGACAAACCACAGCTGGGTTATTAATTGCACTAAAGTTATGAGTTCGCCAACTCATGTATAAAATTCAGTTTTAGTGTCCCACAACTCTTTGCCTTCAGACTGTGTAATACCTTTTGTTACACATCCGCTTACATTAAGACCCATATGATTGCAATTTATCAGTTTAGTGTCATTAAATATTGCTACTACAAGATGTGTGGGTGCTTAAAATCAACTGCTAGCATGGGAAAACACCTACTTTTAACTAGGAAGTTTCAACAACTTAGTAACATTCAATGTACGCATGAGGTAAATGTGTATACAAATGTATAAATGTAACAAAAAGTTCTGGTTTCAAAAACCTCCAGTTAAAACATGTTCAATTGTCACACTGAGTTTCTTTCTTAAAAATCACTAATGTGCAAATTCTGCCATGCTAAAATTAGTAAACAATCTCAAAAATATTATTTTCATTTATAAACAGTAGCTTGGATTCTACCATGTTAATTTCTAGTAGTGGTGGGTCTTGTGGCCAATGTTTGTAAAGTTACTTTCACTTTTCAAAAAGTCCTCAAAGGAAAAATTAAGCGCACTACAACCCATTTTGTAATTTGGGGGAGTGACAAGAGAAGGGGTAGGGAGCAGCAAGAAAAAGAGTAACTTACAACACTGTTTAAGGGCAGCAGCCTTCTTTGGGCTTGTGGGATTCTTCAGAACTCTGCTTCAAAAACCTCTCAGGATGCAAACAGCTAGCATCTCAGGTTGAAGGTTACTTTACAACCCTTTCTTTGACAAGCCACATTTTCACATACAGGGAGTATCTGAAGTGCCTAAGTACTTGAACGTGATTTGTATTCAGAAGTAGGACAGGTCATCTAGAATTGTACCATGTGAATTTTTTCCTCAACAGGCAAGTTTTGCTAAAAAAAAAAAAGTATCTTGATTCTGCTCTTCTAAAATTATCTTAAAGGTGAATAAGGGCAAGAGGAGAATGTGTAACCTGTATTCTTTCCCTAATGGGAGTGTTATAGCCATATGGCTTCAGTATCTCTGCCAGGCAGATATTTAGAGAACATACATTTTCCAACTGGAAAAAAATCACTGTGGTGGCTGTGTTTGAAGGAGCATTGATGAGAGAGGAGGCTAAATAAAGATTTTTTTTCAACGTTGAAGCTGTGTTTGAAAAAAAGTAGTCAGCTCCTACAGCAGCAACAATGTTCTTCCGAGACAAAGAAACTAAGAATCATTTGTATGAGATATTTTCTTCCACAGTAGAGTTTTCAGGTTGTTGAGTATCAAGGAATGCTCCATCTCCATCTGGTTTGCTGAAACTTTCAGGGCAAGGCATGAGTACAGCTGTTTCTCTAACTCTTCATGTATTTCCAGAGGAGCCCCACGAAGCAGGTAATCTTTGAGCAAGTGGCACACCTTTGCCAAATTTGGCTGAATTATTTCTGTGGTACATTTCATTTTACTTTGGTCACATACAGTTCTGCAGTCCGATCCATACACACAATCCAGGTCAGACTCACAGTGACGATCTTTAATTAGTTCTTTCAGGTTCATTTCTGGCACTATTTTTCTCATGTCCACCATTTTTAAGTCATATTTATCATTGTAACCCAGGTTTTTGGCACTCGTGTCGCACATAAGGAAATTCCCATAAGGTCCATGGAAAATGTCTTCCACAAATTCTAGAAGCCCTATGGCTATTTTTGCCTTTCTAGGCCACGATGGAGTAAACCACTGATCTATGCTTCTTCTGAATCCAGAGGGAATGAAAAGTTCTATGATCCACGGAAGGCTTATTCCAAAAAGAGAGGTATATTCAACTTTTTCCATCACATATAGATCTCCACAAAAACCTAACAGTTTGGGAGTATGTTCTTTATCCTGGAGAATTACCATGAGCAGAAATTCATTCAGCTGGAGAAGCGCCCAAGCTGACTTTGCTTCTGGCAAGGAAACTCGACCATCTTTGTTCCCATCAGCAACAGACAAGATGAGATTAACCAGCTCAGGAAGATTCCCCTGCTCTCCTAGTTTTGCCTAAAAAGAAACAAAAGATAGATGATAAAATTATGTATTATTTTTTTAAAAAGTAACAACCTACATAATGCTGTAAATGCCGGTGCATATTTCTCATTCTCAGTTCCTGTTTCTAGTAATGTTAGGGAAGCTATTCTGGTTCAAAGGCATTTAGGAACAAAGTTTATTACCGAGCTGCACAGTGCTCTGTGCTAAGTAGTGCAGCCATTTTAGCATTATTGTATTGTTCTGTAATAACTGAGGTGGTATTTTTACAGTCACAAAATAATCTGAAAATCTCAGCTCTTATTTTCAGACAGAATTTTGTCCAGTTATCCATTTAAAAGAGAACTCCAAAACCTCTTTACAACGACCCACCAAATGGAAGTTTTACCACTTACTTTATAATATGTGGTGGCCTCTAGGTTTTCAAATATCCATCATGCGGTCTAGTCCTGAAGCAATACCTATATTAGGGGTGGTGAACCTCAGGCCCATGAGCCAATCTTGGCCAGTGAGGCTATTTCTCCCAAACCCCACTTACCTGTCCATCAGTTAGTGACATCAGCTGGTAGGCAGGGGGGTGTCACTTGTGCCGAGCACTGCTTCATGGGAAACATGATGGCAAAGCAGACCTCAGCAGCCAGCTGGATTGAAACTTATGCGTCATGGGGGCGTGGAGAATGTGTGTATGAACTTAACAGTGCTTAGTTTGTCTTCTGGTTGCTATTTTGTTAATGTTGCTAATGTTGCTAATGTTGTTCTATTGATTATATATGCTGTATAGATTTGTTGTGTGTTCAGCTTATTTTGTTACTTGTTGCTTTGTTAACAATGTTCCATAGACTGTAATTGTGTTACTGATGATTTGTTATTTACTCAATATGATTATGCTGTATTTGTGTGATGTTCCATTACGTTCTATCATGCTATTGCTATTTATTGTTTGTAAGCCTTGAGATTCATTTGGATGAAAAGAGGCATAGAAATATAATAAATCAAATCAAATCAAATCAAATCAAACCTTCGACTTATCAGCTGGCAAGCAGAGGGTTCAGCCTTGCTTGGTGCACTTTGCCAATGGATTCTATGCAGGGAACGTCCTGGCAAAGCAAACCCCTCAGCCTACCTCCACAGGCCAACACCTTACATCTCCAGGAACTGGACTGCTGGGCCAAAAAGGTTCCCAATCCCTGGCCTATGTAAAAATTGGGTGGTGGGTAGGGGATTAGAGACATCACCAGTACTTTGAGCTCACTAGCCACCACTGGAGGTAGGTGGTGAGAGTAAATACTCACTTTAAAGAGTCCATAGACCATCTCCTTGAATTTCTGAACTGTAGTTCCTCTAGTTGGTTTATCAAACAGAATAGTTTTCTTTCTCGGTTCTAGTTCAGTTCTGAGATCAATGTGAGCAACTTCTTCCATTTGGCATTTTATTACACCTTGTAGATTGCCCCAGGCTCCTAAATACATCTACACAACACAGGAGAGATAGAGATTCTGGAATTGACTAAATTTCCACAACTTACATTAGCATGGTGCCTCTATTAATTGGACAGATTTAATGTTTATATACAAGTACTAACAAAAGTAGCGCAGGCAGCAAGTGATTTCTTAGAAACGTTCCTGTTCTTTTCAGGCACAGAAGAGAATGCCATTGACAAGGTAGCGCCTACTGAGATGGGTGCATGAATCATAAAAAGTACGGTACACTCATTTTCTTCTTCAGGACTAGTGCTTTTAAAACAATAGAAATATGCCTATGAATAGTCACATAACACTAGATAAACTATTGTCTAAGATTTATTTAACTTAGTAACAGTCCTGCTAAGTATAATACTTTGGGGCTAACAGAAGGCAGATTCAGGGTAACTGCCTGTGTATCAGGGATGGGACTGTTAAAGTACAAGATACATAGTATTTAAAAGCTATCCAAAGCTTTTAGTAGTCTAGCAGTAAACTCATGTCATGTATAAGGATCTCTGTTTCTCAACTACGTACTTCATTTTGCACTGATTGCGATATTCAAAATGTACTGCACTGGAATGCAAACACTATCTATACCACCCAGATGGTTATTTAGTGATATACTAAACAAGCATATTTAGTGATATGCTCACTTTTTAAAGTGAGCACTATATTCTACCACTTTAATGGGGAGATACTTTTTGAAGGGCTGAAGTTCCTACATAGAAAATAATGAAAAGTGGGGTGTTTTGTAGTCTGTATCAAATAAATCCATCTACAGAAGTTTAAATATGCATTCTTTTAATCCAGCATTGAATTTGTTTTTTTTAAAATGATATTTATTAAAATTTCAGAAAAAAGAGTTACATAAAAACAAGAAAAGCAAAAACAAAAGACAGAAATAAAAATACAAGAAAAATACAAAATACAAAATACAGAATAAAAGAATAAAAAACACTTTAAAAAAATAGATCAATCTTTCCATGCCTTACATTCATATCCTTGTTTCCCTGACCTCCTCATACCTCCCTTTTTTGTATTCCAATTCAATTAGTTAATTCAGCAATTTCTTTCCCTCTTTATTTTCTCTTAATCCTTTAACTTAATATACTATAACTTTAAATTTCCACCTGTTATCAATCCATTTTTACATACACCTTTATAGCATTACTGCTTAAACCACCTAACTTCATTCTAACATCATTCTAACATTCATTAATTTTGCAATATTTCTGTAGATAGTCTTTAAATTTCTTCCAATCTTCTTCTACCAACTCTTCTCCCTGGTCTCGGATTCTGCCTGTCATTTCCGCCAATTCCATGTAGTCCATCACCTTCATCTGCCATTCTTCCAGAGTGGGTCCAGCATTGAATTTGAATCATTGTTTTAAAATTCTGCCATATTCATTTTCTTTCCATTAACTATGAGTGATGACAAGCTCAGACATTTATTGAATGTAAAGCAAATCCAAATGCCAAACCTTAGTTTGAAGCATTAGCCTTACAACATATTACTAAAGTATATTAAAAATAGATTATTCCATAAAAAGATCTAGACCTAGCTAAAGTTTAACTGTGACTAAGCAACAGAACTCATTTCATTGGGTGGTATTCAACTGTAGACTTACAGAAATTAATGGACCTAACTTAGTCATGTTCATTAATTTTAATGGGTCTAATCCAAGTAAATCTTAGCTGAATACCACCCACCGTTTCAATGATAATCACAAGTAGCTGGGTTGGGGTCATAATGTTCTCCACTGGCTGGCGATTCAGATTTCTTTTTTTTGCAATAGAACTGCATGACATTACAAACCATTCTAGCCAGACTCCTTTTAGACGGTAACCAAAGGGAAACAAAATGCTGTGGCACCCAAATCCTAACAGGTGCTCTTGTTCTGTGGTCCAGCCACCCTTAAACATGTCACACTAAGGGGTTTCTGGAAGGTGAGTGTGTGCCCTTTTCCTGTTTGTCAGGAGACATAACTTCCCAGTCACCACTCTCTCTAGTGCTATAAAATGTTAAAGGGTTAAGGCTACTATTGCCAAACCTGAGTACCCTCTTGTTATACAGTGAGGGGGCTTGGGGGAGTTCAGCATACTAAGCAAATATGTCTTTCCTGAAGCATTCTAGTGTAATATAGAACTAGTGTAAGCTAACAAGAGGACTTCCCAAAATCCTAGTCCTCTAGCCAGAATACCATAAGGTGCTCAAAATGGCCAGTCTCCCTACTCTTCAAATGACACCTTCGACATCCCATAAATCCTGCAAGTCACTGAACACACACAGGGTGGTTGTTGTTGTTTTAAAAAGTTTAATTTTCTTTGAAATTTACAAATGAATTAACTTCAATACACTGACGTAGTCTAAATATGCAGAAACTGTTATTTTTCAGGTGACATTATTTTCCTGCCAAATTTACCACCCAGGTTCAGTATTAGAAGAAATGATGCTGCCAGTATCCAGCGTTTTTAAATCATGAGGCAGTATATATAACATGAATATTTTTGAGTGCATTTCTTCTGTATTTGATTCAGAAGTCCTTTTGACAGTAATATACCGAAGTTGTCCAATTACCAGATTTATCACTGCTTAATGTTTTTATGAACTTGACAAAAATATAGAGCAGACATACCTGATTGTTGGGCTTGGTTGACAAACATTTTCCAAAATACAGAGTTTGTCTTGTACATAGGCTACTACATGCTGATCCATCAATAACTCCAGTCTTGTACTTATCACACTGGAAAAAATGGCAGAGAAGACCACTATATGAGTATCAATACATTTTCTACCTCCAATGATCGGGTATCCCGGGGACGCAACCACCCTGATTCACTTTGAAGGTTCCTTTGGTCTCAAGATTCCAGACATTTTATTTCTATTTTCATTGTCTAGTCTCTCTTTGCCCACCATCTGCTCCCACTGCCTTAACCATTTTCTTCTCTTCCAACAAAACAAAAGAAAGAACATTTTCACATCATTACTGAATGCTCTTCTAGAAGATGCAGTGATAGGAAGATTAGGCAAATTCATGGGAAGCAAGGCTATTGTTGGCTATGGTGGTTATGTTCTGCCTCCCTTGTTAGAGGCAACATGATTCTGAATTCCAGTTGTAGGGTGCCAGAAGTACGGAAACTGTTGTCACATTGAAAAGCTTCCCATGGGCATCTGGTGGCCACTGTGACAAGAGGTCACTGAAGTAGATAAATCTTTGGCCTAACTCAGCAGGGCTCTTCCTATGTTCTTATATTAAACTGGGTTAATTATCTGAAGAAATATTGAGTGCACAGAATAAAAGTTATTGTTTGAGCCTATACCTCATTTTGATACACAGTAGTGCATAATAACAAATTGCTGAAAATTGTGCTATTTACTATGTTGTTGTTTAGTCGTTTAGTCGTTTAGTCGTTTAGTCGTGTCCGACTCTTCGTGACCCCATGGACCAGAGCACACCAGGCTATTTACTATACACAATAGCAAAAGATAACATTGGTTTATTTTATATATATTATAATATATATATATATATATATATATATATATATATATATACACTTAAAATATTTTAAAAACGTACTTACTATTATTTTCTTGCAATCATGCCCTCTACAAAGTTCTGTGTAAGATGAATACTGAACATAAATAATCCAGCTGCCAATAAATACCCCTAGCCAGGAGAAGAAGAGATACTTCATCCGCATGTAAGAGAAGCGAACCTTTAGGGTAGAGAGACAAACAAGAGGGGATGGGAGGGAAAGGTTTCAGTAATATTTTATGACATCTTGCATAACCTAATTTCACTGTGCTAAGTAATAGCTTTGGTAGTAAATAAAATGCAAATTGGCATTAGCTTCAATCCAAATAAAGTAGAGAATTTTATTTCACAGCATTGAAAGCAAACTCAATTACATTTATTTTCAGTTCTCTCCAGAAACCTCTGGGTGAACCATTGGGAGTTCAAGTTTTGTCCTCATATAACAGGCATAGGCAAACTCGGCCCTCCAGATGTTTTGGGACTACAACTCCCATCATCCCTAGCTAACAGAACCAGTGGTCAGGGATGATGGGAATTGTAGTCTCAAAAACATCTGGAGGGCCGAGTTTGCCTATGCCTGTCATATAGCCATCATGTGAAGTAGGTAGGGGTTACTGGAAGGAGAATTAGAAAGTAATAATTAATCACCACTTGTTAAAACTGGTCCAGAATAATCCAATATCTACTGTATTCAGATTGATATATACCAATAACACAGAATTGTAGAGGTAGTTCTTTTATCTTCACCTGAGTAGGGAAAGTATCTTATCATTTATATCTCACTTGTCAGCACCAGCAATAGCAAGAAATGGCAGTTTCTGAACTTAAGAATTTAAGGATTTCACACACACACACACACACACACGTTTTCAATGGAAGTTTTACGTACTATCATGACCAGGATTAGGACTTGGGGGAATGAAGATTCAAATCCTCACTGAGCCATGATGCTCACTGAGTGACCTTGGGCCACAGGGTTGCTGTGTGAATAACACTGGAGAAGGGAAGAACCATGTGTACCACTTTAGCTCCTTGGTGGAAAAGTGGGCTATAACTGTTGTAGTAGTAGTAGTAGTAGTAATAATAATAATAATAATAATAATAATAATAATAATAATACTACCACAACAGTATTCGAAGTAGCCTGACACAGGAACTAGCCAGCTGGCACTACCAATGTTTTAGATGATCCAATATCTATGTCTATACATAAGTTTAGCTCTGGAATTCATGTAACAAGCCACTTTTGATTAAATACCACATTTGAAAAGAATGCAAAGGGTGGCAGGTTAGCCTCCTCTGCAAAGTGCTTCAGTACCAATACTTCTTTACTCTCCCACTTTATTGGCTTGGGAAGCCAGCTACCAGATATGTCTCAGAGGTATTCACTCACCACTTACTATATAGTGCATATGCTATGCCTACTTTTTCAAACAAAAGGTATGCAATATTATTGCTCAAGTAACAAAACTATCAAAAGGCCCAATTCAGGAAGGTGTAGATCAGAGGCATGTGGAAGAAAACCTAATTGCCTTTTATCCTTAAAACATGATCCCTTCAAATCAAGTTTCAGGTCAGAGATGGGTCAGTAAAAGAAAACTCATTCTTTGCCTGCCTGTATTGTACCCAACCTGTGAACAAACAGACTTCAGTTTCCTTTATATGAAGAGACAAACAAAAAACACCATTATTCATATATAAAAGTTTATTTGAAGTTAACAGGAGTCAAATTTGACTTTGCCTGGCAAACTAGTTGGTTTACTCCTCACTTCCACAGGCTTTTAATGCATTTCTCTCCCTGCCCCTCCCCCAGCAAGAAAGTGAGACTTGCTACACTACTCCCCCTTTTTAAAAACATTGGCAGACTTTGGTCCACAGAATGAATGTGGTATCTCCCTCTCTGTAAGATTCATCCATACGTTGCTTACTTATGCCGTCACTCTTTTTTGGCTCCTTTTAAAGGTTTACCACTTAGGTTTTTAAGTAGATGTTGAAGAGAGGAAAGAAACTACTCCATTTCACACTCCATCAAAATATTGTGAGAAAGAGTTGCTTTTTATTCCCAGACATCTATTTCCTGCTTGGCAGGGGGTTGGACTCGATGGCCCTTGTGGTCTCTTCCAACTCTATGATTCTATGATTCTATCTAAGTCTAAGGCTGAAACAGGCATTTCATGTGAAATTATATAATGAACTACCCTCTCCCCCCATGTCAACTTCAGAAAGAAGCAAAATGGAGAGGGCTGCCCCACAATTCTCTGCTCAAACCACCCCACTACAACTTCAAATCATCCCACAAAACTGCCTCACCCACAGCATGTATGGAGTCTGATGGGGGCCGGGGAGGAAGAGTGGTTGTAAGGGTGAATTAGGAGTGGGTGTGCAACAGGCAGGGGAAAGAGTTGAGCACCCATGCCTGCTGATTCTCTGTTTCCTTCTGTTCCTTCCAAAGGTGCCTTTAAAAAAAAAAGGATTTTCATGCAATTGTTTGTAATGCCGATGCTGTTCCTTGGAGACAACAATACAGGTGACGTGGCATTCCTTGACTAGACAGCAGATCCTGTCCTTTTTTGTTAACCCAGATGTACTGTTGTAAGGATCTAGCATAGTCTTAGATTTACATTTATACAACTGGCTGAAATTTAACAATATGCAGCATTGTGAAAGAAGGGAAATGAGAAGAGAGAAGTTACAAAACAGGAGAGCGGAAGTCTACTCACAACCCATGACATGCATGGCATTCACATACCCTCCAACATTTCTTCAGTGAAAATAGGGGCGTCCCATTCCATAATGATAATTTTACTATTTATACCCCACACATCTTACTGGGTTGCCCCAGCCACTCTGGGCGGCTTCCAGCATATATAATAATATAATAAAACAATAACATTAAAAAAACCTTCCCTATACAGGATTGCCTTCAGATGGCTCAGGGGTCGGATAACTCCGTACCCTCCAACATTTCTCCAATAGAGACATGCTAAGGAAAAGTGGGACATTCTGGGATCAAATCAGAGACCGGGATGGCTTCTCTAAATCAGGGGCGTCCCTGGAAAATAGGGACACTTGGAGATTATCATTTCATATGTACAGACATTTTAAAAAGGAAGAATTTTCAGGAAGTTGATGGACCTGTTTTCTCTTATTGTATAGTCTAATTTTGGCTTATATTTGTATGTCTTGGATTTGGTTTTGTACTAAATATGAGTTACTGAAATTGATATATTGGATATAAGTCTTAGTAGGCGCCAAACCTCCACAGACAATGAGGCCGAACACTTATGAGCAATCATAGAAAAGCTATCACCAGTGTTCCCTGGTTATTTTTATGGGGTCTAGGAGATAGTCAACTGGCCACTGCTGGAAAAAAAGTATGATGGATCAAGCCATTTTTATGTGCAAACCAGGGCTCACTGGCAAAACATGGAATTCAACAAGCTAAATATATTGTTTGCATCCTTCTTGTTTATTATTTATTTAAAATATTTCTTATCTACTTTTCATTGCCTTCACCTACAAAGATATCACAGGGAAGGTACTTCCTCCAGAAAATGAATTGGTCCAGCATCAGAAGAGGCTTTATGGTGAAAGGAAATTAACCCATAATAACCAGAACAGTAATCTCCAAACACCAGACTGTATTCCCTTTCCCCACAAAAGAAAGTTATGAAGGAAGTCAGATTAAAGACTCAACTGCTATCTATGGCATGCAAGAATGAGCAATAAAACTGCAGACTAAACTCAAGCCTATTAAGTGCATATCAACAAGAATTAGACAGAATGTTTATTTCTTAACATTAGAAAAACAGATACTGCTAAAGAAAACTCTCAGCATAGCATTTACTTTGTGTAAAAAGCCTACTGAAAATCACATTTATGGCACAATTAAAGTTATAGCCAATAGTATTACTAATACAGAGAATTTCACGTTTGCCAGTATCACAAGACTTCATTTATTTATATTCTACTTCCCAGTGTGCTTTGAAAGACTAACAGTTTAAAAGCTACAATGTCAAAGTTACCAGCCAATAAAATCCATTGAAATAAATTCAACTAATTAGCAGCAGATAGCATCAACAGCCAGTGAAACCCATCATAATTTAGAATAAACCCAAATTCTTATAAAGGTCTATTTTTACCAATGTCCTCAATATAGAAAGGCAGACTGACTGGGCAGGGGTTTCTTTAAGCAGGAAGCTGCTGCTAAAGAGGCTCTGACCTTGTGATAGATGGGACACCCATAGCCAAGGCTCTTCACAGACAATCCTGATGACGCTTGTGTGGGGAGGGCATATGGTAGATTACAATAACTCAGAGGTAGAGCATCTCCTTCACATGTAGAAGGTTCCAGGTTTAATCCCTAGCATCTCCAGCTAAGGCTGGGAGGGAACCCTGCCTCAAATCTTGGAGAGCTGTTGCCAGTCAGTGTGTAGGCAATGCTGAGCTACATGGACCAACCGTCCGACATGGTATAAGGTAGTTTCCTATATTTCTGCAGGTGACCAGAGTTCAAACAATGTCATTATTTTAAGAGTACAGAAAAAGCATCTTCAGACGCTCCAAGTAACTAGAAACTAGTACAGCTAGCCACCCGAAGTCACTTTCTGGCCACTGCATTCTGGACTCTAAATAACCAGACAAACTGCCCCACAAAAATGTTTTTTGATATGGCTGATGACTTCTTTTCTTACATTTCTACATTAATGTGAATATAACAGTTTTATTTTCTTTTCAAATGATTCAAAGACTATACAGTGGTACCTCGGGTTACATACGCTTCAGGTTACAGACTCTGTTAACCCAGAAATAGTGCTTCAGGTTAAGAACTTTGCTTCAGGATGAGAACAGAAATTGTGCTCTGGTGGCACGGCAGCAGCAGGAGGCCCCATTAGCTAAAGTGGTGCTTCAGGTTAAGAACAGTTTCAGGTTAAGTACGGACCTCCGGAACGAATTAAGTACTTAACCCGAGGCACCACTGTACTATGTTAATTATGAAAACTTTAAAAAGACTATAATAAGTAATAGCTTTATAATTGTTTAAGTCAAATTCTTATTTTCTCTAGGATGTTGAAATGCCTTTCCTTTCCTTCACTTTCATATAATCTTTCTTGACACAAAGATCTAATGCACATTGTAATTAAATGTAACTAAGAGTACTGTGAAACTTTTCTGTTTGCTAATAAAAATTATGAAAAACAAAACAAATTAAAATATCCAGGAGGTGTCATGGAAACGAGCTGGCAAAATGCACTTCCACTGATGTGACCTTAAAATAATTAGATGTTCAATATAAAAACTTACACATCTACGAATACTAAAGAAAATGGCTTTGTTAAGTGATAAGAGGTTATTTACAGATATACAAGCCAACTCTGCATCAGTTCCCCACGAAAGCTTTAACTAGTCATGCTAAGTCAAAGTAAAATAACAAGCATTTTGGGGGGGAAAACTGTGACATCAGAATAAAATTGTTTCAGAGCTAGCAAATGATTTTCTTTCCCTTATTGCCTTTCTCATTCCCACTAATCCTCTTGGAAATGAACCAAAAACCACAGAAAGAAAAAACGCAAATGACGACACCTAGCAAGGCATTTACAGAGTCAATATTCTGTTAAACAGTGTGAACTGCATGGTAATTAGTTATTCACCATGTGAGATGCATCTCAAACAGCACAATTTCTGGCAAAAGTTGAGCCTGGAAAGGTTCCAGAGCACATTGATACTAGAAACAGACCTAGTCAGAGATGATGATGAATAAGATGCAGTGCTTTGAGCTATTGTATTTTAATATCAATGGGCTACAAAAGAAGTTTAAAGCAGCCTTCTGTTGTTCCATATCTCCTTGCTTTAGTTCCCCAGATCCTTCATCTTCTGCCTTCCCTGTTGCATACAAGATTTGTCCTGCTGCCAGTAACTAGAAAAAGGTGCAGCCAGGGAGCTTCATAATCACCCCTTTCCCCCTCACTACCACAACCAGGGAAAACACAGCAGAGATTTCTGAATACAGCAAGTCTTGGCTTTCTCTCTGAAATAAGGGATAGCCAACAAGTCAAGTCCCATGGCATGGCTAAGGAACACACACAAAAATTCTGCTGTGGTTGCCAGGAGCAGCACAAGGAAGCAGATGGTGGCAGGAGACGGACATGCTTATTCAGTTGCCACTCACGGGGTTAGGGAAATTCTGCTTCCCCAGACAAGCTGTAATTACAAGGCTAGTTTTAAGTAAAACATGGTCTGGTAAAATAAAAAAGTGTTTTATCACCTGCTTATCATGTTTGTTTTGCACCGAGCATGAACAGTAATTCTAAACTAACAGTTCTATCAAATTTCCGGCAATTAATATTGTAGTTTGGCCAAATAACCAATTCAAGTAATTGAAATATGTGGCTTCCTGTGGATTTCTAGTTTCAGTGTTTTTACAGAAGCCCATGAGATTTAAAATCCAGATTAAATGGGAATCTTAACCACATGCAGCCACAGTTAAACTCAGTGCCAGCACATCCCCTAATTACATTGAAGGCAGAAGACAGAAATTAAATGCCAAGAGAGAAGCCAGTACAGCAAGTACCCATTCTAGAGGCTACCTCCTAAGCTCTTAAACATTTTTAAGAGGGAGCCATCAGCCCTCCTACAAGGCTTACTAACCCATGAGAGTGGAGATCCCTATAACACTTAAAGCATGTAAGTCTTTTTTTAAAAAACCCCACAACAACTCCCTTCCTTCCTCTCTTTGTCAAGGCAATACAAGGGTATGGCAGCAAACTTCATCTACTATAAACAAAGTTCTAGAAGTGAAGATGTCAGATCTTCAACCGCAGGTAAACAAATCAGAAAACATTAGTGTTCTCCATATAATTTTGTTGTCATAAAAGATGTCAGTCGTTATTTCTATTAACCATGTTTTTAACATCCACACAAAGCAAACACAAGGCAACTGTATCATGATGTCTTTTGAAAACAACATTCCTAAGAGCAGCTCTGTGTAGTTTAAAAGTTGCTTTTCCTTCCTCAAAAAAAAAAAAAAAAAGACTCCTTACTTTATTTTATACTCTGTTCCTTTTGGGGGGGTGTTCACTAAAGTTATAGAACTAAGTTAGAATATGTACTAAGTTAGAATAAGATTAAGATGCTAACTGGATACATCAGAAATGTATGTATTATAGAAAGCAGCTTACAAATATGGCACCATATGCATTTGTCAATTATAAATCTCTAACAAGTGTTTGAATGTGGAAGCATATTCAAGTACTGGAACTGAACAATGATACTGCAATGTGCTTCATTGAATCAGATAGCTTCTAGAATTACTTGTGGAGGAGGAAAATGATGGGGCTTGGAACTATTCCAAGGACACAAAGATTTGAGGACAAGCTAGAAGAAAGGGGCATGATGGAGATGCAATTGTGTTGGATTGTGTTGGGGAAAGGCTTACAATTTATGTTTGAAGAAGAGCAACCTCTGAAGCAGAAATGTAGGACAAAGGCACAACTGTAATATACCTATACTCTGCAGGTGTTATGTTTCACCACAATAAGAAACAAGGCAATTTCCTCTGCTTTACGAATGGGAAAATGCATGTGCTCAGTGATAAAATTATATTCTATGCTGCCTACACCATATGCAAATATACATGAACACACACTGAGTGAGAAGCATCTGATACAGAAACAAGATATAGTTCTTGCCCAGAGCAAAATATAGATCCCTGTTAATGCTGTTTATTTTTAGGACAGACTTACACACATACACAAAGATAAAATATTGAAGTATCTTGACCTTAGACAGAGAGTTACATTTGTCTGACCTTGCAAGCAGCCACATCACCCTGTTTAGCAGAATGTTTGCACAGCTCTCTCCCAATGTACCCTAACCAAAATTAGTTTAAATACTGGCTGAAATGTTTAATGATGTTGCCTTTGTTATCATAATCTTGATTTCTTTGTAAGCTACCTTGATTTTTTTTTTACTGAAGGGCAGAGTATACCCTTTAAATAAAAATAAAACAGAATACAGTTAACAGGCTTCCTAATCATTAACCCCTTCTGTGTTCCATGTTGCTACTAGATAGTTATTTGAAAACACAAGGCAAACTAAGGACAAAGACTATGCTGCTCTTCCTTGCTTTTGCCTCCCTAAAAGTCTGCACAACAAACAAAGAGCCCCAATTTTATCCAAAGTAGCTCTATTGTACTAATATAAGTTTTCAACCATGTACAAAAATGCAAAATAGCAAAAAAATACCAACAGATACAGATCACCAGTAAAACACCCGGTTCAATAAAGTATCACTGAAGTGCCTTCAAATGAGTAACTTCTGACTGCTTGGGATACATTTCTAATCAATGAAGTTGTTCAAGTTTCCAGCTTGGACAATGAAAAGCACCAGTCTTTCCAGGAAGCAATTCTTCCAACTTCTTGTGCTTCTTTTAAAAGACACCCCCCCCCCAAATGTACATAATTCTCTGCTTTACAACACAGAGAATTAAAATACATTTTAAAAATATATTTTAAAAATTGCAGATGAACCAACAAGATACCTGAAGTTCTATCCTCACTTCACCAGCCAAAGGAACAAACCAATCTCTTCTCAGTTTATACCAGCTCAGTTTATACCAGCCTTTAGCTGCTTCCTTCAAGACACCTTCAAGACACCATCACGAACTTGGTGCCCTCCAGATATTTTAGAATATATCTCCTATCAATGGAGCCAGCACCATGCTGCCTGGGGTTGATAGGAATCATAGTCCAAAACACCCAGGGACCAACAGGTTGGCAAAGGAACAATATTTCATTTGTGCCATATAGGTTTTAATCAATATAAATACTAATTTTTTAAAAATCAAAGTGGAAGCAGACACCACACTGACCATGTTACAAAAATACCGATAAAACAAACATTTCACTTAAAACACTGGGGTAACTGTCTGCAGTGCCTAAGCAGAGAATTGTGCATAACATGTAGGAAACATTTTAAAAAAATAATAACACACAGCACATTGGATGAATTAAATCAAACACACAACTTCCGGGAATGACTGGTATTCTTCATTCAAGAGAATATGGTTAAGAACTTTAATTTCCTTGGAGGAAGTTATTATTCTTTGTAGGATACTTTGCTGCCTCCATTGCATCCTCAATTACAGTCTGGTCTAAAGGAGGTGACTGAACTGGTGTCAGCTCACTGTTACCTGTTTGCAAAGCATTTTGAGGATAAAACAGCTTGCATCCACCAGGCTCTTGACTCCAGTGTTATAGCAGATGAAACCAGAGAACTGCCTAGTATTGTTATATTGGATGAGTTTCCGTTAGCAAGGCTTGAGGCTGTGGACAAGGTGCTTGGCTCAGTTAATGCGATCATTTGCGCTCTGGACCCTTCCCCTCTTGGCTGTTAAAAATTGGTAGGGATGGGACAGCTGGCTGGGCCAGGGAGGTGATTAATGCCTTCTTGTGAAAGGGAGTAGTCCCTGCCTGCTTGAAGGAGGCAATAGTAAAACCACTCCTTGAGAAACCCTCCCTGGATTTGGAAAATCTAAGTAATTACTGGCCAGTTGCCAATCTCTCTTTCTTGGGCCGGTCCTCTTGGAGGAAACTGATTTTCTAGATCCATTTCAATTGGAGTTTAGGCCTGGTTTTGGCACAGAAACTGCTTCGATCTTCCTGTATGCTGACCTATGTATCCTTGTTAATTCTCCTTGACCTCTCAGCAGCTTCAACAGCATCGACTATGGTATCCTTCTGGAGTGGATGTCCAAGTTAGGGGTGGGTGGCACCACTTTGTAATGATTCAGGTCCTAATTGGATGGTCATTTCTAGAGGGTGATGCTTGGGGAGTGCTCTTCAGCCCCATGGAGCCTTCAATGTGGGGTCCCTCAAGGTTCAATTTTATCACTTATAACAACTACATGAAATTGCTGAGTGGGGTCATCTGAAGTTTTGGAGTAAGTTGTCAGCAATATGCTGATGACACACTTCTTCTTTACATCTGCTGGTGTGGCAGTGGACTGTTGTGTTGCCTTGATAATGGACTGGAAGAGAGCCAACAAAATGAAGTTCAATCCTGATAAGACTGAGGCACCGTTTGTGAGTGGTTCCCTAGACCGGATGAATGGGAGTTTGTTTGTTCTTGATGAGGTTACACTCCCTCTGAATCAGTGAGTATGTAGCTTGGGGGTCATTCGGGGTCCATTGCTATGACTTGAGGCTCAGGTGCCCTCAGTGACACAGAGTGTCTTCCATCAGTTTCAGCTGGTAGCCTAGCTGTGCCCCCATCTGGACAGGGATAGCCTAACTTCTGTTGTCTGTGCTCTGGTAACATCTAGGTTAGATTACTGCAGCATGTTATAGAAGGGCTGCCTCTGAAGATGGTTCAGAAACTTCACCGGCCAGGTTGCTCACTTGGCCAAAATGGTTTGAGCATATAACACCAATCCTGGCCTGAATACACTAGCTTCCAATTAGTTTCCAGGCCCAATTCAAAGTGCTGGTTTTGACCTATAAAGCCTTAAATGACTCAGGACCACAATACCTCAGGGATCGCCTCTCCCCATATGAACCACCCCAGACCTTGTGACTATCATCTGAGGCCCTTCTTCATGTTCCTCCTCCATGAGAGGCTGGAGGTTGGCAACCCAAGAACAGGCCTTCTCTGTGGTGGTTCCCTGCCTGTGAAATGCTCTCCCCCAGGGAGGTTAGGGGCTAGGTTAGATAAGTGAAGTACATGGATGTGTAATAAAAAGCACAGTATTTCCTCCACAGTTATTCTGATACAGATTTATACATAACACACATACATACATGTGACTGTCAAAGAGTCCTGCTGGATCAGGCCAGTATCCCGTTCTCACAACAACCAACAAAATTTATACAGGAAGTCCATAGGCAGGACATGACTGCAACAGTATTCTTCTCACTTGTGCTCTCAAAGAACTAGTACATAACCAAAGGCAGATGAACATGCGTAAAACTAGTACATCTGGCTGTTTCTGTATTAGCCTCTCTAACAAGATTAACACTTTCTAAAGCACATTTTCTGCCTTTTAACATTGTGTCTTATCTTGCAGCTGACATAAAGCTGCAGCCTTTCAGTGCAATATCTTTCTGTAAACTGCATAGAGGCTTTCCTAAAATCAAGTGGCATATAAATTGTTGTTGAATTTATATATATAATATAGATTCAAACTGTTGAACTGTGGAGGTGAGAAACCAGCCGGGTACATCTGAAATCTGGAAAAACGGTACAAAATTCATTGCGCAAACTCAAAAAATTCAAGTTACATAGGGAGGACCCCAGAACCACTGAGGAGCCCCGGAACCACCAGATTAAGCAAAACACGCTCCAAAAACAGCAGGGACTGGGAAGGAGTGAGTGGGAGGGAGGAGAAGCGGAAGAGTGGAGAAAGCTTGGGCAAGCAAGAGCCGCAAATGGCCAACCAGGGGCGCTAACATTAATAAAATATTGGGGGGGGGGGGAGAGAAGTAAATCCCTGCTTCACACAATCACAAGACTTGGCACACATACCCCATTTGAATGGCAATGCCCATCTACTTTTGGGTCAGTGGCCCGCTCAAATATTTTATGGGGGGGGGCGCACAAAAGGTCCTGAGGCCCCTAGGAGTTGGCTCCTATGTTACTACCTCCATCTCTCCATTGCAACGCCTGGTAGGCTGGCATAGGAGCCAACTGCTGGGGGGGGGTCTTCGCTCCCCCCCCAATATATCTATATATCTATGAGGGCGCCAGCCCCCCCTCGCCCCCCAAGTTTTTGGGCATTGCCATGCCAACAGTGTGGCAACAGCTCGTGCCATGGGATCGATTATGCGGGACAGGGCTTACCCGCCCCACCCCCATCCAAAAATCAATTATTTTATTCAAGTTGGCACCCGCGCAGGTAGGCTTGTTAAGGGGCAAACTCCAACGGAGCTGGGTGGGAAGGAAAAGGGTGGTGGGCTCGTTGAGCGGCGACAGACCTAACCCGCGTTCGTAATCGCGTGTTCCCTTGCTTCCCGTGGGAACGGCGCCCCGCGCGCCTCCCTCTCCTCCCGCCCAGGTGCGCCGCCCCCGCCTCGCGCACCTGCCGGCCTCGCTCCCTCCCCTCCGGCGCTGCGGCCGACGCCGCCTTCCTCCTCCTCCTCCTCCGCCCGCCGCAGCCCCTTCTCCTGACCCCGGTCTCCGGCCCACCCCGGACTCACCTGGCTGTAATAGGGCTTCCTGAGCCAGGCCCCCGCGAAGAGCCTCCTCGCCATGGTAAAGGATGGCACATCCCCGCAGCGGGCCGCGGCGGAGTCCCCGGAGTCTCCCCTGCGTCCGCCCGGCGCTGAGGGGGCCGAGGGGGCCGCCGGCCTTCTTCTGTCACCGCCGACGAGGCAACGAAACGTGCCCGAGTCCGGGGGGGGGGGAGGGAGGGGGCGGGGGAGAGGGGAGGTGGCAACGGCTCTCCCGACCCCGCCCCGCTTGGCAACTGTCAGAAGGCGGGCGGCGCGAGGGAAGAGGGCGGCTTTTCCTCCTCAGCCTTCGAGGGACCTGAGGGACACTAGGAGGCGCCGCTTCTGCCGCCGACACCCGCCCGGTGGCGCCTCCTCTTTTCTCTCCCCCTCAGCGTCGGAGCGGGGGCGGGGAGGCTTCCGGTTGCGGAGGGCGGCGACGTGGCGCGCAGCCCCGAACCTCCCCTGCCGGGCAGCCGCATAGCCCTCGAGTGCGGAGCTGGCCCTGGGTGGGAGGGTGATAGGAGCCAAGTCCTGAGGGCTCAGGTCCTTTCAGCACCCAGACCCCCAATAAAATATTTGATTTCCCCACCCTGCAGTTGATGAGCATTGCCATTCAAATAATAGTATGCATTTAAGCCATGGGACTTACCTGCCCCCCCAATATTTTGTTCCATTTGGCACCCCTATTGTGTCCTAAGTTTAGGAACCCTTGCCCATTCCTCGCCTACCTAGAATTGATGCTTTTGAATTATGGTGCTGGAGGAGACTCTTGAGAGTCCCATGGACTGCAAGAAGATCAAACCTATCCATTCTTAAGGAAATCAGCCCTGAGTGCTCACTGGAAGGACAGATCCTGAAGCTGAGACTCCAGTACTTTGGCCGCCTCATGAGAAGAGAAGGCTCCCTGGAAAAGACCCTGATGTTGGGAAAGATGGAGGGCACAAGGAGAAGGGGACGATAGGGGACGAGATGGTTGGATAGTGTTCTCGAAGCTACCAGCATGAGTTTGACCAAACTGCGGGAGGCAGGAGTGCCTGGTGTGCTCTGGTCCATGGGGTCATGAAAAGTCGGACACGACTAAATGACTAAACAACAACAACGTTGCTGGTGGTGAAGCGGTGTTTCCTGGCTTGGACTACAGCAATGCGCTCTACGTGGGTCTACCTTTGAAGGTGACCCGGAAACACCAACTAATCCAGAATGCAGCAGCTAGACTGGTGACTGGGAGTGGCCGCCCGGACCATATAACACCGGTCCTGAAAGACCTACATTGGCTCCCAGGATGTTTCCGAGCACAAATCAAAGTGTTGGTGCTCACCTTTAGAGCCTTAAACGGCCTCGGCCCAGTATACAGTGGTGCCTCGCAAGACGAAAAGAATCCGTTCTGGGAGTCTCTTCGTCTAGCGGTTTTTTCGTCTTGCGAAGCAAGCCCATTGATGGGATTAGCGGATTAGCGCTATTAGCGGCTTTTAGCGGCTTTTAGCGGCTTTTAGCAGCTTATCAGCTTATCTGATAAGCAGATAAGCGGCTTAGCGACTTAGAAAAAGAGGGGGAAAAGGGGAAAAAAAACCCAGGAACTCGCAAGACATTTTCGTCTTGCGAAGCAAGCCCATAGCAGATTCGTTTTGCGAGGCACCTCCAAAACGGAAAACTCTTTCGTCTAGCGAGTTTTCCGTCTTGCGAGGCATTCGTCTTGCGGGGCACCACTGTACCTGAAGGAGCATCTCTACCCTCACCATTCAGTCCGGACACTGAGGTCCAGCACCGAGGGCCTTCTGGCAGTTCCCTCACGGCGGCGGGAAGTGAAACCACAGGGAACCAGGCAGAGGGCCTTCTCGGTAGTGGCGCCCGCCCTGTGGAGCGCCCTCCCGCCAGATGTCAAAGAAATAAACTGACTTTCAGAAGACATCTGAAAGCAGCCCTGTTTAGGAACGTTTTTAATGTTTGATGTTCTATTAATACTGTTGGGAGCCACCCAGAGTGGCTGGGGAAACCCAGCCAGATGGGTGGGGTATAAATAATAATAATAATAATAGTAGTAGTAGTAGTAGTAATAATTAGAGAAGGTTGCCCCTGGGCATGTTTAGAATGCTCTGCATTTCCCCCCAGCTGCGCAAGCACACACACACAGCTATGCATATAGGGAGAACTTTACCATAATAAGGGACATCAGGAGAGTCAGGCCAATGGTCCATCTAGCCCAGTTGGTCATTCTCCCCATGACCAACCAGATACCCCATGTGAGCAGGACCTTAGCCTAAGAGCACTCTTTCCTCCTGCTGTTTCCCCCCCAGCCACTGGTATACAGAAGCATGCTGTCTCTGTGGAGGCAGAGCAAAGCCATCATGGCCAGTAAGTAGTCATGGTTAGCCTTATCCTCCATAAATTCGTCCAAGCCCCTTTTAAAGCCATCCAAGTCGGTGCCTGCCGCTTGCCTCTTACGGGAGGGAAAGAGTTCCATAGTTCTCAGGTAACTTCCTTCTTAAAAGGAAGCCCATCTTCTCAGCACATAGTTAAAGTATGGGATTTGCTACCGCAAGATGTCTCGAAGGCTGCCAGCTTGGATAGTTTTAGAAGGGGATTAGAGAAATTCCTGGAGGATAAGGCTACAGAGGACTACTAGTCACAATGGCCATTTATGGCATCAAGGATCAGACGGAATATGCTGGGAAGCAGTTGCTGGGAAACAGGAGGAAGAGAGGGCTATTGCCCTCATGTTTGGTTTGTGGGTTTCTCACAGGTCTCCAGTTGACCACTGTGGAGCTGCATGCTGGACTGCATGGGCCTTTGGTTCTGATCCATGCTCTTATTGTTCTTCTGTTCTTATTGCTCATACTTTCCCAACAGGCCACAGCCAAGTACATGAGTCCTGATCATTTCTAGGAGTGCAGTGCAAACAAGCGGTGTGTGTTGAAGACTGGACACCCATGTCACACAAACCAATTTCATCAGAGTATTTAGATTTAATATTAAATTATAATGGAAAAAGTCCTTCAGCAGCAGTGGTGGGTTTATGATCCATCGGGTCCTGTGCACAGCCCTTTTAGGGAGTTGAAAATATGATGGCGTTAATAACATGTTGCTATTAAATGGTATTTTTTGTTTCTAATTAATATATGTATATAGAGAGAAAAGAAAACACTTCTATTCACTTGAAAATGAACTTTATTTAAAGGAACAATATGGATGAAAATTCAATGATTTACATAAAATATTTATAGATATAAAATTTATACGTTTTCTTCTACACTTCCTTTGCACAAAATTGTCAATTAACTTGTCATATTTTACATCTTGCTATGCAGAACTTTCAATTGCTAAAATTGCTAAACTCATTAAATGCTCTTGAGATATAGCAGAATGTAAGTAATTTTTGACTCTTTTAAGGGTGTTGAATGATCTTTTATCAGTTGCATTCATATCTGATGAAAGAGAATTAGGCTACAAAGCGATGTCGCTAATGTAAGGAACTTCTCTAAAATATATGCTGTCTTCTGTTTTGACTGGAGTACATTTTTTATCACTTAGTTGCATATTCCACACCATCTTTACCTTCAAAAGTGACTGAATCTGTCACATCTTTTGTGGGAAGTTGAGGTCCAGTGTTTCACTTGTTTTTACATCTTCAATACCTGCTGCTGCTACAGCTTGATTCTTCCATTGTCTCTGATGCATCATGACCCTGAAGAGCAAGTTTTCAAAAAGGCAATGAACGTACCTGTTCTTCTTCATGCTCTTATCTTTCTCTATTCTTTTTCTGCTTTTCACTTCCAGATGTATAATTGTGTTTCATATTATACTTTCGGGTAATACCACGCAATGAGCCTGTGGAAGAGAGTAGGAGTTTTAAATTAGGTCTACAGATCTTCTGGTGGGCTGTTTTGTTTCAATAGTTTAAAAAACACAATACAAGACTCTTGCCAATTGACTTAGAAATAAAATGTCAGGTAATATTCTATCCAATCAAAGCATGATAACAGCCTAAGGGGTTTAAATCGAGCAGGGGGTGATGGGATTCAAAATTATGAGCCATAGAAATAAATGTTATGACCATGCAATGAGTATTTCTGCCTCCCAACGAGTATGCTCTGTTCTTATTTAATAAAATGATTCTGTGGCAGTAACTTCAGTCTGAAATATAAACTTATTGGTTTGTTGCCAATGCTAATCCTACTCAGAGTAGCTCCGTTGAAATTAATGAACATGACAAACTTAGGTCAACCATTTCCATGGGGGTTGCTCCGAGTAGGACTTCTAGTCATCGCTGGTCAGCCACATAATACACAAAATCACTGCTAATTCTTTTACCAAAACGCCAAGGGGAAAAATCCAGAAACAAGTGGCTCTAGCACCAACAGATAGCAAATTTAGATTCTTACACTGTGGAGGGTTGGACCAATGACCTTTGGGGGTCCCATCCGACTTGATGATTCTATAATCATCACTGTAATGTTAAGAGAATTCAACCAGTGTTCCGTTTCACCAAAGTCTGGAGCAGTTCCAGCCCAGGTTTTACCAAAAAAAGGTTGCAAGGCACACATCATCAACTGGTATCTTCTCACTGTGTACACTAAAAAACAGTGTACAGTGTAACTGTACACTAAAAAAACACGGGGATCCCTTAGCTGCATCTTACTGATGTTTTTACTGCTTCTTATAAAGGGGCATGATCTTACTATTGATTTAAAATTGTTGCTTTTAAAGTCTTTATGACTGGCTTTGTATGCCAGTTTGTTGGGGATACTTGTCCTGAAACGCAGAATATATATTTTTAGAATAAATACAATGAAACAAACTAGTAAAACCCTAATACTCCACTATTAAGTGGCTTCCGTGGTTCTATGTTAGTCTCTGATTTGCCTTTATTTGAATTCACTGGGCGACACTGTTGGGCATCTGTCATCCATGCTTTCAAAGTGACTCTGATGCAAATCCTAAATAGCTGCATTCTTTTCAAAGCAGATGTGGGCTTTGCTTTCACTCCAGCAATTCTCCATTAATAATAGACATTAGGATGATTAGTCACAATGCACGACAGAGAAACACAACAAGAGGTTTACTGATGGGTGAATAAAATTACACTTCTATCCTCGTATGTGTCACAGCACAAGCCTCTTACATCACCAGTAAATACAATTGAGCAGGCAGTTCATGACAGGCTTTATGTAACCGCAAGTGAATTAGCAGTGGTTTCACACCTCATTTGTAAAATGTTACTTCTGTGTCAAAGGAGAATGGTGCGCTCTGGTAAATTTAAGGCAGCGGTCCTATGCACACTTATCTGGGATTAAGGATGCAATTCTGTAGTGGAGATTCACTGAGCGACCTTAGGAAGCAGCAGAAGTGCAGCTTTGCTGGCAGAGATGAAGCTACACCAGTGGAATAACGCTTCCACCTGCAGAATGGATTAGTGGTTTTTAGTACTGCCGCTTCAGTCTATCATGCCAAGTGATTGAGCTAATGTGATGGAATGGAACGTTCATCAACATTTCAACTACACAGGGACTATACTGTCAGAAAGTTCACTGTGAATGGAGAGTTGTCAGTTTGGCTGGGGCAGAAACCTCACACGAACTCTAGAAATGAGAATAGGTTTGTGAAAATGAGTGAAGACAGGAAGGAAGGAAGGAAGGAAGGAAGGAAGGAAGGAAGGAAGGGGGCAAGAGAACCCATAAGCAAGGTGGATGGAGGAAGGTTGCAAGAGCAGATGATAACCCTATTGGCTCTGCGTGCACGCAAACAACGCAGGCAAGGAGGGAGCATCAGCAGCAGCCCATTGAATGCAACTGTGGAGGTGCAATAAATAAAAGATTGAGAAGCAGTACAGTACCACCCATATCTCCCACTAACATGCAGAGCATCACAACAGTGAAATATATGTCTTGATTAAATGGCAAAATAAAATTGTTGTCTATTTTCTGGGGAGGAAGAGGTATTCAAGAAAGCAATGACTCTGACCCCATCATCAAGGGATAGAGGGCATGGACTAGGGGGAGATGTACCCCTCTGAATCACGCTTTGCTATCCCTGCTTCCTTGAGCGTTCCAGCACCGCTGGAACCCAAGAGGTCACAATTCCTTGAGAATCCCACTTGGAGGCCATAATACGGGAGTGTGGAACATTTTGGCCTTCCAGAACTTGCTGAATTACAACTCCTATCGACCTGGCAAGAATGGCCAGTGTCAAAGGATGAAGGGAGTTTAAGTTCAGCATTGCAGGGAGAGTTGGACTAGATGTTCCTCTAGGTCCCTTCCAACTCTATGGTTCTATGAACGGGAAGGCCAAAGGTTCCCTACTCCTGCCATAACACAACCTCAGTGCCCCACCCCCACCAGCCACTTACCCATCAAGAGTGGGACCCGCTGCTCAAAGGAAGCTGCAGTCCTGTTTAAGGCTCATTCTGGATTTGTTAGTTGTCAAAGTAATATTCAAGTCTAAGCTTAGCTTCTTTCTCTCTGGAAGGTCGATCTCTGTTTTGCCTGATGCTGCTGAATTAGGCACTGACTTTGCTCCTACATTTGGGAACAGGATTAGTGCTGGTGTCCATTGACTTGGCCCCTAGCATACGCCCCTCCTCGGACAAGTTGGGATCATTGCTTGGGACAAGAACAGATGGTGCACATTTGCTTAGAGAGGCAAGTGTAACATCCCCATAAATTCAGTATCTTTGGGTTAATGTGCCTGGAGAATAGAATGTAATCTGATGCCCATTTATTTGTGAGTAAACTGGATGTGACTTACTCCTTATTAACATGCGTAGGACTGGACTGCAAGGTACACTTGGTAGCTCAGTCAGTAGTGCACAAGATTCTTAATCTCAGGGTTCTGGGTTCAAGACCCTCATTGGGCAAAAGATTCCTGCATTGCAGGGGGTTGGACTAGGTGACTTGTGTGGTCCCATGCAACTCTACAGTTCTATGCAATCCTCTGCAATCTTACCTTGAAGCAAGCCCGTTGAACAGAGAGGGGTTTAATTCTGAGTAAATGTGTACAGTATAGGATCAAAATGCCAGGATTGTGGTGGTGTTTCATTGCATAAAGTATTTTTTAAAAAATAAAAAATTAAACAACCAGTGTGACTGATTTTCATTAAGATATGTTGTTACTTGGATAAAAGCTGACTTCTACAGTATATAGCTATTGTCCTTGTGGAAAAATGCTCTCTTAAACAAATTCTAGAATTTGAGTAGCACTGTGAAGTCAGAATGCCAAAGATTCTGCTGAGTGTACAGTGTCCTACATTGATTAGGAACACTGAGCGCTAGAATTCCTCAGGAGCAAAGCCACTGTAAATTATGCAAAACGACTAGCAACGTAGTAAAAATATTCTGCTTTGGTAAGAGCAAAAAAGTGTTGCCGTTGAGGATGTTCTTTTCCTATATCAGCAAGTCCAGATGGGCTTCTTTTTTTGTTCCTTGTGTTTTCTTCTAGCATATTCGCAGAAGTCTGAGCACAGAGTGGGATGTTGCGCAGCACAGCAGAAAGAAAACGGTTCAAAATGTTTGTTTATGTACATTTCCTTTTGTACCCTGCAATGAACATTGCAATAGATTACAGCGGTTCAGAACCACACGCATGACCATCTCTCTAAAAAGCACATGCAAAAAAGAAGCGAGAATAAAAATGCCATCTAATCCCAGCAGACTAAAATCTCAGTTAAACAGAATGGATTGACCCAACGGGTGGGTAAAACACTTTTTGTCTTGGATGATATTTTGAATCCAGGTGACAAACTGAACCTTTCAAAACTGCATTGACTTTTTGGTTTCTTAGAATCGCCGAACAATGCTGAGTGCCATGCTGATTTTACTGTACTGAAAAAGAGAAAGGAAGTATGCAGATTTATTTTATTATTTATTTTAAACACTATTTATGGGGCATATTACCAAAACTGGGCCAATAATGAAATGTGTGAAGGAACTGGGGGTGAAGAGACAGAAAGGGGAAGGAAGAGGTATAGGTTCTGAAGTCAGAAAGGTGATTCAAAGATAGTGAATGATAACAGTCCCATAATAGTGGAACTCAGATCCAAAGTGTGCGATCAACAGCCTTATATAACCAACATGCTTAAGTCAAATTAATGCATGAAGGAGTTAATACCACAGAATAAGCTGTCCTGCCAGGATTAGCTATATTCACTTCCCCTCACCTTGGGAGGATGTGGTAATCAGGCCTTTCCTCTCCTTCAGTCTACCTGAGAAGCTCAGTGTGCGAAGAGGTTTGAGCCAGTTGCTCCAGGTCAACCATATGGCTCTCACAAGCCACTCTTGCATTCTAGGAATGCTTAGCTCTTTGTAACTAAGCCAAGTTTTACCACCTACACAGCTTTTCTGAATCACAGGAAACTGACTTTTCAAAAGTTTGTAAGTAAACCACTTTTTAACTTACCTAACATGTGGTCTTTTTCCTATGCTGTGTTTGATATTATATATACAGCCTTCCTTCCTTCCTCCCTTCCTCCCTTCCTCCCTTCCTTTCTCCAACACAAAGGATAGGGCACAGAGTCCTCATAAGCTTAAAGCTAATACCATCTCTTACAGTGAAAATCCTCGTCATTATATACTTTACATGGCTGTCTATTTGTATATATTTTAAAAAATTATATATGGATGTTTTATGATGGTCTATACTTATAATGTAGGACACAGGTGGCGCTGTGGGTTAAACCACAGAGCCTAGGACTTGCTGATCAGAAGATTGGCGGTTCAAATCCCTGTGACGGGGTGAGCTCCCGTTGCTCAGTCCCAGCTCCTGCCAACCTAGCAGTTCGAAAGCACGTCAAAGTGCAAGTAGATAAATAGGTACCTTTCCGGCGGGAAGGTAAACGGCGTTTCTGTGCACTGCTCTGGTTCGCCAGAAGCGGCTTAGTCATGCTGGCCACATGACCCGGAAGCTGTATGCCGGCTCCCTTGGCCAATAAAGCGAGATGAGCGCCGCAACCCCAGAGTCTGCCACGACTGGACCTAATGTCAGGGGTCCCTTTACCTTTTATACTTATAATATCTATTAAAGGTTTGGCAAATTAAGTAAGCTTAAAGTCAAACCAGGTGATAGCAAACACACATACACAGCTGCACTCCCAAGGCTGGAGGGAAGGACCACAGATGGTTCAGCTGCCTTATCCAATGGACACTCATTGGCAAGCGAGAAGTGAGGGCCAGAATTAATCAAAGCCATTTTGTAGAATTCTGTACCTTGAAAGGCTCAGTTGCTTTGCCTCTCTTGTGGTATTTCACCCTATAGTAAAAACCTTCCTGTTTAGGCAGGTGTTTATTTTATAAGTGTTTGCTTGAGGCTTCAATTTTCTTTTCTGCTGGTCTTGTATCTGGTTTTTATTATAATGCATTCCTTTGGAATTTTATTTATTGTTGGTTTTAATCGTTGTTAGCTGCCCTGAGTGGTGTAATGGTACCAGGGATAAGGCAAGTTTATACAACAGGCAGGGCCTAAACAATGTATTAATGAAGTCTAGTGTTTGCAAACCCTTTTATGGAGGTGTGCAGTAGTTGCTTAAGGAAACATGAGCTGGCTTCCTCCTTGCCCACACCTTGAACACACCTTGATTTTGCAAGTAGTTGAACTGCTTCCATCTCTGACCTTCACATAAAGGCAGGTGTTTGATTCCCCTTCCTGAAGTGTTGTCTGGGACTGCTGGGAGTATGGCAGAGTTCTTACTTTGGAGAATTTAAACCATGCTGGAAACACAGTCCGTCCATCCGTCAGCCAGGCAGGCAGCCAGCCGGGCCATCTGTCTTTGTTTTATCTGTTGGCAAAGCTCAAAGCTTGCCTTCATTGTGCTGATCTGAAGCCGAGTTCATTTTTCACAAGTTGCTGAATTGCACTATGCACATTTTGATATAAATGCGTCTGAGAACTGATGGAGGCACCAAGACAGCTTTTGATTGCAAGGTTCTCATTGCATGAAAGAAAAGAGTATGTTCCCGCTAAAACTTAAATTGGGCATAAAAAGTGAAATCCCAAGTTGATACTCTGCCTCGCCATCAGGTCTGTCACCATGATGCAGTGATTATGAAACCACAGTTTTTGAAGGGACCAAATGTAGCCATATCACTGTTTCCAACTTCCCTGTGTCATGACGCTCCATGTTTCCTTGTCAGCCAATACTAGGAGGGAGAGCAGGGAGCCAGACACATGACTGCTCTTTCCAATAGCAGCAGTGCATTTAGTGTAGCCTAATTTGCCCTTGAGATAAAGGTGAAGGACCCCCGGATGGTTAAGTCCAGTCAAACTTGACTATGCTGTGTGGGGCTCATCTTCGCTATCTGGCCAAGGGAGCTGGCGTTTGTCTGCAGACAGCTTTCCGGGTCATGTGGCCAGCATGACTAAACCACTTCTGGAGCAACAGGACACCGTGACGAGTGCCAGAGCGCACAGAAATGCCGTTTACCTTCCTGCCACAGCGGTGCCTATTTATCTACTCGCGCTGGTATGCTTTTGAACTTCTAGGTTGGCAGGAGCAGGGACAGAGCATCGGTAGTACATTCACAGATGCAGTTGGCTCTTGCCAATGGAAGCTCACGCTGTGATAGATTTGCTAGTCTTTAATGTGCCACAGGACCCTATTATGTCAGCTACAGTGAATTCCGGAGCGCAATTAAGATGATCAGCACGTGCCCTTCGACCACTGCAAATGGGAAAGGGCAAGGTTAGGCAGCAAAGGTGAAGAAGGGTGTTCTGAGTGCAGGCATGAGCTGTTTGTGCAGAAGCATGCATCTTCTCACCCCCAAGTTCTGTTTGTTTTATTTTATTTTCTCCAAGGCTGCTGAGTTGGGTTGAAACATAGTTAAGCAGCACATAAGGGCAATGCAATGCAGCAGCAGTTCCTCAGTTGTTGTTGTTGTTTTTAAAGGAGACGTATATATACCAACCCATAAAGAAGGCTGATCGCCGAAGAATTGATGCTTTTGAATTATGGTGCTGGAGGAGACTCTTGAGAGTCTCGTGGACTGCAAGAAGATCAAACCTCTCCATTCTTAAGGAAATCAGCCCTGAGTGCTCACTGGAAGGACAGATCTTGAAGCTGAGGCTCCAGTACTTTGGCTACCTCATGAGAAGAGAAGACTCCCTGGAAAAGACCCTGATGTTGGGAAAGATGGAGGGCACAAGGAGAAGGGGACGACAGAGGACGAGATGGTTGGATAGTGTTTGCGAAGCTACCAGCATGAGTTTGACCAAACTGCGGGAGGCAGTGGAAGACAGGAGTGCCTGGCGTGCTCTGGTCCATGGGGTCACGACGAGTCGGACACGACTAAACGACTAAACAACAACAACAACATATATACCAACAATACAACCACAAAGGAACTACTGAAAATACCAGTGAGTATAACTAGATGTTACATGCAGATTCAGGAAGCTGTGTCTTTGAGGGGAGTATGGTGAGGAGATGCTTAACTCATTCATTTGCACTTGAAGAAAAACAAACAAACCCCAAAGCACACATCCCATAAACTGCTTTTCTCTGGCACTTTGTGGGGGGGGGGGAGAAATACCTGTGGCTGATTTGGAACAGGTAAAAACAGTATATCTCCGAAAGCAGAGAGATAAATGTAAAGCAAAGTCCTGTGGCAACAGAGTGTCAGGGCCTGGGCAGAGGAGGAATGGTGGAGACCGCCTCCCCAGCCTGACCCTTCCAGAGAAGAAGAAGACAGTTCAGAATTACAACAGGGGTTTCAGGGAGGTCACAGCTCAGAGGCAGATGAGGGGGAAAGCTGGAAAATAATGGGAGAGGAGGTGGAGGAAGAAGCATCAGAGGGGGGGATGGACAGCTGATGGACACAGTGTCTTTAGAAAGCATTCCAGACCCCCCTCTCCCAGAACCTGGCAGGCATTGAAATTAGGAGAGCAGAGAGCTCAGAGGCAAAGGGCACTGCTCAGCACCGTAGTGATGACGCATAATGGGAGAGAGGGAGGGGGTGGAGATTCACTTGGAGCAACGTCCGTATTCCAAGAGGCTGAATTTCTAAGGCTCTCTCTGTGAACATTGAATAAAAAGCAATTGGTAAGAACTTCCTTGTCTTATCCATTCCTGGCAACCTACTGTGGGGTTGGATCCTTGGCTGCCTGACACAGAGGGGTGAAAACGAGGAATTTCCTCAAACTAAGAGTTAATATTTGTCGTTGCCTCCACTAATATGTCATTGGAACTACTCCTGTTTGTGTTGGTGTGTGTGGTTTTGATTGGGCAAGTCTTACACGGACTCCCAACTTGGATTTCTGGTGGTGGGTGTTTTTTTTTGGGGGGGGGTAGTATAATTTCCCCCAAACATTTCCACAATAATCTTTATATCAAATGGTTACATTGTTTCATAAATTGGCTTCCAGCCCTCACTTCTGCAGTGTTTTTGCTCAAACGTCTTCCACTGTGTTATATCCTTATCTATTACACAAAGTTTCTCTATTACAGTTATTTTGTCCAGCTTGGATTTCCCATCCAGATTTGGGGGCAGGGCCTGGGCAAGCTGACGTAGATGCTCCCCATTCTGCACTTATCAGTGAATTGCAACCCCACTTCCCTGCAGTGGTGCTGAGCAGCCGATTTCAGCATTGCCGCCAGGCCAGCGCATAAGCACAAAGGGGAAGGGATAGAATACCCTCCAATGTTTCTCCAGTGAAAATAGGGACGTCACATTCCATAATGATAATTTAACTATTTATACCCCACGCATCTTACTGGGTTGCCCCAGCCACTCTAGGCAGCTTCCGACATATATAATAACTTAATTCAACATTCAACATTTTTTTAAAAAAACCCTTCCCGATACAGGATTGCCTTCAGACGGCTTGGGGGGTCAGATAACTCCATACCCTTCAACATTTCTCCAATGAAAATAGGAACATCCCAAGGAAAAGTGGGACATTCAGAGATCGAATCAGAAACTGGATGGCTTATCGAAATCAGGAACGTCCCTGGAAAATAGGGGCACTTGGAGGGTCTGGGATAGGGAAGCCAGCAGCCTATTCCTCATGGAAGTGTGATAATGCCTCTTGCTTGCCTAAATGGAAGATGAAAAGGTGTCTATGCATAGAACCCTTTGTGGGTTCCCCCACGAAGGTGGTTTGCCACCCCTGGCATAGATGAATGGGATGCTAAAAGTTATGAAGTTGTAAATGACTGTTAACTAATGTAAACAAGGAAGAATGCTGTACAGTGGTACCTCGAGTTACAGATGCTTCAGGTTACAGATGCTTCAGGTTACAGACTCTACTAATCCAGAAATAGTATGTCGGGTTAAGAACTTTGCTTCAGGATGAGAACAGAAATCGCGCAGCAGTGGCGCGGCAGCAGCAGGAGGCCCCATTAGCTAAAGTGGTGCTTCAGGTTAAGAACAGTTTCAGGTTAAGAATGGACCTCCAGAACGAATTAAGTTCTTAACCCGAGGTACCACTGTAGGCTCCTCTAAGGCTAACAGATTTATTGCGGCATGCAGTGACTAGATTCCAGTTCAAGGGATGCACAAATTGTTATTTGGCACAGATACAAGGTTGGGTAGTTGTCTAGCAAAATATAGCTACCCTAAGCCCTTTTAAGATACTGGGAAGTGATTATTCTCGCCCCATGTCTTCTGTTATGTGAACATGTTCCTGGAAAGATATTGGGGAAAAATGGCAAAGGTTTCAAAGAAGAGCAATGGAAAATATTGATTAGCTGTAAAATGCACTATATTATGAGGCACTAGAAGAGCTGGATAAGTAGGTTATCAAAAGAAGGTTAAAAGGTGGTTCATTAATAGCTCACAGTAAAAAAAAGAAAAGGGAAAAGTGATCTGCTACCACACACCTCTTTAATCTATGAAATGAACATCCTTTCAAGTGTACTTCCTTGCTGTCATTTACTTATGACATTCACATTTTATTCTCCCTTTACTGTGTTTGGAGTGGGGCGGCTATCCTGGGGTTATCACACGATATCTTCACAGTGACTCCATGAAGCAGAATCATAGAATGGTAAAGTTGGAAGGGATCCCAAGGGTCCTCTAGACCAACCCTCTGCAATGCAGGACTCTCAACTAAAGCATCCATGACAGATGGCCATCCAACCTCTGCTTAAAAACCTCCAAGGAAGGAGATTCCATCACCTTCCAGGTGAATCCATTCCACTGTCAAACAGCTCTTACCATCAGAAAGTGCTTCCTGATGTTAAGTCAGAATCTCCTTTTTTTTGTAACTTGAAGCCATTGGTTCAAGTCCTACCCTCCAGAGCAAGAGAAAACAAGCTTGTTTCCTCTTCCATGTGAAAGCCCTTGAGATATTTGAAGATGGCTATCATATCTCCTCTCAGTCTCCTCTTTCCCAGGCTAAACATACCCAGCTCCTTCAACAGTTCTTCATAAGGCTTGGTTTCCAGACCCTTGATCATCTTGGTTGCTCTCCTCTGTACATGCTCCAGCATGTCAACATCCTTTTTAAATTGTGCTGCCTGGAATTGGACACAGGATTCCAGTTTAAGTAGTTTAGACTTAGAATAGTTGGTTTGACCAAGGCTATCATGTATAGGGGGACGCGGGTGGCGCTGTGGGTTAAACCACATAGCCTAGGGCTTGCCGATCAGAAGGTTGGCGGTTCGAATCCCTGCGACGGGGTGAGCTCCTGTTGCTCGGTCCCTGCTCCTGCCAACCTAGCAGTTCGAAAGCATGTCAAAGTGCAAGTAGATAAAAAGGTACCGCTCCGGCAGGAAGGTAAACGGTGTTTCCATGCACTGCCCTGGTTCGCCAGAAGCGGCTTAGTCATGCTGGCCACATGACCCGGAAGCTGTATGCCGGCTCCCTCAGCCAATAAAGCGAGGTGAGCACCGAAACCCCAGAGTCGATCATGACTGGACCTAATGGTCAGGGGTCCCTTTACCTTTAACTATCATGTATAGTTCATAGCTAATAATGTTTTGACCTTTGTCTTTCCCAGTCTAAGTGCCAAATTAGATAAGAAGTTGGTAATCCATGATCAGATTTATTATCTGTTGTTTTGGGAGTAACTAGAGGAGGGTGGTTTGGATAAAGCTCCCCATCCCAGCTGCTCTTAGCTAACCTAAGGCATATTCATGCTGGGAGCCTAGTTGGCTCCCTGGTGACCTGTGTAGAAAAGGAACAGCTCCCTTGTGAATCAGCTCCCTCTTTGAGGCCTGTTTTACACATTCAGCTGGAAGGTGTAGGAATTAGATGGTGAAAGAAATTGCAGCCTAGTTTGAAGCTGGCTTAGCAACCTGGCTTACTCTGAAGCTGTTAGCCATCGTTTCCCAGGTCAGATGAATTGTATTTTTAAAATAATAATAATTAAGGGTGTTTTTTAGTCCATCCTTCACCATACAATACCAGGACAGGTTATATAATACGATTAAAACACGAGCCATTTTGACAGCATAAAAATGTGACTAATTTCAATAGAACCGAGAGCTGGTAAAGCATAATGCATAAATAAAAAAAGAGAGTTTTGCCATAAAACCCCAATGGAACCACCCTTTGGACTTAAAGAAGCCGGAGGAGGAGGAGAGGAAAGAAGGTGAAGAAAGAGCTGTGAGTGGAGGGCCCCCCTCTTCCCATTCTTTGGACCCCCAGGGAAACACAACAAACCTGCGGTACCTAGACATGGATGTGGAGAGTGCAGCTGAATGGGTCACAGTTGCGGGCAGGCTGAGGAAGTACCTGTGGGAATGTTGTGGATAGTAGGAGAGGCTATATTGATTAAATA